AAAAAAAAAAAAGTAAAAAAAAAAAAAAACTTTATTATATACACTTTTTTACACACTTACCTATATAAAGATTTTATACTATTCTAGCATAAAACTTTATATAAAATAGTTTATACACTACTAAATTACTTATAAAGTAAGTGTATAAAGGCTAAATAATAATAGCTTAAAATACTTTATACTATTTATAAAGCTATTTATATAGTGTAACTAGCTTATCTTAATATATAGTATTACTAAGGCAAGTCTTAATAAATAAAGTAAAGTAAAAGTAAAATATAATTAAATAAACTTATATAAATAAAAAGAAGGTAATACATATAAAAAGTAACTTTTTAGATAAAAAAAAAAGTTGCTAGTGTCTATATATAGCAGCAGCATTATAATCTAGATATAAGTAATTGCGCACAAGCAGAACTATATATTAATTAATACAATTAATTAATTATCCTATACATTATATCTAAACCCATCATTCATCTTAGGAAGCCTAGAAACAGTGCTTTAATCTGACAATACTATAAGCAGCTAGCTGTTGGAGCCTATTCAACACTACCGTTTCTTCAAAGTATTCCCTCACCGCTCTCCCTCCCTCGCTTTCTAAGTTCCCAAAGTGCTAGCTGCAGCCATGCCTGTTGCTGATACCCTAATAAAAAAAATTCGATCAATACTAGCATTCCTCAGAGTTTGAGTAATTTCACGCCATTCGGATTCGCTCACGTTTTTCCCATGTCCCTCGCGGTATCTGCATCCCGGGAGTTCACGCAACTCCTCTGGTGACTCATCCGGCGAAAGCCACTTTCCGTATTGAAAATATATGACTTGTTTTCCTTGAATTTCAGTCCGCTAGAGATTTACTAGCTCGGCATTTGTGTTCAGTCCGAGTTCTCTGGTTTTTTGGTCTTCTGTTTCCTTCGATGCTCTTTCCGACAGTGTTGCCGCCTGGCTCGGTCCTGATTCACAAGCCTCCGACTGTAAATGGGCCAATATCAGTCTTTCTACTTCCAATATTGATCAAATCGGGAACGGATCTGTTATCGATTTCTTCAAGTATGCCATTCTCACCACCAGCGCCAATGGAGAATACCGGTAGGTCTGCAACTCTAATCCGTCTACCCGCTCCCCTGAGATTGTCTGACATTGTATAGATGGCTGAATGCTCAATACTCTCGCTTGAACAAGCAGGTTCTACTTTAGGAGTTTTTCTTCAAGCCGCCTTCGCCTTGCGGAGCCAATTGCAACTGTACACCCGCACCCTGGTTTTCGGCACTAACCTTGCGTTGCGAAGAGGCTTAGACGAACCTAGATCTTGAAAATAATCTTGAAAATAGCGTGATCATCTCTCTTAGAACCCAACGCGGTTAGAAGGAGCTCACTCGGAAAAGTCCGCAGAAGCCGCTAATCATATCGCGGCGCCGTACCAATCGAATAAAGCTATCTCAGGTATATCTTGGGGCAAGTATTTGCATATAACATGAGCTCCGAGAACCGTCAAACCCACATGTTGCGAAACACTAGCCTGATTGCCATGTCTACGACATCTCTTGCCTGCGTGGGCTACTTGAACTATCTCCAAACTGTAGCCGTCAATGCGACAGCTGGGGCACCATTAAATGTCATTGCTTTATCCCGTACCGCGCTGCTTTACAGCGCCATGCAACTCGAACCTGCTAACGCTAATTTCTGCTAGCTTCACACTCTAGATGCACATTATCATGCTTCTTCCGCGAGTGCCAGCTTTGGACAATGAGAGGCGGGGATCACCAACATCATCGGTTAACGAATACCACCTACGACACTGCATTATAACTGATCGGTCAGGGGCTACAATAGTATACGCTTTAATATATCTCTTTTGTGATGGGGGATCACTTGAAGAATGTCACCGTTTCAATCTTCAAGGACACAACTAGTTAAGCCCCTTGTTGAAGAGAAATATATGGATGCCAGAATCCAGAGTTTGGACCTGGCGGATAAAATTACGATGGGAATGGCGGGGTGGTTTGAGAGAAGAGGGGTTGGAGTGTGGGATGTAGAGGTTGTCGGAACAGAAGATGTGGAAGAGTGTGGGAAGGTGCATGTGCGTGGTGGAATTTTATACAACTCTAGGGCTCGGTTAACTTCTGTCCATGGCTAGGGTAAAGGAAGGGCCGAGAGTGGGAAACAATATGACGGCGGAATTGAGAAGGAAAACGGTTCCTAGTTGTGTGGATCACATCACCGCGTAAGTGAATGCAAGGATGAAGATAGCACGCACGAATAAGACTCCAATGCGTACAGAGCAAGGAAGGAAGTCGATTTATATTGGCACTGAGCTCCGTATATCGGTTCTACAATTGTGTCAGAAATTGATATGATCATCAGAGAGTGAAACGGACAGCCTATCATGAGCTTACCGGGGAAGTCCTGTCGCAGAACGCGCTTCGCGAAAACCCCAACTCCATATCCCCTTCGTCATGAACCATGTCAAAAGCTGCAGCACGTACTAAGTGTGCTAAGCCTTTCCCCAACTTCTCAGACAATATACTTATCCTGCTTCCCTTCCTTCCTCAGGTACGCATACGTCGCCTCCGAAAGCCCAGCTACAGCCATTGTCGCCACAGCTCCAACGATACAATCTTGTCGATTGTATCCTGTAACGATACAGAGGAGGTACATAACGAGGAGGAGGAGGTACGTGAAGCGGAAGAGAGCGAGGGCGATTGCATCAGTTGTTGATGGCATCTTTGGTAGGATAGAATATAGTTGGACTGAGATGGATTTGTCAGTTGGCTCGAATAAGGTTGTTTGTTTAGTGTTGGTTGGGCTTCAGATTTGCAGGTGTTTTGTGGTGATGGAGAGAGAGTGAAGAAGGTAGAGATGAGGTGGTCTTATTATGGTAGGGAAGCAATGTGAAGAACGTGACGCCTCCGTGAAAGTTCGGAGGTGAAAGGTGGGAAAGGATCTTGGGAGTGAAAGTGACTTATTCGATCATTTTTCTTTGGCATGAAAAGAGCTCACAAAAATGAGGAGAGTGATAAAGAGTTTGTGGATAGATCTCGCATTGGTGCTACTGTAAATCCATTGCTGCCTGTGAATACTCATAACTAGCTTTCTAAAGTTGGGGATTGGGCGTTAACATTTGACCTCTCCAAAAATTTCGGCACCTTCGGAAAGGATTTGAAATGACAGTCAATGTTCTTCTCTATTCTTCTTCTTCTCTACACTTTTCTCCGCATGTTTCCATCTGCTACCCCTCCGCTAGAGGTTTGCGCCTGATTTGGAAATTTGGTGCCTCCTCCGCTATCCACATTCGAATACTTCAGAGGAAAAAAATGAACAAAATCGGAATGTACTCGACCAGTCGGGGAAGCATATATCTCACTGATAGGCGGAGGCTTGTAGCGACAAAGGTGGATGTATCTAGTTTTACTCCGTGAGAGAAGTGAATAACTTGACTTTTTTAGGGATATGGGAAGTTGAAGAAGGGCCACTTATTCTTTAACGGCTCCACACCCATCCATGTCTGATTAAATTCCCCTTCTAGGATTTCTCCAGGGGTCCAAAATTGAACCAGTTCGGAGATGGGATCTGGCTGGAATCAAATTTTTGGAACCAGGTAACCAGATATCGCGGGGCTACACATACAGCGAAGGTAAGAAGGACCTAGTGCCACGCTAAATCGGCTCTAGAACGGCAAGCACTATGTATATATGGTCAATTGCACAGTTGCACGAACAGAGTGAGATAGAAATAAAAGCGTTATGAGTAACTGTAGCAAAAGGCTTAGCCTTGTATTAATTATGGAGTGATTGCGACGTGAGCCTGTAAAGTGTTGGCTCACGGGACCATTCAGGCAATTTACAAAGCCATCCACAGATACCATGGAACCAGGAGGGTGAGGCCCAGAATTTAGATGCAGCCTCTTATTATCGTTAAGGCCCTATCGTCCCTCGCCGTCCAACCAGCTCAGTAATGGAGTCCTGAACAAGGCCCCAGCTTCGGGAGCGACGTTCTGGACATAGTGAAAGGAGAATATTATTGCATCGCCAGTCCCTTCGTTTGCCATGCGCGCAATAGTGAATGAAATAGTCAGAGCCACGACGCCTTTGAAGATGATGAGGGTTGTCGTGTTGGTGATGATGTTGCAGATGATGAACGTAGTAAAGATGATGGTGGCACAAGCGAGCACTCGGTAGATGAACAGATCCGCTGGCATGCTATAGTCGGCACTGTTGATGAGGTTGAAGAGTTTCGATCTGCGAACTTCTTGAAATAACGAATGGTTTGATTGGATGGCGAACGGTTGGTGCTGGGGCAGGCTGAGGCAGTTTTCTTTTAACGCAGCGAAAATGATTCCTTGAAGACATGCATCAGTGATCAATCTAGAAACTACTGGTATAAACTCACTTTGAGGCTTCTGTAAGGACGTCGTTGGGTATATTCCTCTAGCGGTGAAATGTCTCGATGACTTGGTGTGCCGAAAGCTCGTTGGACTGAGAGATTTTCGCCTTATCGTCCATTCCAAGATCGTCGAGTATCCCAAGTTCACTAGCAATCTTATCAACCATGACCCAAGACCTTAATTCCGCCACTTTTTCCTTGAGCTCCTTAAGCTTCTCTATATTGGCCGCGGATTCTTTCTCTAATTTTCTAGCCCTTTTGTCGAGAGATGCGAAATCTTCCCAGGTAACGGACTTGCGCTGGCTCCTCTCATAGAGATTTTGGCAGTACCATAGCCCTCGGAGTAGAACATGTAACCAGGCATAGACGATAAAAGGCTTTCCCGGCAGCTGACCGACCAAAAATACGGTGATTTTGATGCAGACGACGAATAGGATGTGGCTGAGTATACACCGAATGGCAAACTTGACTGTGTTTGCTATAGTAAGCATGATGACTGCGTTTTCGTGTTCTTTTAGGTGGAGATGTGTCTGGAGCGGGAGATTTTCGTCTCAGAGGTTGAGAGTTTTTGACACTCTGCTCTGGAGTTGCAGTGATTGCAGCGGGTCATAGCTTCCATTCGTAGAAGCATTCAAGATAATGCAGTAGGCAAGTACTGATTCCTTGTAGATACTGTTCTTGCGTTGCTGGGGGAAAGGAAAGGCAGTGGCGAAGCTTGTTGAAGGGGAATTGAGGTTTCCCTTATGTCGAGCTTTCATCAATCCAGAACGAACGCACCCTGGGATTGAAGGTAATTCAAAACCAGTGACATGGAAGCAACAGCGGTTAGTCCGAATTCTACACACAAACGGTATAGCGCACGCCAAAAAATACTCATAAACACAGCCCCACACAAAAAGTCCTTGTAAGCACCCCCGCCATAATTCTCGAAAATAGTACCATGGGCTCCGGTGGCGTTCATTTTAAGGGCTGGATTAATTTAGCGAGATCTCGGAATCTAGTCGTAATTCTGAGTAGAAAAGAGACAGACAAGTACATGTGGACGTCCCTGAAAGGAACTCTCCTAACTGCACTGCCAGACGACCAACTCTGAACTTCATCCCATCCCAATTCAACCCCTCCAGTTCCTCAATACATCTAAACTCCTTATTTTCCCCCTCATCCTATTCTCAGCCCACCCAACCAACCCCCTCATCGCCCACCACCCTTCTTGCCGCCCCAACCTTCCTTATTTATTTTCTTGCCACACCACCTCCTCCGCCACAAACTCCCCGATCTATAGCCCCACCACCATAACCCTTACCCTCCATAGTGCTACCTTAAGCCCAGCCACTGGTGAACGGAGATGCTACTTAATCTGACGGACAATCTGCCGGATCAAGAAGATCTGGATGTTGATGCGCATAGCAGCGAGGAAGAAAGACCACATAAAGATGACAGTGGGGAGTTTGTAGTCGCTGTGTTACTATTTTGGTACTAGGTGAGGGTTTTATAGGAGTAAAGGGACAGGAGGAGGACGGTGATAGTGTTGAAGGCATCGAGTCTAGAGGAAAGAGGGACGAGGATGGTGAGGAAAGACTTTGGAGATGGGGGGCGGATTGCTATATAGTCATAGTGATTGTGAGGGATAGGAATTGGATTGTTTTAGTGAAGCAACTAGTCGCAAGTCTGATATTGTAGTGGCTGGGTTTCCCTATAGAAATTGGCGACGTGGTCGTATTTAAATACTCGACAAAGATGAACAAGAGATACCAGAGGAAAGCATGGTTCGATTTCATCTCAAGCAACCAAGTCAAAATCGCCTTCCAAGGTAACTTCGCTTATACCTTTAGACTTTCTTTCACCCTCAAATACTTTTATTCCTATATGCGACCTTACTCTTAAATCTATATGAGTACACATATGCTTAACATAGGGTCTTCGTTAGTTTACCAAGCTGTCCTATTCCCTAACATGCTTTATCATTCACAGTACGGAAGCTTGCAAGGTTGATATTTCGACATGAAGTTCCCTACTACTCTACATAGCCTTTTCCGAAATCCACCTTCATGGGATTAATGCATGTTGCTAAAGACACGATGGCTCTAAGATTCGCTCGGTTACGGATGCGAGGAATCATGCGAAATGTAGCAATGACATAGCCGTCAATAACTCAGTATCACAAGCCTAACATTCGTGCTGATCAGGCATGCCCACATATGGTTGCGTTAAGATTAGTAGAGACAGCTTCCTCTCCACCGAGGCCTTTTTCCCACCTGCACTTGTTGAAACCACAGTGGTTATAGCACTGGGGATAACTTAGTGTCTGTCACACGAGAATGGAGGAAAGAAATGCACTTACAAAGCCATCGCCGCACAACTTGCAGTAGCACTTCTCCGCGCATTTATTGCTGAAACCACATTCCCTCATACAATCTTGCTGTATCTCCACACAGTGACCGCAGTTGGAACCGGGGAGGGTGGAGACGACTCGTTGGACAGGCCTGCCGTGGCAGAGATCCCCCCAGCTGCACTCGTTGATGGGAGAATCTTTGCACAAATCGGCCCAACATTTGCTGTGGCATTTGGCGGTCGTGCAATGGAGGCTGCAGGCTGCAAAAGCATTGTACTTTTCGATACATTTTGATGACTCATCGCGACGGGAGACATTCTGGCTATTGCACTTGCTCGTATATCCACAGCTCTCTGCGCACTTCAGGATTGTTAGACAAATCTAGCAAGTCACCATGAAGTACATACAAACTGATCTGAGCAGGCCTCGGCGTTGCACTTGAGTTTACAATCCTTACGGGAGTAAGGATCACAATCCAACATGCAATTGATGAATGTCTGGTGACACTCTCCGCAATCTAACATATCAGAGCTGGTCGCCTGCGTCGAGGAGATGGGGGCGTGGGCTAGTAGAGGGTGTCTTCGACGAGTGGATCCGCCGCCTGGTTGCGGTCCAAACCTGCAGCCTCCTGAACCCGCACACTTTGTGCTTCGACACTCTGGGATATAGCAAACTTCCTTCCTGCAGTCACAGGTTCTTCCCTTGGGGCATTTCTAGGCTGTATCAGCAAAGGCCGCTCCGATGATGCGGTAACTAGCTCAGTGTTGCTAGATACTTCTAGGCTCACTTACCTTCATGCATTCGATAGCCGCATCACTGCATACTTGACAGTATGTGGACAGAGATTTGTCATCAGGCGTATGAATATCCTGCAATTCAGCAACAGCACCAACCTCAGGTGCGGCCGCAAGTTCACGTGGAGCAGCAGTATTGGCAACAGCGCAACAGTCAGTATAGCCACAGTCGCGCTCACACTGATGAAAAGGTCAGAAAGGGTGACTGTTTTCTCGTCACTGTGTCAATAGGGACTTACATGCTTGTTTCCACAGAGCTTGCAGTTGCACTCGATGTAGCAATCTTGGGAACGGCAGCTCTTTTAAGAGTATTAGCGTGAGTGAGGATTCAAAGCTGTGTCCGACTCACGTCAATACAATGCCAGAACCTCATGTGGCAATCGCTGCAACTTGGGCTAGGAAACAATGGGATGGTGGGTGCGATGATACTTGAAGCAGCCGCAACCACACTCACGAGAGTGGTTGGAGCATTCTCCTCTGGAGCCGCGACGGCGCCCCCCACTCCGAGAAGGGCAGAGGCCAAGAATAGAAATACCTTGGGTTGCATTGCGGATGCTAGTGGCTTGTAACGGAATTGTGTTGGGGTTGCAATATCACAGGCGCAGGAGGGTAGAGGCGAAGTTAGAAGGTAGAGGGGAGGAGGATGAAGAGAGAGCAACTGAGGCCAGGAAATTTGCGCGCGGTGGTTTTTTTTAGTTGGATTAAGGCCACGACCATTTTCACGCGTCGGCGCGTTCCCAGAATCGCCGCAATTACCCGTCCTGGCCTGGTTTATCAAGGCCGAGAGAAGGTGTGGCAGGTGAAAGAGGCAGGAACTACTTGTGGAGATAATGTCACAAGACAAGATGCAACACCACGCAGCGCAGATCCTAAAGGTAGCTGGGAAACTGAACATTGCCTTTGTATATTAATCCTTCCTGACTTGCCTAGTCGATTAATTCTAATTGACTTACTATGAATTCTCATTCGACATGTTCCTACTGGCAACTTATGGTAAAGGAAATCCTGCGTGCAGACCAAGTTTGCGATGGCTAAGAATTCTGTTATGGCATATTCTCCATAAGAGATGGCTAAGGGAGCAATGGAGTTACCATATAAAGTGATTAGCAGAATCTGGGATCGTAAATAGAGCGAAAGTAATTTGAGAGGCATCGTAATTGCACACTTGGTGTCGTTGTGTGAAGGGATTAAGAGCTTCACGAGTGTAAGCAACCCTAGTCAAAGTACGAGGAGATTGAACTAGGAATGCAGTATATCTAGCAAAGGATTAACCCATATTTGAGAAACCTAGCCACTGGCCACGGCGTCCAAGTGGGGTATTGTTTAACATGGCCCTGCCGACATGGAAGAGAGACTAATTGTCTCTGTGCTCCTACTAAAGCCTCATGTCCGAATATTGTCTTTGAAGCATCTCCATTGGCTGACGTGTCTAGCTCCTCTGCTCCCAGCCTTTGGGATATCTCCACCTTTCGTAGCACACCAATATCGTGCCTATTGTGTGCAAGCGGCATAATGTTGACCCCAAATTTCTCGAATGGACCTTCATTTCGTTCCTAGGTCACATCACCATTAATAGCTGTGTATTCCTCCGGCGATTGTTTCTTGACTTTGTTGATGAAGTCGCCACATTGGAGCATGAATTTGTGAGCCACGACGACCTGTTCTTTGGAGGAGAAAGGAAAGAAAGGAAAGGTCAAATTGTTTCAGGAAGGAAACGCTGCCTATATGAGTTAAGATTTCGGGGGATGGCGTACCAGGAAGTTCCCACTGAACGATTTTAGAGTTATCCTTGTAGAGGTGAGGGCTTCACCTTTCCTTCTCTTTGTCCGTCTTGAGCCTCATTTTTCGACCATAGAAACTGCGCATGACTTCATATCTCAGCTTCTTCACGAGGATCTAGATGGGCCTCCTACAGTCTCCGTTGCGATTACTCCGTCCGCAGTAACCTGTCGCCAGCCAACTCATTTTCTGTGTCTCTGTATTCATGTACATTACCGTCCATGCAAAGGTTAGAAGTGACCGCTAGGCCTCCGTGGAAGTTTGTCAAATTCGTACAAGAACATGACCGATATTTGCCCGTCGTTCCCAGAGAGGAAAATTTTCAGCTGTGACCCTTCTTCCGGCCTCTGATCTAAATAGCTAGGTCCCGCTGCGTATCTGAGCACAGTTTACAGTAATTAGTTGAACAGGCAGGGAAGTCGCCCATCTGCTTTGCCAATTGTGTCTTTCCGTGTCCAAGGGGCTGGCAAAAACCTCTACCTGCGGTTCTGAATTCTCACCATCTGTAGAAACATGGGCAATTACTTATTTTCCCACCCTCGCTGCAGCTAGGGATTCGCCAATGATGTAATAAGGTATCTTTAACGGAGCCATAACATGACGTAATGTTGATACGTGCGTCAGTCTTCCAGTAGGTGGTAGCAATTGATTCGCATTGTTGAGAAAGTAGCGCAAGCTAACTAAAAGCGTCGTAGCTAGGTGAGCCTGGCGAATATTGCCACACCGAGTCCTTTCCGGAATAGATCTCTTTCTGAGAACTTAGAGGCTCTGATTGAGTTTGCCGGAGAAGCTAAACACATACCTATAGATGCGGGTCGGGGCTATTCTTTATATCACCAAAACAAATGGAAGAGTGCAGAATTGTCTACGCCTATACAAGACACCTTCATACCTCCAGGCTGATCCTCACATCCTCACATCCTTACCATAATAAAGGATTCGATGACCGCAGGGAGGTTGGTAGTAATAGAAAAGTCGCTGCAATGCAAACCCATCTACTTCGTAACAAAGGAGACTCATTAATGTAAGGCGCATCTGCGTAACTAATCTAGGTAGAAGGGGTTGTTGGGTGATGTTTGATGGAATAAATGTAGCTCGCTTGAGCGAAGAAGTCACTTGCGCTCTTCCATGAGGCTCTGAGCTGCATGACAGTCTCTCGCAAAAGCAGGAAACATAAGAGATCAGGAAGCACTTGGAATGCTCTATAACGGGGATCATAGATAGAAGAAAACGATTTCTCGATGTCCTTGCAGGTTTTAACCCGTTTAGGGGTGGATGATTTGAAGAGTGGAGGTTGGGACAGCGGGAAGGAATGCCCACAAGAGAACCTCTTCATTCCAAGACTAGCTTCTCCGGCTCTTGGCATTTTGAACCAATCAAGCGAGGCCCATTAGCGAATCTTCCACTAACCATATCTTGCCATTTTCATCAGCACTTAGGCCACTTGAACAACAGCTGCCCTCCGACATTTCACGGCACCGCTGCGCTCTTGGCCCACCCTTCTCAAGAAACCCAAATATACTAACACTACTCCAACGTCATCCTTCACATCTAAAATATCCTGCTGCTGCTGTAAAACCATTCTACAGAGTTTATTTCCCTCGTTTCACTTAAATCAGTCAATACACCGCTAACCGCCGTATTAAGTATCCCAAACCAAAATCGAAAACCCCATAACTTTTCGACCCCTTTTTTGCAGCCGGGCGTAACAACCGTGATCATAGCTAGGGGCCAGGGGCTAGGGGCTACGGACACGGCACTGATCTATGAACGCCAAAGTTTTAAAGATCACTTGTAGATTGTCTTTCTATGGTACTACGTGTATGGCAAAGAGAAGAATGGGTGTCACTGCCTCACTGAATTGTTTAAAAAAATTAATTGAGGAGCTGAGTGGCGCATAGATGCGCGTCGTGCCGATATTTTGCTGCAGAACCTCAAAATCAGCCCGACCCCAAACGGAAACTATTAGGACTAATTAATCAAAAGATTTACGCCCCGTCCCCATGTCGTTGAGGTCTAATCTCATACTCAGCCAACAGGGTGCATAACACCCTTGCTATACCTTTGTCATATCGTGCGAAAGGATTGAGATTCGGTTCGCGCACCAATGCTGGTACTCCGTACGATTCGATTCACCCAAAAGCTCCCATTGTCGCTGTCGCGGGTATAGCTGCTTGGAGCAACTTCTACACAATTCTCCACCGTTGCCGGCTCGTCATGATCCCGCTACTTCCCATTTCCATATACACCCTCAGCTACTTCACCTTCTCCATTCCAGCAGCACATGCTTTATGCTACACGCCTGCCGGAAATGTATCCAACGACCAGCCCTGCAATCCGTCTGCTTCAAATAGCATATGCTGCGAACTGGGCTTCTACTGCACTTCCAACAAACTCTGCATGAGGCCGGAGAGTAGAAATGGCAGCGATGTGTCGAGTAATGGATTATACATTCGGGGGACTTGCACGGATAAAACTTGGAAAGCAGAAGAATGTGGAGGATTCTGTGTTGCTGGTGAGTCTCGACTTTCAGGTTTGCAGTAACGGCGTGAGGAGCAGCTGGTGATGTGATGTGTTCACGGGAAGGAATAGGGATAGGGAAGGGGGTTACATGATGAGTGAATGGTGCTGATATTTCTTCCCAGAGCTCCCGGAAGAAGGCGAAGCAGTGTGGCGCTGCGATGGTGGGAAATACTGCTGTCAGGATGGTGGATGTTGCACGGCAGATAACTCACGAAACAGACTTCTGGATCTTGGATTCCCTTCGATTTCTATGACGGTTGGGGTCAGACCCACGGGTTCCGGAAGTGTATCGAGCACGGCTATAGTAATATCGGCCAGCTCATTGTCAGTAACGTCAACTCAGATATTACCTTCAAATATTTCTTCAGCAACTCCTCCATCTGGCAGAAATAACAGCTCGACTAAGACTGGCATTGGTGTTGGCGTCTCGGTCGGGGTACTGGCTATTTTGAGTGTTATAGTAGGGCTGATATGGTACAGGAGGAAAAGAGGCCAATGTTATCAGGAACGGGTGGAATTGCCATCATACACGCATCCAACCGAGCTAGCAGATGCCCCGATTCAAATAGAGGCTGGAAGCGTGGAATACAAGCAGCTCGCAGATACACAAAGGCCTGTAGAAATTGGATAGCCGGCGCTCAGGTATCCATGGGCGCATTCAGGGCCATACGTCCCCTAATTGCTCAGTGCAATTTTTTAACCCAAGAACCCGTGCCGGCCGAGATATTTGATAGCATCGAGTGCTAATTGATCTGCTTGTCGCTTCTCCTGCTCCACTAGCTAAAGGACAATCAGCACGAGCTCTGCAAGCGGGTAGACAACTGGATTCATATACCGTTTCGAACAAACCCGCCTTCTTTTCTACCTTCGGTGGGTGGGGCCATTTGCACTGATTGCCATAATTGCATTTGCCGTACCGTTTCCACTGCACGCATTCTGTGGAATGATCTTTCTTCCTCAGTGGTCTCCCAAATTTCGCAGGCTCTAGTGGCACAACGGTAGGAGCAATAACTGTCTTCGACGATTGCTCCTCTGGTGCTGCATCGCTATCGTCCGAGTCCAGGCCATCAGAAGACCCCTCCAAGCTCGATACTACAGATGATTCCTCAAATTCAGAGCTAGTTTCCTCCTTTGGCTCGGTTTCGCTGGTATAGCCAGGACCAAGGTCGGCAGTCTTGGGCTTGTTGCCTGCCAGTTCAGGTAGAAGTATCGCCGGCTTTGTTAACACATCCTCAAGAATTTGCTCCCCTAGGTTCCTCTGCAGCTCACCAAAATCATAGGTGTGTTTTTCTGAGCTCTTTTGTTCCCTAGTTGGAGGTGGCTCGACTACATCTGAACCATGGTGATTACCTTCAGTCTTATTTGTTGTCCCCTTCTTGATCCTCCTCAGAAATTCCAATTCGCTCGCCCTCCTCTCAGCAGCTTCTCTTGTTTTCTCTTCAATCCTTGTCCTTGTAGGGTAGTGTTTCTTCCTATCTTTCCTCCAGGCAACAAGTTCTGCTGGGGTTTGCAACGATATCGTTTGCCCGTCATGCTCGAATACCATTCCCGTAATCTTTGCGGCGAATACCGCTTCCTCATCAACCTCTTCATCGCTGCTGCTCTCTGGCTCTAGCTTGTTCTGTGCCGTGAGACCCAAGTGTACTTTACGCTTGTTTAAATCGGGCCAAGGCTTGGCTTTGGGGGAACCGGCGACTGGGGACTTCTTGGGAGTGGGTAATATGAACCCAAAACTTGGCACAGATGGGGCGACAGCGGCTTTGGCTTTCTGTGGTTTCTGAGCTGGTAGCTGCGAATTCTGAGCCGGGTTCGCGACGCTCTCTGCTCTCCAATTTGTAGCTCGCTCGGTCCGCTTCCGCTTCCTCCCATGTATTTGCTGTGGCGGCGAATGCTGTTGAAGGTATTTCTGGGGCGGTGGTGACTGCGGCATCTGAGGCGCAGGGGCTCCGTTGGGTGGGTGATTCGCAAGCGCAGCTGTGGTAGGCATTGTCAATGCCTGGCCGAATGCCGCAGGATTTATCTGCGGCTGCGCCATCTGCACTTGGCTTGTCCAGAGCGGATTCACGTATGGCCCAAAGGAAGAATTTGGCGTTGCGCTTGATTGAGGATCAAAAGACTGGTGTTGCCCATAGTTCTGATAGTCCTGTCCATTGGAATGTTGGCCTGATCTCCAGCCACCAGTTGCTTGAGCGTTCCGGCCCTCATTATGGCCATGTCCGCTCCCTGAATTTCCTCTAAAGTTATTCCCGCGACCACCGCCATGGCCTTGACCCCGACCCCGGCTCAATCCTCGTCCTCGAAAGTTCCCAAGCCCTCCGCGCTGGCTTGAAGCATACTCCGACGCGTCGTGAGGTGGCGCAGTCGCTTTCGGCGGCGGTGGCGGTGGTGGTGGGAATTTGAAGGGTGTCATGTCTGGATGTCGCGGATTAGCAGTTGGAGGAACCATATATAGCTTCACATGCTTATGTTACGTGGTGGTGTTTGGTGAAGTATAGAGGCTAATGGATCGCAAAAAGAACGGGAAACTTTACTGACGTTATCGATAAGGAAATTTTAGCGTGTCCGTGCCGAGGCACCAATGAACTTCGTCATTTCTGCTCAACGATGAGTGAACATCACTTTTCGCTCTCACCCAAAATGAAAGTTCCAGCTAGCACTGCTTCCACAACTTTCGTAGCATGAATCCTCATAATCTGCAATCATGTTTATCCTCGTAAGACTACTGTCCCAAATCCATACCACAGGCGACTCATCATCACACAGACCACCCTCGAAGACCTAGTCCAGCTCAAACCAAGCGTCCTAGGGCTCTCCTCTGAGAAATCTGTCAAAGACGCTATCAACGCTAAATACTCGAACAAGGTCATCTATGATATAGGACTATGCATTTGCGTGTGGGATCTGATGGGCGCTTCCGACGGCATGATTGGTCACGGGACAGGACTTATTAACGTGACTGGTATATTTATGGCTCTTCGCTCCAGCTTGCTTTGATGTAGTCTAACTTATGGTCCGTAGTTGAATTTCGAATGCTGGTATTTCGGCCATTTCGTGGCGAGATCTTGTCGGGCAAAATCAAGCATTCAGATCAAGATGGCATTACCAGTACGACCCCTCCTTCCTATCCAACATTTCCTTACTGCCCTCTGATCACCCTCCTAGTGGACCTGGACTTCACCTCTGAAGTCTACATCCCCGCCGAGAACCTTCCCCCAAACTCGACATTCTCGCGCGCCGAGGGCGTCTGGGTCTGGAAAACGGAAGACGGAACAGAACTATTTTTCGACAAGGGAGAGCCAGCGCTATTCCGAGTAGAGAGCGAGCAGTGGGAGGATCAGAAGCCTGGGGTAGTGAGGAGGGATCCTGAGACTGGGCATGTGGTGCATGAAAGGGGGAGTGCTTGGACAGTTATCGTGAGTGTTTTCGATCTCTTTACCGGGGGAGATGGGAGACGGGAGATGCTGACTTTTTTTATTAGGGATCGATGGCGATACCTGGTCTTGGGCCGACACTGTGGTGGGCAGAGCAGGATGGAGAAGATGAAGAAGATGATGGCGAAGTAATGGGTGATGTGGACGAATGAACGAAATTTCAAAAAAGAAAGTAGAGTACAGACGTCTCTCGGACAACGTTGTATATACTCTCCGCATTTCATGCCAAAGTCTTACATTCCAAAACGGGTTCCCCACTCAATGTTAAATGAAACAGGTGGCTTAGCGTGTACCCCCGCTTACAGACTAAAGTCTTAGTGCACCACCTTAGATATCTAATAGAGAGCCACTATTAGGACACACAATTTGCCACAGTACGAGTCTATTGCAGTTTGAGCTCACAACCCACTAGCCAGAGCGGGTCGGCCATCCTCCCTGCTATCTTCTTTAAGGTGCTCGTCGCTTCCTTTAGGACCGAATCCTCTGGCAAATATATAACCCTGCTTTAAACTATAGCATCTTTCATACATGGCGTTTTAAAGAGTCTCTCCGCTTATTTCGGGTAGGTTTCTACCTATTAGATCTCCATCTTCAACACTAAATATTAACTCCTTCATGGGGATCGAGCGCCTAGTATGCTTATACCCTGTGCCGCTCGACAGGCTCGCAACTAACCTCACAAAGCTATCAGTTACAGCAGCGGCTTGCACGCTAAGACCCATCTCAGCACATCTATTCTCTGTACAAAGCACAGTTTTCCTCCGCTAGCTAGGAAAGTCGATATCAAGTCTTACATGCCTTAAGTCTGGCCATCGGTGCAAGGTCCATGTATTCTCCCCCTTCATCCAATAGCATCACGGTGCCATACGGGCATTATATATACCCATTAGCTAGGGGATTGGTACACATGAAGCATAAATTCGAAGATTCTAGATAACATTACGTTATAGACTGGTTCTAAGCTCATTTGTTAAGAGACGCAGCCAGCCAGCAAAGCACATCAGACAGTGTGCTGCTCGCTTTTGACCGTCCTTAGCCTTCTCAGCCTCGCCGCAGACGAGCACGATAGGTAGAGCAGGTGGCTGTCTTAGCTAAACGGATAGCAGCCGAATAAACAGTGCCTGCGCAAAAGCTTGTGCACATTTTCGCCACCACTAAATTGCCGAGCGCCGCACCCCTCTCCAATCAATAACCGCGATTTACCCTCAGAGAAAGCGCCACCCCCGGTCAGATACTTTAGCTAATCGTGCAACTAAGGGAGAGCACCGCACCTCAGAGTAGCCATTCTCACCTGCGGAGAGAATGAAGTCAAGAAAGTCGTGATCGCTAAGAATTTGCAGGTGGTGTACAACACTGGTAAGAGATGGGAAGCGCATGCAAGCGTAGTCCTATGCCTTTCAAGGGAGCTCTAAAGAAGCTCTTAGTGCATGATGTCAAAGCAATTAAATGGCCTCCGTATTTTCCAAAGCTCAATTCTATTAAACATTTCTAAGAGATCCAAAGGAGGGAACTGTGGAGCCCTACCTAGAGCTTAAATACCAAGTATGCAGAGCAATTAATAGAGAGGTTCGATAACTGCTCGCAAAACGCCTAGAGGCGGATTCCTCAGGCCACATTGACAACCCCATCAAGGGCATCCCTAAGAGAATCCAGGCTGTTAGTACGGTCTGGGTATGGTAGATGAAGTGGTAGGAGAAAAAGTATGTATTTAGTCCATACAAACCCTATCTATTTGCTAATTTGTGCGCAAGCAGAGTGACTTAAGCGTGGCAAAAAGGCGTATACAGAGGTATGCGTTAGTACTGTGAATCTGTATATTTCCTCGCCTTCATGCTTCTGCGTAGAACAGCCTGGTTGGTTCAAGCTAGAGTAGGCTCCCTCGTATGACATAAGGTTTAATAGACATAATAGAATCTTCATACAAGAGATTAAATTGGCGTCCTAACCTACAACAAGAAGCTTACTTAGAGAGGATGTAGCTGGTATTCAAATTGATTGTGGCAGCGTCTGCAGCAGGTGGCACATCGCCACCGCTAGCAGGGAGGGCGGCCGGCCCGGCCCAGGCGAAGGGTTCTGGGCTCAAATTGTAAAAACAAGTACTTGTATTATGGTAAATCACGTGCCTTATAGAACGACGCCTTATAGTGTATGTAAAGTGGGATGCAGGTAGTTTCATTGCACCAATCGCTCGGAAGCAGTAGACAGGGCCGCAATCTTCTAGGCCCAGAACGGCCATTATGAAGTCCGATAGCCGAAGGCATCACCCAGGCGATAAATAATCCTTTCCTAATACTACGAGACGGCCGTTCTCTGCTTCTCCTGTGTGTCGACAGCAGTATAACATTTGACAGATAATACTTGGAAACCAGCCGAGAAATTGAACGACATTACGTAAGAGTCTGGGTATCAGGCAGCGGCAAGTCTAGTCTTCTGGAAAAGTACTTCGTGCAGTACATGTAGGTATTCGCCGACTAATAGGTCGGCTTTCGGAGCCTTTGGACCCCCGAAGATAGACCACTTTTGAGGGACGGACTTCCCCACAGTTGGCGCTCTCTCCTCCACGCCTCTAGATCCACATTTGCATGTGGGTTCCCCACGTTCAATAATCATCTAGTAGATGAAATAATGGCTACGATCCTCATGAGATCTTGGCGGTGGTGAAATTTTGAGAAAGGAGAGTGACAAGGACCATTGATGAAGTTGAGACATGATGAGAAAATTGATGAACCGAATATTGACTCGGAACCTATTTCAGCGGGGACAGGGTTGCTTGGACTAGTTCTTAGAGTGATGGAGGCAGTATTTAGCCGAGCAGTCTCGCAGTAACGAATGGCATAGTAGCAAATCGGCGCCGGATACCGAGAATATTGTCTGCATCGCCTCGCTCAACAGCTGCATGGAGGAAGCCGAGGACGCGTGTCATCCTTATCATGTCCGTTGGTCCTGCTCTCATGCGGGTAGCGCAGAGAACGCTAGGTCACTCGCCGATAACATAGGTGCAACCTTCAGGGCCCATCCAGACTTCATGGAGGCGGTCTGCGTCTACGTCGATCCTCCCGGCCGGGCCGAATGTCTCTTTCTTCGGCTCGGCATCTTTCGGGTACGTAATGGTCAATTGTCCACGGAGGATGAGGTGGGTGGTAAGGCCGCCGTGGGTGTGTGGCGGGTAGTAGGCGTTCCTGTGGCGAGGTCAGCACTGTAGTGGAAGGATTGCAAGACAAGACCTACGGGCCATCGGTCCAGGTGAAGACATGATTGAATCCCCAGGACCTGACCTCGCTCTCGGCGTCGCTGCGTGACTTGGTGGCCATGGTTGCGGTCGTAGGTGTCCAACAGGGGACAGCTCTGACAAGTGACGGCCGGGGCCTGATCGAATGACGTTGATGCTTCCGGGTAATCTTGGCAGGCCTGCTCAGCGGCGACGAACGCTGGAACTCTACCAGAAACAGCTATGATGATGATGCGAAAAGTAAGACTCTAGCCCCAGGCCTGACATGGGCGCAGCATATCTTGGAGCCGCAATAACGCTGAGGGCAGCAGAGGGCAGCGGCAAGCCTCAATGGACGATCAAACAAGAGACAACGTCGCCAAGGCGTCACCAGCAGCAGTGTCCCGGCCCTGCCACAAGTGGGCTGCTGATGCCGCCATATCGTTCTTCTCCCCCCTCCCATTTCCTTTTTTCTGGCTCTTCACGCCAGGACGAGGCCTGCGCAGTAAGCTGGTTGCAGGTCAGGTGAGCTGTTCACGCTCCAACCACGCATCGAGCCCTGCGTCTTCGTCTTCGTCTTCGTCTGTTCAAGTCGGTGTTTTTAGGTCAGCACAGCTGAAGGCTCAGCTACCCTTTTTCACCTACTAGTCGACCGCCCTCGCCAGCTCTGCCGCCAAATTCTCGCCGAACATCCTCCAGCATGGCTAGTTCTGCCACTCCCACCATCGAGCCCAAAAAGGCGGCCGCTACCAAAGACTCGAAGCTGGGCGCCCCGAAGCTCGACCAGCCCCAGCTCCAGGCCGGCGGAGGAACTCCCTCCGGCTGCACCATCACCGCCAATGCCGTCGACTATCTCTCGCCCCTTGTCTCCAGGTATGCGAAGTTCATACACGAGGAGTTGTGCAAAACACACGGCTTGGGGACAAAGGATGGCGTCACCAAATGGCTCATCCAAGAGCAGACGGCCTCGGACAAGGACAAGGACGCTGACCTACTCAAGGATGGCTCTTTCTCACATTTCGCCCACTACCTGACGTGCGGAGCGGCCAATGTCATGAAGGCCGTGGGCCCCGTCGACTGCTCATACCCTATCTCTAATTACTTCATTTCCTCGAGCCACAACACATACCTCACCGGCAACCAGCTCTCGAGCGAGTCAAGCGTGGATCCCTACAGGAATGTGAGCACATGACCGGTCGCTTCCCCATCACCTCCACCAGGCCCACAAACTGTGTCTTGAGGTCACGTACTGACAACCCTAGGTCCTGCTTCGAGGATGTCGTTGCGTGGAAATCGATGTCTGGGATGGAGAACAGCCCTCGAGCTCGAGCTCCGAAGATGAAGCGGCTAGAATTGGGGCGCGGAAGATCAAGAAGGAGAAGCCTGAGATGGGCATTCGGAAACGGCTTGAACTCCGTTTTGGCAGAAAGGGATCGCCTCCGCATGAGGAGAACCAGAAGGCACCGTCTTCATCTAAAGCTGAAGGCTCCGCCGAGAAGATCCAGCCGTGGAAATCGAGCTCGTCCTTCAGGGCCGAGCCAAGGGTGCTTCACGGTATGACTTATTTTTCTCTCTGCTGCACCACCTCTGAGGACATTTAGGCTACACGCTCACCAAGGATACGCCCTTTAGAGCAGTCTGCGCCACCATTCGAGATTATGCATTCATAGCTTCGTAAGATCTAGTCCAGCTCATTTTGTTCACTTACTAATTCTCCAAGTAATCTACCTGTAATCATCAGTCTCGAAGTCCATACTAGCCCCGGGCAGCAAGAAATCATGGCGGATATCATGACAGAGTACTGGAAAGGAATGCTCGTTGATCTTCCCATCGACCCCTCGCAGAAATCCGAGAACATCACTCTTCCATCGCTAAAAGAGTTGGAGAAGAAGATACTTGTTAAAGTGAAGTACACGCCTCCACAACCCGCTGAGGCCGAGGCGCAACCTTCAACCCTGCAAGCACCCGCAACATTAACCAAGTCTGCTAGTGCTGAGTCGATGACATCCAGCTCGACGTCTTCTGGGGAAGTACCAGAAGTGGAGAAGAAACCTGCTGCGCCTAAAGCTAAGATCGCTGAAGCTTTGGGAAGGCTTGGTATCTACACTAGGAGCTATCACTTCAAAAGCTTGGATCAACCGGGTCAGTTTGTGTACCTGTGACTTCTTGTCGGAATTTTTGTCAAACTAACTTCTTCGTAGAGGCAAAGATACCAACTCACGTTTTCTCGCTATCCGAGAAGTCTCTAATGGAGGTTCACGAGACGCAACCAGCAGCGCTGTTTAAACACAATAAGGCATGTCTGTACTTAGCTGTGAGGAAAGCGGAATGATTGACAGTAGTCTAGAATTTCTTCATGCGCGCATACCCCAAGGGTCTCCGACTTAATTCCTCCAACCTCGACCCATCCATTTTCTGGCGGACCGGGGTGCAGATCGTCGCACTTAACTGGCAAAAGTGGGATGCTGGAATGATGCTCAATGAGGCCATGTTTGCCGGGACCAACGGTTGGGTTCTCAAACCAGAAGGCTATCGAAGTACTAGTAGGGAGACAACGCAGAAGACTGCCGTTCCACATCACAATCTCGACCTTAGTATCGAGTTCTTCGCAGGCCAGGACATACCCCTTTCCCCAGAAGATGATCCGAAAGGCTTCAAACCGTACGTCAAGATTGAATTGCACGTCGAGAAGAACGAGGAGCGCGATGGACAGCCAATTCCAGGCGGCGGAAAGAGCAAGGGTGGAGATTTCAAGAAGAAGACCAAGACCCAGCGGACAACACACCCCGACTTCGGAAGAGAGATTGTCAAATTCGAGGGCATCAAGGGGGTTACGGAGGAATTAACCTTTGTCAGGTATGTAACGGCTACTTGCCTTCCCTCATAAATTTTTCGTTTTCGCATTCACTTTACCCATGGTACGCAATTTCCCGAGCGGCCTTTCTAAACAAGGATTCCCCAACCCGCAGATCCGAGTATATTCACACTTCTTACCGCTCGCGATCATATGGCCTCCCTAGCTTACCTGGTATTCCGCCTTTCTCGGATCGACCCGTTGCAGCCTTGGATCCGAATTCATGCGTTCCGATACCGTGGTTCATAAGTCGCTGGGATCGGGCCCATTCGTGGCGTACCATGCATATCGCCGTTTTTCCCGTTCCAGAATTCCCGTTCAAGCTCAACCATTCCTTTTCCTGGCCATCGGTCTTCCAACTTGCCTGCTGATACCCATCGTCGTGGTACGCCGCGACGCCACTCCGCAATCGGAGCCATGGCCGGCACTCCACTCCACTTCAGCACTCTTGACCTATTAGTTCGACGTTGTTTACCCCCGCTGCTATTTTGCGATATTGCGATATTCTTAGACGCCAGAGCTAACCATCTCCGTCACACAGATTCAAGGTCATGGACGACGAACGCCTGCGCGATGACCTCACCGCCTGGGCCTGCTTCCGTCTCGACAGACTTCAGCCCGGCATCCGCATGATCCATCTGTACGATGCGGACGGCGTCATCACCAAGGGGGTTTTATTTGTCAGAATTAAGAAGACGATTAGTGCGGCCAAGTAGTTGTCCTGTTCAGATTCAAGACAACTCAGTTGCAATGAGATGAGCATCCGCGCACATGCACGCAGGCTGGCAGACATTTGAGCATTATTTGCGCTCGCTCCCTAGGTAGATGGGCTGCAATTAGGAATACGTGCACCCTTGGTCGGTGTGTAAACTGATCTGCGTGTGTCTTAGTTTTTCCCGTTTGAAGTGAAGCGGAGGAGGATCATTTGGGGAATGAGCGTAAGCGATGACTGTGGTCATGGGCACGGGCATGGGCGTAGCACAGGAGCTCGAAGCAACAATAGGTCTTGAATTCACACGGAGACAGGGGTACCTAGACTCTTATAATTGTCTTATCCATCCACGATATGAATGAATGAAGGAACACACGCACGTGGAGTGCAGATAGAGTTGGTTACTCGGTTTCCATTTTCTGTACTTTTCCTAGGCAGCAATGGCAATGGCAACGGATGTGGCTATGGCTAATCCCATTCTATTGATATCCTGATATATCTTCCTACAAAACCATTGCCTGCTTGGCTTCCTGCAGCTCCTAAGTTTTGGAGAAAAAAAGCGGCATGGTCGAGGTTGCTTGACAGTGGGCCAAGGACACGCATACACAATCTCTCTCTCTCTCATTCTTTCTCATGCTCAATTTTCACTCATTGGTCTCGGTGAAGTTGCACTAAGCAAGAGTAGCGTCTTCCGATCAACCACCAAAATCCGTGATTATCAATCTCCATTGTCCAAGCCAGCTACAGGGATCCAGCATGTCTCTATTCTCCGCCCGCATCTACATCTGCAACTTTCTCCGTCCTCGTCTTCGTTTCCTGAATCGGGACTCTGTTCCACAACATACAAAAGCTAATAACGCGCAACTTCAACCCGAAGCAAATCAACCCCGGGGCTGACTAACCTCCGCTGCTCTCTCTTCTCTCCGACCGTATGGAAGCCTGCCATCACGAGCGAGCGGCTCCCGCGCCCAGTTGCGCTGGCCATGTTCCACAATCCAAACACCATTCGTCTGTTCCACGGTCGCCGTTGCAGATAGATTTGCAATGCAGGCCGTGCACATAGCCTGCAGAATCCCCTCCCTGCCGCGCCTTGCGCCTTGCGCCCTGCGACACACGTCCAGCGAGTGCCACGAGCAAGTCATGTGCGTTCCACGGATACCGCGAGTAGCTTACTGTGCACACAGAGGGGCCGATCGACCACGCTGGCAAGCGAATGTGCTCGCATCAGTGCGTGCTGCAATGCTAAATAAGTATTGAGGTCTGGTCTGGGGTTGCGCTGTGCTTCGTGACGTGACATGCCCGACGTCCATGAACTAGACTAGGCTTAGTAGAAGTTGGGATGCAGACCCAGTTGGCGTCCTTCCATGCTTCCATGCAGACAAGCAGACGCAGATGTGCAGAAATGCAGAAATGCAGAAACACAGCAGCCGACAGCTCTCGGGTTCGGTATGCGCAAGCTGGTCATGGCTTCGGGGGATTTAGGCGCCGTTATGGTGAGGGAAATTAGAGCAGCTTTGGGTTGAGCCCCTTGGATAAGAAGGGAGTATGAATGCGGAGAGAGTGCGCGAATATGAGCGCGGGGTATGCTTGACGTCGAAAGCGGATGAGCAATTCAGAAGGAGTAGTTCCACGATGGAATGTACGATCTGGGGTCCTTGAAGCGTGCAGAATACGCTAGACCATTCGGTTGACCGACTTGTTTTTAGGCACTGTCATTGTGCTGAATCCCGGTCATCAATATCTCGCCAGCCTTTGGTGAGTGGAGTGACGGCGTTGGTAGTTGATAACTGATCTTTGCGTGGATATTTAGTACTCGTGTGAGCATGCCGCTAGCGACTGCAATGTCAGTATCGCCTGAGCGGCGGGCAGTGGGAAGGGGCTTATGGTGGATGCGGTGTGAAGACCTACTCACGCATATTTTATTTTTTTTCGATCGAGTAACCAGTCACACATACAGGCTCAGATGCACCGTTCGCTCCACGTAATGCTACAGATAACTCTAAAGCTTAGAAAACAGGCCTTGGTGGCTAGAGTACTATGTGAAGCCGTGAAGCTACTCCCTATGGTGAGGAGGCTAGCGGTTGATCATACAGATGGTGGTGATGTAGACTAGCAGGGTGACGAGGCAAGTGCGGGACTATCTTATAGTTTCCGTGATTAACAGAGTAATTCAACTGGATAACAGGAATAAGAGGGTGTCGTAGCGAATAAGTCAAGCAGCAAGCTCTTTGGAAGGCGTCAGTAGAAGTTAGCGAACCGCCTGACGCACAGATGCGTTGGCACGCTCTTAAAACCGGAAACCCAGCCGAAGGGCTGGAGATGGAAGCAGAGCTACGTTGTCCCAAGAGTCTGGTTGCTGGTCTAGCGTCCGCATTTCGACATCTGGGGTGGAACACGAGGCTGAAATGTCCAGACATCTGTGCAAGCACGCTCTGCAGCTTGGGTGGAGCTATGGGAAATGAAAGGGCGCATGCAATCGTGAAGAATTAGCGCATTCGGGGACCAACCCCATTCTTGGAAACGTTTCACGGAGACTAGTGCGACGGCGTATTTGCATGCTGAACAGAGGATGGAATATCAGTAAACCCGGCAGTTGATAGAATGACCAGTTGAGTGCCTTGTTGAAAGCTTTGCGTGAACCCATTCGTGTGTATGGATGTTTGGCTAGTAGCCATGGAGTGGTTGTGATGGAACACGTATGTACGGAAATGCGCTATGAGTATGGCTTCGTTTACTTGATCCGTTTAGGGCGCTTAAGGCATTGTCTACAGCGACGAATGCTCGACATTCACAGTATGCTGTGAAGTACAACACAAGAGAGGACTTTGTGATGAAGTATTTTTAGATTGGGGTTTTTTTGTTTTTTTGGAAAATGGCAGGCAAAGGTCTGCCGGCATCGGCTAACAGGCAAGGCATTGGCGAAATTCTACGGTAGGTGGCGCTTGTTGGAAGATTCAATGACTGTCAACGAAGTTAAAGAATCCCAAGGTCCGGACGGAATAATCTAATCGCCATTATGTTCATTCTTCCTAACTCGAACTAAGACAAAGGGAGGAGACCTGTCTGCAATTTCCGGCTGATTGGACGAATTTGCTGGTCGAGGGTGGACTCGACGGGAAGCTGCGTATAGTGTCACTTTGGTGCGATAAACCACGCCCTTTGGGAAAGTAACCTGGGATAAGCAAGAAGTGTAGAGCGGATTTCAAGAACCTGTCATATTCTCCAATCTCTCTTGATCGTGAAGCTCACGTGTTTAAGAAATGAAGCGTGTAACTGAACGATCGATCAAGAGAAAACGTTCATCGAGATTTCGACTTATGGTTGGATATATGAAGGGTCGAAGTGGGAAACTACTTTTTTTTAGTAGCCTCGATAGAGTAAGGGTAGGCTTCATGCGAAGACCTCCCAATGACAGCGCCTAATTCCTGTGATCGGTTCTCAAAACGGTAGCACGAAGCGTTGGTCTCCTCCAAAATCTTTGGGCATTCTGAATACGTGGGTAGAGGACTGGAAGTGAATGCAGCGCCTCAGCCTAAAGTCCCCTGTACCGTCCGATGCCGAGACCGATTTTCGACAGATGGACAACGCAATGACTACCTGTGGCGAAAACCTGACGGGGAGTTTGAGGAGCAGTGGAGCACCAACCACATGGGAAGATAGGAACACCACCATCGCCATCTGCCACACTGAGAGATCTCTTGTCGAATCCACAATTCCGTTGAGCATATTGGGACGAAATGGCGGCCAGAGCATGGCTACCTCCGAAATATTTCCGGAAGGAACTCGAAGAGCCATACCTTTACATCATCACAACACATCCGGAAGTTTAGAGGCATGTGTCAGATGTACGCAGGTTCGGGCTGGCCGCTAGAATGGCAGGTGGGTCGTGAACAGGATAAGCCCATCTGCATGAGCGCCGTTAAGTCTTAGAGGAATTCTGGGCAAAAGTGAGCATGTTTCTGGCCGATTCAATCAACAGACCATGCCACTCTCGATCGGAGGTAATGCGGGATCGCTTATTAAGTAGTAAAGGAGACGTAGCACCCGATCTTTTCAACCGTATGGCACATAATAAACGTTGTATGTTTTTATGCAATGACTAAATATCTTGAACAGAGGTGATGCTGTGGTCGACACTCGGTTCAGACTAGGCCGTAATCGCATGTTTCCTGGAAAGCGAAAGATGCATCGTGGCGGTTCTGCGAGAGCTGTGATACCCAGGGATGCAGTTCGCTGTACTTAATACAACCATCTACTGGGACTTGTCGTCCCAATAGAGTTGTCGCATTAGGTTGCGGGGCGGCCCCGTAGCGTGAGGGTTCTGTGTTCCGTGACAGTTGACAGAATGTAGACTAGTGTGTTGTCTGTGCATTCGCTGAGCGTGGCGTTGTGGTATGATGCTGGCGAATACAAGCTGTCGTTGTAACGAAGCAGTCATTTCGTGTACCGGCAGTTGTTCGTTGAAGCATGAAACTTGATTGATAAAAGTGATGCGGAATGGTTTCCCGCCACAGCCGGTGCAATTCCATGGGAGGACTGGACGATGTGGAGAGATAAACCAAAACAAGGGTTGGTATGACGATCCCTGAACCACGCTTCACCCCAACTTTGGCTCACATGAAGACTGTTAAAGGTGCAGCAGGGCAGGTAGAGCATATAATGTGGATATCTGTAACATAGTTAGTGTAGGAATACCATCCACAAAGCGGACTGAGCGGCCGCAACGGCAAGTATTGATATTAGGCGTCGTAATTGTTTGGGTTCGGTGATGGAAGATCCTATCCCAAACCGGGCTTGTAGCACACTTCCATTTCTCGGTATTTCTGCATAAGAGATCCGAACTCAGTTTTCAATAATGCAAGCCGGAGATGGACCAAGGAGCAACTGTGAAAGACATTCTCGAAGGAGTGGGTTCTGAACCCAATGACAGGGCAGTAGTGGGTGCTTGATTGCGTGTCACAGCCTCCTAATCGGGAGCTTATGTAAGCATCCTGGGAGCTCAGATAACCAAACTATAGAAGGCCAGGGATCTTGAGGCCTTTCGGGTCTCATTCGGAAAGTCTATCTGCATTGATCATACATGCTTTGGATGCAAACCCAGCGAGGGCAAAATGACTTGTCTCGTTCGCCTAGGGGAACGGGTTCAGTATTGGAGAAATGTTTGTTGATATGTTAGTGCCCAATAGAACTATAACGAAAGGTTTTATTAGGTCTAACAATGCCTTCAATGATCAACTTTCATTTCCTGCCTAAGTTTGGAAAGGTACCAAGGTGGGCTTTATCGTTTCTGATGGCTGGAAGGTTAATTTAACTAGCTTCGTGGAACCATGTCAGCGCCGAAGGGGAATATATCGAATAGAACTCTGGCAAGATTTGAAATTTGGCAAGTTCGAGTCCATAGCGATTGAATGAAGAATGCGCGAGTATGCGAAACACAACGACAACGCAGCCCAGGCTCAATTGCGACCACAGCGACGTGAGCCTATACTCAAAATCATGAGTTAGTCAGAGTAGACAGTTACAGATGCGGTGCATAGGATCTCCGGTTGCATTATCTCAAGCAGAGCTCTCGCTGGCAGCATACAGGGATCTTATTTGCTTGAACTTGCAGGGCGCTGGGTGATAGTGTCACAACGGGATCGAAGCTACGGTACGTGTTCCAAGGTAGCAAGCGGACGTCGCGCATCGAGCACGGATATCTAGACGCCTCAGAGACAAGTAGGTCAGTGATTCTGGTGCGTGAAAGAAGGAAGACACTTATTCTCAGGGGCGTCTTAAACGTTATTTGCGAGTCCGAAAATGACAGGGTGTTGTCTTTATGGCGTGTTGGTTCACTTTCGCAGATTGATGCATGGGCAGCATTAGCGTCTGGAATGGAACATGGAAAGTGATAGATCACATTTTCGCGATGACTCATCTTCGGTATTTGAGTTCACCGGTAGCTGTTCTCCATCAATGATCTTCGCCTGCAGCTATCCAGCAGATTTTTTTTTTTTTTCTTGTGCGTTGCTGCAGGACAGCCGCGTTTCTTGTGGCAGCAAGAATTATGATGTGCCGAGAACACGACCTGGAACCAAGAAGACAGGACTCGTGTTCAACGCTTCGAGAATGGAGTATTTACGCCTTGGTTATTCTGAAGGGGGGGGGCCGGATTTGGTGTGGACGTTGCGATATGCCTGGGGTATTGGAGGAGCTCCAAGTACCATTTCCGAAGCATTGAACATCTAAAATAGGAAACGTAAACGTGATATCCCCATTCATGCCGCCTTGGAAGCCATGCAGGTCTGCTCGGTCGACTGCCGGACCTACTCGAAAAAGGAATAATATCATGCTCCCGAGCGCCTGAGACCGTTTGAAGGGCCTCGGGGAAATGTGTGATCATGTACTGCCACTGTACATGCACGTACGCGTGTGCTACCTTCCGAATGGTCAAAGGGTACAAAGTTTGATGGCAAATGCATGTTGAAGCCTCACAAGAAATGACGGTAGGGAGTGGTTGGGGTGCGCTGGGGTTCGCTGGACACAAGCGTAGCACACGCTAGTGAAGGACAGGACGATAAGAGAAGGGGTTGGAAGCCGTAAAATATCGAAGTGTGGTAGGCATCAAATATAAAAGGGTCGCCAGTGTCCGCCTTTCTTTAGGTTGTCAAGTTATCCACACTCTAACTCGACACTAACTCTGTTTACTTCTTCCCAATACAATTCCACCTGCGCGTCTCTCTCTATCACCTGGAATATCCTTCCACTCCACCGAGATGTGCCATCAAACTCCCATTGACAAGATCGTGGTCCCGGCTATGTATGATGGAGAGGGAATTACCACCATGCCTGTTCGTATATTCTCTTGTAGCTAGACCCCTCTCGCATAGAAACGAGACTAACTCATCCAGGTACCTGGACGCCGCTGCCCTGCTTGCTTGGAAAGAGGTGACACTGTTTGGGTGATCCCAGGAAAGTGCTGTCCGGTGTGCGGCACTCCAGTCAGCTAGGTGGCTTCCATGGGTACTAGCTTACGAGGATGTCGGATTTCTGCAGCTAATTTGTTCAAGACTGCTCCAACGGCCATCTCTAGTCTTGATACTATTTCGATATCCATTGGCAAGGTTATTGGGATTTCGGAAAGTGGTTCGTCTGGATTCTACCGGTGTGGACTTTCGGCTGCATTTCCAGGAGTACAATCAGTAGCGCCATCGTCAATGCTGTTTCTTCTGTCAAGGTCTAGTGAAGGTAGATGAATTAAAAGTTGTGATTTCCTGTCTTGATTAGCAATTCTTTCCTGAAGGTTGCTTTCTGAAGGTTGCTCAGGGTGATCTGATTCTCATAATGTCCTGTGTCTCATGAAGTCCTACGCCTTCCAGATTGGTAAAAGAGAATAATTTCGCTGGAGGTTTGGACTATTGCTTGAGGGAGACACCGGGTTCGAGGTTTTGCATTGGAAGTGGCTGAGAATGAAAAGTGGCTGCTGATGGAGGGTGGCGATAAGGAATGCGGTCTCTCTACTTTGGCTGGCAGAGCTCTCGCTCAAAAGTTAAGATACGCTCTAATCCGTAAAAACTGTGGTCCAGCCCTGTATCTAGAAAGTCAGTGGTCCGTAGAACGCGTTTGGGCGTAGGGACTGGGTGTGTAGCTGTTGAGGAATGACCCTACGCGTTTCTCGGGGTGTCAGTTCAGGGCAGAAGTTCCAGATGAGCACCGAAAAGGGGCGTGCACGGAGGCCATTAACCGCACGCACTATGCATACCTAGGTAACGGCTACTGGTGAGGCTATCCAGAAGTGTAGACGTTAAAAGTCTGGTGGTTGAAGGTTGAGGTTGAAATGACGTTTGAGTTAGCGAGAGGCGAATGCAACTTCAATCCGCGGTGCCAAGCCAGTCACATGCTCGTACATTCCACACCTCGCATCTGGGCTAATTTCAATAAAGAGCCATGGATTCATATTTTGATAACGCGGTGAATGCTCAAACGCAAATTAGGCGGCTTCTACAATGTCTAGATCAAGGTCGCTCTCATAGAAACACTCCAGCCGAGGAATTGATCGATTGATTGTCAGAAATATCGAGTGCGCGGTTCATTATCTGAAGTGGGAACAGGTCCGCTACAGGAAACGAGAGCACAGCGTTGACAAACTCGCCTTCGGGATCCACTGGTGTAGGAATACTGGGTGCTGTAGTCCATCTTGGTGTTTCAAAGCTTGGGGTTAGGATGTTGGTCTTCGTGGGAGTATCTTCCTTGACCGTTTGCTCCTGTGCCAGACAGTACAGATAGCACCTGTCGTCAGGATTTAGTCCATTGAGAATTGCCCCACTGTATGGAATGATGGGCTGCCCGCGACAACAGAGGTACATGTCATAAAAGCAATGAGAAATGCTGTAGCTGCTTGTAAACCTACATGCTGGGTGAACGTCGGGAATTGGCTGGATGCCAGAGCCGTATGACACGTTGGTTCCTGGGACAACTGATACTGTGGGCGTAATGGACAGAGTGATGAATGAGGAAGATGGTGAAGAGTACAAAAAGATGCTGTGGCGAAACGTGAACCGTCTGAAGAAATAGCAAATGATAGGCTGGCTGAACTGAAGCAGTGGGGAGTGGAAGTCATCTTGCCTGGGGCACAGCTCTCTGAGCGCTATGGCTCTCAAATGACTATAGCAAAGAATATCGAATACGGGTAAGCCACCCCTAAAACACATTTCCACAGCTACCAGACTGAAAAGGATAAATACTTAGTTTCTCCATGATCGCCACTTATTACTACTGTTGGCCCCACAAAGCCTTGCGAAATTCGCATAGGCATCTCTAGATCCAATAATAGATAGTTACCCAATCACTGAAGATCAAGTTCTAGGAGCACTCGGGAGAAGATGCCTGCTAGTGATACTTGGCGACCGGATTTCGAATTGCCACAGCCCCAGCCTTACGCTCTTTATCCTCTATAATCCATAGTTCTTAGGTCGCCACGGCCCTTGCGGCTAACGGCAGTGTCATAGCCTTGGCCATCGTCACTGTCTCGGGGCCTGCGCTGGGCACATCTGCATAACTGAGTGTGCGCCAAGAGAGAATGCCAGGACTCGGGAATTGATTCGAAGGAAACAAAAACAGAAGAAGAACATGCCAGGCCCTAATTTAGGAGAAGTATTTGGAACTCCCTAAATCTTTCTTGATCCCAGTAAAAGACTCAAACGCTCGACATGTTCCGTAATCACCACCAACATCACCAGATCAAAGCCCAGATCAAAGCCACCGACAACCTACTGGAAAAGCAAGACATCGGTCCACCTCTAGTTACTCTGAACCCCAACTGCCATCGTAAGCTCGAGCTGCACCCCTTGCCCCTATTCGCATGACACAGTTTCACAAGAAAACACCACGAACCCATGGTTTTTTCCACATCGCTCTCGTTGACGGCCTGCATTGCATTTGAAACACATCCCAGGTTTCAGCTAGCGCGCTGCGCCACTTGCCCTTTTTGTGACCCCTGTTATTTATCGTTGCAAAGCGTTCAGGTTTGGGCACACCTAAGATTTCTTGAATTTGTGCTTCCAAGTGAACAAAATTTCAGTTAAGGCGGAAATTAACAGAGAGTCTTCACCTTGCCTTGAAAACGCACTCGTCACTTTCACGCTCCAGGGTTGCGTTGCCATGGTAAATTCGACCCCACTCTTGTGTGATGTGGCACCGGGGATGATGCCAGGGCATTCGCTTGGAGCCGCTGAAAAGGGAACAGCGAAATAGGTGTATTAACGATAAACATGATCTTTCTTGGACTGTAAAAATACAGTTAGACGGCGCTAGCCTAAAGCAGAATTTGTGCAAAGTCCTTGTAACTTACACTACCACCGCAACTTAGATTTCTAAGGCACGTTTTTGTTAGCGTATTACATATGCTAAGAGTTCAGCTAACATCTCATAGGGCAGATCTTTAGCAGAATTCCAAAGAGACAGCGGACAGTATGTTACGACATACACAATTTTCGAATCTGATCAATCATCACTAATGGTTTTAATAATCCGAAAAGGGGGAAATACCGCTAAGCACGTGCCTTCACTGGTCTGGCGCCACAAGGCGACCCCAACGCGGGTCTCAGACTGGTAAGTTCCTAAAATATCAACGGCCAGCCATGTTCCCTGCACATCCCAAAACAAACTCCATCTCGCAGCGTCCTTTTATCCGCACCTGCATAAACACCATCACACAGACACACTCACACCGCACTTTCCCCCGGTTTTTTGGATTATTGAGAGCAACAAGCCTGGCAAGCGAATGTCCTTTCGAATTCACGACGATTCACAGCGCCCGAACTCCTACCTATTGACATCGACAGTGACAGTGACGAGAAGACTCAAGAGAATGACATGAACGCTGTTGGCTGGAGCTACGACGACGCACTCCGATCCGCTCACACAACCACCCCACCACCGGCAACTATGCCCTCCATGTACACCTCCCCACGAAACACAACCGGTCCTCTTGCCGTCGACACTGCATCCATGTCACCCTCTGACCACAGCTCGACTGCCTCTCCATGGCAACGCATGAATCCGCACGCTGCCCCGCAAACCAACTCCAAAACATCCCAATATATCGACAAGATCACCCAAGAGAACGAGCGTCTGCGACGAGAACTAAAGGCCGAGCGCGCCGCCCGGGAGAACGAGGCAAAGCAAGTGTCAGCTGCGAGGACGAGAGCCGAAGACTCCCGTGGAGAGCTTCAGCACCTGCAAGTGCTCGTTGACGCCAACAAACGGGCCATAGAGCGAAAAGATCGCAAGCTCGATGAAATGAAGGCCTCGCTAGAACTAGAATCCAAACGGCGGAAAGAGGCCGAGGCCCGGGCCGAGGAAGCCCTAAGCATGCTTGGAGATATCCGATCAGAGACGCAGCGAGAGCTTGCGGCAGCATACGAGATGAGGCATCTTGCCGAGACGAACGCCGAAGCTGCCAGGGACGGTTTCAAGCGCATCACTGATGGCTATGAGCGGAAAGTACGCGCTATCAACGAGGAACTAAACGAGTTACGGAAGGAACGGATGGAGGACGCAGATCAGATCAAGCGGCAGATGATCATCAGCGACCAAATCCAGCATGAGACGGCCAGAAAGCTTCGAACAGAGGATAAGATGACCGACATGATGGCCCAGTACAAAGCAGAGCATCGAGCCGAGGTAGACAACCTAGTTCAAGAGGCCGAACAAATGCGCTTGGCTCTCCCATCCAAAGAAGCAGAAGCAGCCGAAGTGATCAAGGAGATGAAAGAGATCCGGGATAAAATGAAGTGGGTCATGGCTCTCAAGGCCCAGCAGAGCAACAGCAAATAGGGCTTTTTTGTCATGACGCATATTAACGAGTTAATGAATTCTGGATAGATCGGATCTGTACAATATCGGCCCGAGGCGGCACTTCGGGGCGCTTTGTAGGGTTCAGATGTGCATCATAGGGTAGGGCGTTGCATAGGCATGGTCGGATAATGGGATAGGTATGGGTGTCGATTTTTGCAATTGGATCATTGTCTTCGGCATCTAAACGATGCCGCTTCATCTTTGCCTTAATACTGCTTGAATTCTCGTACCCCCGTCCTTCGTTACGGGACTGAAGAGGCTAAACTAAAGTGTTAGGTACCTTACTGGGCTTCAGTGAGCAGTCAAGACGTCCACAAAAGTAACTGGAATTTCCAGAATTGTACGCAAGGAGATCACGACACTACATGTTACTCTAACGGAAAATTAAGGCGGAGGTTAAACCTCAACGCCTCTAACAGATCTCCCATCTCTCACTAATCACCAATCGTTCCCCCAGCAAACCACCCACCCTTCCGTCCTTTCACCTCCAACCTACCCGTTCATCTGCATCCCTCCCTGCCCAAACCTAACCTTATCGCCCAACCCCAGCCTCGCATACTCATCCTTCTTCTTCTGCTTCTCAACCTCCTTCTGCTTAAGCTTCTCGTACTCTTCCTCCGACCCAGCAAGGACGTTTTGTTTATCTTTGCTAGACGAAGGGGAGAGTCTGCGTTTTGCGGCTGAGAGCGCGGAGTGCATTGCAGATTTTGATTTGGATAGGGATCTGTGAGTGAGGGGTGTGAGTCAGAAAAAGTAATGTAGTATCGTTCGTAGAGTTGCGGAGGAGGGAGAGGAAACAAGGCTGACGAAGGAGACTAGCTTACTTTTGTTTTTGCTGCGCTACTGGGTCGATTGATTCTAGGGATGGTCGATGGTGTGCTTGCATGTCTTTGCTATCGCTGTTGCTGTTCTTGGATGCGTCGAAGGGATTCGAGCTCATGGCTATTGGCTGGCTGCTAACAGTATGTCGAGGCGACGCTTCAAATTCGCCTGGCATGTCTTAAGGGTCTTGGAGATTGTGTTGGATGATGGAGAAGATTACGCTGAGAACAAGCTCGATGATACTAGATTAATTGATGATGCTTCGAAGATTCGTCAATCGCACTTGAGGAGGATATTTGTATTCGCTGACTGCAAAAATATTTCCAGGCTGAGTACGTGTAGCTTGTCGTGGCCTGATGCAGAAGGTTCTTGGAGAGGAAGGTGTTCAGTCTTGACAAGATAGTGAATTGCGTCGTCTTGATGATAATGATGAATGTTGGGGTAAACGTAGTTTTGCAGCCTGCACGAAGACGGAAAGGATCAGAGATATTGGCTGTGGTGTGTGAATAATGTGCATATAATTGATTGTCAAAGTGGTGGTGATGTGGTGGTATCTGCCTGGCCTTAGGCACCTTTATGTCCACGTAAGATTACCATCTTGTTCATATCACACTCACAGGAATTAAGAGAGAGCTATGCGCTGTATGGATCGTTTATTGCTCATACTTGCGTTATTGATAATCGTTGTGGGTATCCTAGAGGGTTAAGCCAACTCAGGGTTGCATTTCTGCTTCTGGGGGTATGTGGGATGGGTTAGTCGTGCAAGGCATCGATGTACGCGTGTGAGACACGGCTAGCCCCGGAAGGAAGCTTGGTCAGATGGCCATTGGGTCTTTCGCTGATGTACGGAATAGACGCTTGAGAAAGTCATCTTGCGTTCATCGAGCGCGGGAACCACTGCTTGACTGGCTGATTGGCTCATTCAGGACGGCTGCACGTCTTCATAGGATCTTTCTCCCCGCGGTTGAAGACATTGGGTAGCGTGATTGGTTCTTTCTGCATCGCTAATTCGTTAGGATTGAATGACTCCATCGCCCACTAGAGATGTCCTAGTAGTCCATGTTAACAAGGCTTTGAATGCGAAAGATTCTGCAAGGATGCAAGGCCTGAATGCGAGACGGCCTTGGCTTACGATACACGAACAGCCTGAGGACATTGGGAGTCATCGCTTGCCGCGCCACATGAGAAAGCCATCCATGAATATTTTCAACACCACCTTCAGATGCCACTGCGAAAACTCCGACCGCATCGTATTCTAGACGGTACAGTTTCAATGACTCAGAAGGCTGTGCTCAAAACAAAGCAACTATCATCATTTAAGCATGCATTGCGAAACCATCCCAGAAACAGCAGTACATAAAATCGCCCGGCAGCATGAAGATGCTAACCATCCACATGGTTCTTGATAGGTGATGAGAAGGTGGAGGCGTTCACCTCTGATACCTGACGGTATTTTCATGGAGAAGGCCCTCAGCGACAAACGATCACTAGAAGCTAACGAAGTCGAGTCGACCCCACCCACGCCGTGTGATTCTTGGAGACATAACATTATACCTCCATGCTTTGGAGCGAATAGTGGTGATCTTCCGAGAGATAAGCTCCAGAAGCCCAAACACACCGCTTGCCATTCATCGAAATACCGTGCTAGAGAGCAGGACAACGTTTTCCGACATTTTTGTCCCACGCTAAACGTAGCATCTGTTGGTGCTTCGCTACAGGAAGGAAGATACTTGACATAAAGACTTGCCGAGCCAGATTAACAAACGATAGCAAGTGAAGAGCGATCGTCATCAGATTCGGTTTGTAGGACTGGCAGGAGGCGAGACCGCCCTTTTTATATGGCGGCCCGCTTCCTTTGGTGATGAGACAGGGGTGAAAGAGCGGTGGCAGGGGTTTCGAGGCGGGAGGATTTGATGCAGGAACACATATGTTGTGGAGGGGAAAGCGACGCTGCTTAACCAAGGTTTGAGAAGCCGGGTCTCACGCCATGAAGGAGAAGAGCATGGATGAGAGGCTGAGAGGCTAGACACTCACATAACCAATCCAACCTAGTTGAAAGACTCAGGAAATGGAAGTTGTCACTAAAGAGATATCATCGCTTCCAGTATATACAGCTGCATTGAAGCCCGTGCCACTAGGCCAATTGCCCGTCTACTCGTTTGGTGATCGGTCAACCGGCTGCTCACCCTTGATGGTTCCCTCTCTCAGAGCCTGGAGCTTGCGCTCGTTGTCCTCGAATGCGTCTTTCCTATACTTCTCAATAGCGTGACTGATGTTTGCCTGGCTGCCTGCAGGGACATTGTATGGGGATCCGACATTAAAGACACTGCTTTCGTTAGCCCAGAGTATCGTACATGCAACCCCCTCTCGTCACGCGAGGGCGTCCAGCGCCTATAAAATCCAATTTCGTATAGCTTCCTTCCTTGTGCAATATAGCACACCTAGAAGCTGAGAGGAACGTACTCAGGAGACCTCAGATCAATGAATTCCTGTGGTTTCGAATTTGCAAACAACACGCGATCCGAGCCCGCCTGCTCCAACAATCTGACGTGAAGGTCATTCTTCGCGGCCCATTCCTCCTGGTGACTGTGATATTCTGCGATCATGCGTGTGAGGAGTGGTGGTGAGTCAGAGTCGGGGTCTGGTCGCGAGACTTGGTAAAGGGCACCAAGGGTTGGGACAAGGGCCACGGTTCCCCAGAATCCCCACTGCATACCCAGTCATTTCAGTATGGCTAGAATACCAATTCATGGCTAGGATAGATCCACTGGAAGTTGTGGAGCAAAGCAATTGGTGTTGAGGGGAGGCAGACGTACCCCGAAGGACTCGTTCACTGGGGCATGGCCGGCAGCGTGAGTGTGTTCGTCGTGGGCATATCGGCGCGGCTGCCGTGTGAGGTTGATTCGGGATTTTCGGGCAGTGGAAACTGCTGTCCGGCGGAGCGATTGCATGGCTGTGGATGGAGGCTTTCGTTGAGAGGTGGGAGCTCTCGCCATGATGCGCTTGGGGGTGGTGCCAAGGGCATTAGGCGCTTGCCGCTATAGGCTTAGTACAACATCTCATCCATGGAAGCCCTTCCACGCATGCACGCCTCCAACCCTTGGTACAACGACTCACTCCGAGCACCCGGCTTCTTGCGGCTTTCCATTAAGGCTCCGAACAGATCCCTCGTTCTCAACATGACAGACTTTTAGGAACTGAGTGATGGCATCCTCTTCATCATATTCTATCAGTTGGTGAGTTCTGGCTAACCACAACGTTGAAGCTGAACCATGAGCGCTATGTGCTTCTGCGACGATTCCATTTAGTGTAACCGAGATTGGAAGACTTCACGGAGTCGCAGATATTCAAAAATGTATCAGTAGCAGATGATGAACGCCGAATTGACCTCTCTAGTCGATTCCTCGAACACCTCCAGGATCCGAGGGACTCCTTCAGGTTCGCATTAGCATCACCTCTTCCTAGTCCATTTATTTCATCTCAGATTCTGTTGCAACATAAATCCGGCTGGTTATTGTACATAGCTGGAATGTTGATACTATCATGTCGGAGGATATGCTTCACGCTTTCCACATGCGATGGCCAAACACCCGGCTATATGTTCGAAAGCTTCGACAAGGCTCTCTTTCGTCACCGAAGCTTTACCTACTTCAAGTCTCGGCAGCGTGTAAGTACTGCTATTCACATCACGCTTTATCTCTTTCCGGTGGCTGAAGATCTTCTTGCTTCAATATGTCGGTCTTCGAGTGCTGTCATTCAACATCCACAAAATTTTATCTTCATCGATGATCTCTCCGTGATGTCGGTGGAGGTCAGTTGAATCATCCTTTGGAGCCAGGTAGCACTTTACCCACTCTGGAAGGTCTCACCATAGAGGCATGTGATTATAACTTCACTAAACACCATTGTGAGCGATGGCTCCATTCGTGAGCTGCTCGAAACTTCGATGCTTGAATTTCGGCTCATCGGCCCCTCACGTATTGTTTTAAACCTTAGTAGCCCCGTTTCACATTTGCATTCACTGGGATTTGGAGACGACCGGTGAGCCTCTACGAAGATATCTACCAAAGGAGGGGAGCATGAGGCCCTTAAACTCGCTCTACAGTTTACCAAGTCCATTCTAAAGTAGTCGGAATTTCACCATCTATAACCATGTGGTAAGTTTTCCCAAAATTCCCTGGTCGACTATTTTACTCAGACATCGCAATTCTCTAAAGTACCTACCTATGCGTGCAAATCGTGAAGACCTACAAGACACAATGACCCTTGAGGGTACCGCTCCGGAAGCACCTACCTCCCGTGTTTACGGGACTTAAGCGTCGTACTTCCACCACTACGCAGAATGTTCTAAAATGGAATATATTTCTACCAATAGGTACTCGGCCTCATCTACACCCTGGATTGAATAATTTCATGTTGACCTACTGGCCTGCTAGAGCTGCTACAGCTCTTTGCCGACATGGGCATTTGTGAAACTTGATAGTATCAGCACGAACTCCTCTAGATGTTTGATACTCTTTGTTTCTACCTGTACAAGCTTGTGCTGAACATTTACTGCGAGAATTATTTGAGTGCCTTCTTTTTGGTCGAGATAAGTGAGTTGAACACTGTCGCGGTTCGCTTCTGGCACGGAGGAGAACGATCCTCTCTCCCACATGAGGATCGTTCCATGTTGCATCCACATACGAACCAAATCATCTACACTGGGGGTGCGTTAGATGGCACACGGACATCTTAAGTGATAGTGATGCCAGGGATTTTAGGTAGTGCAGAGAAAAAGGTACCCAAGCTCAATTTTCATATGGGAGACTCTGATGTCAATCGAATTCTCCTTCTATTTTATTCGGAATATGAAACGATAGACTTATACATCCCTCAGAATCGTTGCCTCGGACTGCACTTCGCAGGGACTGCCTAAAGTGGTAGGCATCGGACTCTCCGACTCTCAAATTGCCCCACCCCTGTCGAGCCTCGGCATCTTTCTCATCTACCGCAACTCGTGGACGTTCCCCACACCTCCAAGCTTCAGACACTACTACACCGGGCATGAAATGACAAGTAATCATGCTTGTTCCTCTGGCATGTGCAACTACATAAATACTCACCCCCCCCCCCCCCCCCCAGCCAATTGCCCCCTACCGTGATCGAATATTCATCGCATCGAGGACCGAAACATCACGTTCCTACTGCTGGGGATTAGCATCCATCTTCCACACCACAAGCCCCTTATCCTATTTGACTTCCAACATACAATGCCTTCCTTCACATCTGTGCACCTCGCCGAGCGACCGAAAGATCGCATTGTCCCCGGAAAAACCTTCACGACGAAACAGCGCTCTGTTCCTACCATATCCACCCTTAAAGATGGCGAAGTCCTCTTCCAGACACTTTACCTTTCTCTCGACCCGGCAATGCGTAGTTGGCTGAATCCCACTCGTTCATATATCCCACCTGTCCAGATAGATGAAGTGATGCGCGGCTACGGCATTGGCATTGTCCAAGCTTCGAAATCCCAAAAGTTCCCAGTAGGCACCTATGCGAGCGGAATGTGTGGTTGGACTGAATATGCTGTTCTAAAAGACAAACAACTCGAAGCACTTGAGTTACCCGAAGGAGCTGTGCCGACGGATGAGCTGGGCGTTCTGGGTATGACTGCTTTAACGGCGTATTTTGGGATTCTTGATGTTGGGCAAGTGAAGGAAGGAGACTTTGTGGTTGTGTCTGGGGCTGCGGGTGCGACGGGAAGTGTTGTGGGGCAGATTGCGAAGATTAAGGGAGCCAGGGTTCTAGGTCTCGCCGGTGCCGACGATAAGGTGAAGTGGTTGAAGGAAGAACTGGGATATGACGAAGCCCTTAATTACAAGGACCCGGAATTTAGGAAGAAGTTCCGCGAAGCGACGAAGGTATGTTGAACGAATTCTACTGCCCTCCGATTTCTGATATTCCGATAGGGTTTGATCGATGTCTACTTCGATAACGGTAGGTGCTTGTTTCTGTTCGTATTGCGAAAGGTTGCTAACTACAAAAGTTGGTGGCGAAATCCTGGACATGGCACTTGCGAGAGCAAAGCCTCATGCTCGATTCATCATGTGCGGTGCTATTAGCGAGTACAACAAGACCAAACCGCAAGGACCAAAGGTAACTTATCATATCCATAACAATATCAGAGTTAAAGTTTGTAGAACTATCTTATGATCATCTCCATGCGAATTCGGTAAGAGGATACAATGCGGCATTAAACCTCTCGTCTAACAAGATCTAGGATGCAAGGCTTCATTGTCACAGACTACACGGCGCAATTCCCCAAAGCGAAGAAGCAACTCGCGCAATGGCTATCAGAAGGAAAGCTGAAGCGGAAAGAAACGATTATCAAAGGTGGTCTTCCGAAAGCTGAACAGGCACTCGTAGACCTATTCAATGGAGCAAATACAGGTAGGTAAACTTCAAGGCACAGTAAGTAACATGCTGCTAACCGCCACAGGGAAATTACTAGTGGAGGTTGCACAGCCGGAAGATGCAAAGGCAAAGTTATGAGAGCTAGAGAAATTACCAGTGATTGTACGATAAAGGGCTAAGGTAATGCCTGGTGCCTGAGAAAATAGCCACTGTCGGCATGCGTCTAGATCCTACATGCTGGCACATATGAAAATAGGGAGTTCTAGAATACATTAGAATTTCAAGTGCTCTCAGGGCTCTCCTTTCACTCTAGCAATGAGCATAAACAGCCTTTTAGTTAATAGTCCGTACTACAGTAGGTGGCAATATGCATTGGAGTAGGAAAGGGATACTCCCATGCTGGTGAGGTTCCTCTGTTTAACGAACAAAAAGATGAAGCTAGCATGCCTGCTGACATACACACCGGTCTTAAGCCATGCTATCTCCATGTTTCACATCACAATCTGACTGTTGCGGGAATGGCATCTAAGATAGATGAAAACTCAACTGAGTTCCTACATGAGTGCGGATAGTGTCGAGAATGTAGTTCCTAACAACAAACCATCAACGCCAGATTACCCAAAGAAACCACATGCTGAACAAAAAACAGCCCCTCCACCGCAAATCCACAAGGTGTAACCACCCTCTCATGCGGGGCGCGTCAGGCCACGGACAATAACACTCGGAGTTCTGATGGCGCATTGCAACGGCATTCAAAACCCCCAGCGTGAGTGGTTGGGTGCCTGCTAAGATCACGAGTCTGCATGCGTGCTATCCCCACTATGACTCTGTCTAACATGAGCTTATAAACAAGCTCCTGCGAAAGTGAATCCTACACATCGTCCCAATTAGTGGTGTCTCTGCAGAAGAAATGTGCAGATGCTTAGAAATTCAAATTCTGCTAAGTTGCACTTGGAAACGTTTAAAAGTATCAAGTTCGACCCTCACCTCCCATAACACCAAGTCAAATCATCCATTCTACATCCTAGCAACATAACCTATCTTCAAACAATCCCATCTCTATCACTCTATCACAATGACTCCAAAAAGATTCGAGGCCAAGATGGTCGACCCCTCCCCCCTAGGCCAACCCCTCCACTTCTCCTTCGCAAACCGCTCAGCTCCAAACCGTTTCCTCAAAGGAGCCATGACCGAGCGTCTCTCCTCCTGGCACCCGACAGATCTCCCCGCACGCGGCATTCCGTCCAAAGAAGTCATCAATGTTTACCGGCGCTGGGGCGAGGGCGGCCTTGGCACCATGCTCACTGGTAACATCCAGATCGAACTCGACCAACTCGAAGCCGCTGGAAATCTCATCATCCCACGCACAGAGCCGCCTTCTGGACCTAGATTTGAAGCATTTGCGGAGTTGGCGGAGGTGGCGAAGAGGGAGGGGAGTTTGATTGTGGCACAGGTCAGTCATCCGGGACGGCAGTGCCAGAATACGATTCAGAAGGATCCTGTGAGTGCGAGTGACGTGAAGCTGGAGGGAAATCTCTTCGGGATGGAGTTTAATAAGCCGCATGCTGCCACCCAGAATGAGATTAACATCATTGTGGAGGGTTTTGCTCATGCAGCCGAATACTTGGAAAAAGCTGGGTTTGACGGGATAGAGCTACATGGCGCCCACGGTATGCTCTACTCGTCCTTTTGAAGTATTACATAGGCTCATAGCTATCCTAGGATATCTCATAGCGCAATTTCTATCCGAAACAACCAACCTCCGCACCGACTCCTACGGCGGCACTATCCCCAATCGCGCCCGCATCATCGTCGAAATCGCCGCCGCAATCCGTTCCCGAGTCTCCCCTTCCTTCATCCTGGGCATCAAACTCAACAGCGTGGAATTCCAAGCTCGCGGCTTCCAGCCCTCCGACGCGCGCGAAATCTGCAAGATCCTGGAGGAGAATCGTTTCGACTTTGTCGAACTATCAGGGGGCACGTACGAGCAGCTTGGGTTTGTGCACAAGCGCGAGAGTACTAAGAAGAGAGAGGCTTTCTTTATAGAGTTTGCGGATATGATTGTTCCTGTGCTGAAGGAAACGAAGGCGTATGTGACAGGTGGGTTTCATACTGCTAGCGCGATGGTGGATGCGCTTAAGACGGTTGACGGCGTGGGGCTTGCGAGGCCTGTTTGTCAGGAGCCGCGCCTATGCAAAGACATTCTCTCTGGAAAAGTCAATTCTGTAATTCAGAAGGTGTTTGATGAGAATGACTTTATGATTCAAAACTTGGTTGCTGGGACACAGATTAAGCTGATTGGGATGGGCTATGAGCCGTTTGATGCGAGTGATCCAAAGGTTGCAGAGGCATTTCAGAAGGACGTAGAGAAGTGGATGGAGGCGATGGGCAAAGATGAGAAGGGAGAGAAGTATGGATTTGTTGATATTGAGAGTATTCCTGCTGTGCCTTATGGGACTGCTATTAGGGCGGCTTAATTGTAAGTAGGTGTTAGAGCTAAGAGGTTCGACATATGACGTATCACTGCAATCCTGCCAAGAGATGCTCTTTTTTTGATACCTAATACCATTGTAAAAGACTTGAAACAGGATATGTTCTACCCAGTGCCATGATAAATTCAGCGATGATGGCAACTGCAAAGATTATATTAAGGATTCGAGAGTGGAAATGACAAGCACGCCTCTTGCACATTTGCTTAGGTGTAAGGCGGCGCCATTGCTGAAGCCTCTGGCTTAGCTATCAGGAGAGCATAGACTTGCCGATACAGAATCCAAAGCTGGGAAGCCACGTCGATGATAGTCAAAAGGGTAAAACCTGGCTTCTTATCCTACCAATGCCTGCCTAACATCCTCACTACATGGTTCACCGTATAGTCGCGACATTTACTCTCATCTGCTGCTAGGACAAGAGCATTTTCATACTCGATCACATCCCACATCTCCATTGGTGTCGGTGACATGAAAAGCGCTTTGATGTGGATATTCACAAGTCATTGTGCTGCCGCAAATTCATTAAGGAATTGTAAAACGTGGCATACTTCGACTTAGCCACCAATCTCATAATATTCCAAGCCATGAACCAGAACGAAAATGTTGGGCCTGATGGTGGAGTTAATAAGATTGGACAGGATAAGGCTTGGAGGTGGACCATATCCCAGAAAGTGATTTGGACTCTTGATCAGTGGACCCAATGCTAGGAGCGAATCGAAGAAGTTGATATATCATCCTATAGAGAAGGAATAATGAGCCTAAAGGGCAGCTCTCATTCTACGTTGGACAGAAATAGTGGAGAATGATTACAGGGCTTGAGTCTAAAAGCGTTTGTACTGATGTTATTGCTAGCAAGCCGAAGATTCGGGTTGTGTCCTTGTCGGCTGCTTCTCGTCGTAAACTTAGCAGACAAAAGCGGAGGCAGGTGGTTAATCGGGATTTTTTTAGCACTCGCTGGGGAAGTGTGCATCCAAGCCCAGTACGTGTTCCCTGTTGAACTGCTTGATACACCATTTGTCGCAGGGCAGCTTTGTTGACATTGGGAGATTGAAGAAACTCAAGCTGGCCATCCATAAAAGGCTAAGGGTAAGTTTGGAAACCGGATTGATTAGTCCAGGCGAGTTTAAGAATGCAGATTGTGCAAACTGAGTCACCGTATGTTGCCCCTGAGGGCATGAGAGCGTACGTCCAGTCTGCGTCCCGAAGATTATCGAGGACTTCAGCGACTGCTGCCTTTGTCTCGCATACTCTCGGGTGCTCATCTGCCGTTTTTGACAGATCCTGGACCAACACTTATTTATGAGAGACCACTGCACTTTTGTCTTCTCCACTCCATTCATTAACTCTTCCTACATCGCATATATAACGGTCGCGTTGATTGTGGCAGCAAGTTTTAGTTTTCCCCCCAAAATGTCTACATGGCGTTCTAGCAACCCTTTGCACATGTTCTGAGCCGCTCTTCCTTTCGTTAAATGTTCCTACTTCCAAACCATCAGGCTAATGTGATTTACTATGCATTTGGAAATATTAAATAGACTTTCGGGACGTCGAATCTATCGTCTTAACTTGACGACACGAACATCTGCAATTGCGGGCCGATACGGGTGTTTGTAGCTTGAAAAGTAGAATTTAGATGCTCCATATAGCCGTCTATGTCCATTTCTGGCAATTAAAAGACCATTCAGAACCAGTGTTACGCTTCACCTTGAGAAGATGCTTGCTCAATGAACTTATGGTCCTATGAAGTATTAAATGGCAGCACTTAATATAAACAAGGACAGATTTGAGCTGCCAAACCTCTTGCAAGTATTTCGGAAAATAATGAGAATATATAGATACCTGTCTTCAGTCCGCGCCAGGCTGTTTCGCGACCACACGCTGGCGTATATGCTGACATATGAAACATCCCCCTCCATCTCATCATAACACATGGCTGAGACATAGTAAGAAATGCCCTCATTGCACTGCACAATAATTCCCTAGGCAAGGGCTGTTCTTGTCGGAAACGTAGGCTCTTCTTCACTGCCATATAGGAGCCAATATAACCAGGTAGGCTATCGCCAGAGTCGACTATCAAATGTTTGCCTACTACAGAACGGAGCGGAGCAACGTCACTTTGATTTATTAACCCTTTTATTGGATGTTAGGGAAGCCTTGAGAAGATTCAGGTTATAGTCTTCAATAATACCCTTGGGATGTTCTGTTGGGGATTCCTTCCTATATGTAGCACATGTGAAAGGCGAAGCGCACTGGTCTATTTGAGGTTATATCTCTTTTCCCTTCCACATGAACTCACAAAAGCCTGCCTTAATACCATCGTGACCTTCAGTCACCATCCCCTAGGCATCATCACGCCACAATTTCGAGTCATCATAGCGGTGGCTCGTGCTACGCTCAAACATGTATTGCCTCGACTCATCAAGTTCCACACACCACTTATATTACTCTCATCCTCCTTGACTTTCCCTCCTCCCCGGCCCACCTTCCTCAGTCTATATCCTCAACTGTTCATCTGTCTTGATCCCAAACTCTTCTTGCTAACCACATATACCATCGATGGCCGACTTTGCGGAGAACTGCTGGTCGAAATCCCTCCTGGCGTTTGCTTTGGCTCATGCTTGCCTTCGATTCTCTCTTACCTGGCCTTTCACCCTCCCGAAATGAGGCTGATTCTCCTGGATAGCCACTATATCTCATCGTACTCACTCTATTAATAACATAGATAAAAGTCAAGACAATGACGGCTTCACCTTCTCGAAGACCCTCCGCAGCAACAGCGAGGGCTATTTGCGACGGGTCACCCAGCGCCAGGCATCATTTCCCTAGCTCCGGCACTGGTGAGGCTCAAAGCATCTAAACACTCAAGGCAGTTTATGGCACTCGCTAACGAGACTCCAGAGAATCGAATTTCCAGCAAACAAGTCAATTGAAACCAAAGTGTGAGAGAGTGCCGAAAGTCGATGTAGGCATGCATACCACAGCCTCAGTCCTCGTTGCAAATCTATTTTATTTACACGCTTTCTCGAAGGCATGCACTGCTACATGACGAGCGAATAGGGAAGAGACACCGAAAGAAAAGCGGGATTCAGCATTGCCAGACTTGGATATGAAGATAACCAACGGAGTTACCTGGTTGGACAGCGTCACTATTACCTGGGCATGTATACTCTGGGACTAGAGGCATGGTTTTCTCTCACGTATAAGGCTCAGGTTAGTTCTTCATGCATAACCTTTCCACATCTAATCTCTCGCCTTATCTCCTTCTAACCATTAACACGAAAAGAGGACTTCTTGCGCAAACACAAGACGCGTTACCTTGAGCCTCAGCTTTGCCTGATCAATCGAGAAGCCTCTGAGGAACGACTTTGTACATGCATTCACTACCCTAAGCTAAGCATACACATGCAAGATCATCTTGGAGCGAGAACGCATGACGAGTTCTCTGAACCTCACCTTTTCCGGCGCAACCGAGATGCCTCTGATGAGCGACTTCAGATATACAGTCACTCCCTTCATGGCTGGAAAGTGTTGGTGACGGAACGAGTCCTCACCAACTCGCTGGTCCGCTATTTGAGGACTCATTGGCGGGTATATCAAGACGCGATTGAAGTCTTTTCTCCTTCGCCAATATTCCCTTCTTTTCCATTACCATTAGAACTCATAACGCTTTACAGGCTTTGTCAACACGACATTACCCTCTGAGACTCTAGTTTCTCACCTTCAACTGACACACATTCACATAATGAATGACGGCAAGAGTCGAGATGATGTCGGCGGAACCCATCATCGCCTCGAACAACAGCAGCAAATTTCCCTTCAATCCAAATCCAAGTATCAACGAACAATCCTGTCTCTGTAAGCTGCACAAAATTGCGAATTGCGAAATCATCATTTCGTGCAATAGCAGATCCATTCCCATTCCCTACGACAATTCCCGAGTATCAACCTCGAGCTACCTTCCTAGCGGAAAACCAAGTATTGAAACCAGGTATTCACGAAGGAAAGGAAATCGCACCGCCCATCAAACAAGTTTTCAAGCACCCTGAATTGGAAAACTAGTTCAAGCCTTGGAAGCCCTAGCGCCTCGTGCTTTTGACGAACGCCGAATGATGAGCGTGACTGTAGGCTTTGTAACAACAGCATGGGCACAACAACCAGTAAACCACGGTCGACATGATCTAATCCATTAGTGCTTCCCGTTTACAATCCAAGCTGTCCTGAAAACTCATTCTCCCTTTTCGGAAACATGATCTCGCCACTCATAACACATTTCGTCAACACCCCACTTACCGACACGAGTCAAAGTTGCTTAGCTGGTTATGGCAATCACTACATTTTATATTCCACCTAGTTCTCACTACCTTGTGTGCGGACACGGTCCATTCTCATCCTAGTCCATGACTTGGTGTACTACCAGGCCAATGAGGGAGAGGAAACTGAGCATATTTCGCGGTTATTTAAAGAGTTGGTATATTTTCCGGCTTATCTAAGGATCGAGGTGAAATTTTAGCTCGTATTTCCGACTCCCAGAGCGCTGCTTGAAGAAATTACACCCTCTCAGAATCGCCTTGCGCTGGATTTGGATCCCGAACACTCTCGTGACTACATATCGAAGAATTGCTTAGAGAACCCGAAAGTCATGGTGAGTTGAAATTATTTGTACTAGTTTTTCCATGTGTTTTGTGTAGATACGTAGTCTCTTGATGAGAGTTCTCAGTAGTTATTAATTTTTAGGTGGTGTATATGTTTGTTTGGATGCATGAACTGTTAACAGTGTCCTGAATTGAGGGAGTTTCCTTTTTGTTAAAAAAAGATTTCTTTGGGTTGCAGTTTTGGCTGAGTTTGGCTTGCGAATTTGCACTGTTGTTGTTTTTAGTTTGTCTAGAAATGTAGATTTTATCCGAGATTTCTTTCTAGTTGTGAGTCTCAAATTGTTTCTATTTCTCCTCGTGTTATGAAACTCTAGTTATTCAGCTCTTTCTCACCAAAGATGATATACGGCTAAAAGAGCTGACATTTTCTTAGATATGATGTTCAGCTCCATTCTACGGCGCGGCGAACAGAGTGAGGAGAAGTACTTAAGCTCGATGGTGCCAAAGCGTTGGCTATTGGCTTAGTTAAATTCATAGGAGTTGCCTGCATGAGTTTTTCCGTGGATGCCTAGGATATTATAATAAGCTTGTGTGTGGGTGTGTCTATCACTTTTGGTGGAGGCTGAGGACTCGAGGTCTGGCGGCGATCAACCGGAAGTGCGAAAAGGCTTGACTATCCTTTTACATAGTTAACCGCGCGGCAGGCAGGTCAGGAATCTCGGGCTGGCACTCTGGGATCTATCCAGTGAAGAGTGTATTTTCGCGCGCGTCATGCAGCGCCGGTGTTTCTCATCGCTAGAGGTAAACAATAGCCTCAACTGAATTTTATTTTGAGATGGCCAGGAATGAGTCAGTGCTCTCAGAATGATCTATGTGCAGTCATAACACGCTCGGGAGTTCAAGTTCCAGCTTGCCCAGCTGCGGAGGCATGGGTCGTGCCCCCCTGGTTGATGAGGTTGGCTTCTTTTTGGCCAAGAGAACATGAAGGACACTGAGTAAAGCTCACTAGAGGTGTAAGAGACTAAGACGCAATGCAAGACCAGAAGACCAGTACTAGCTTGAAAATTCACTGCTAAGCCAAGAAGAGGGTCCGACGAGAGTAGAGTCTATCTGTGGACCTCATGCTAGAATCAAGGAGCGCGTCGATAGGGTGCGAATATCTGCCCTGAATTATATATTCGTGTCATGTTCTACGTTAGGGGGCAAGATGCACTACAAGGGGTTTTTCTATATTAGCCAATATGATATACGCTGAGTTGCATGCATTCCCAAATACTTCATCAAAGCCTGAGGGTGAGTGGCCTTGCCCCGCACCACAGGACATATAACTATAACTCAGTATACCCCCCATGACTTATATGTATATAAGACTTGCACGTCTTAAGCCTGCTAAGGAAGCATGCTGGATTATTGATGGCCCGTGGGGTATAAAAGAGGTCCAACTCGGTGCTATCGTAGTAAGCAACCCATCGTTCATCGTTCTGGGTGTTTCGGACCGCTCTAGCTCTTGCGTGCGCATGAGGCACGGTAATGTCTTGCGTGAGGTTATGACGAATGCGCTTATGTGATATTGACAGGGTCCGAGGCCAAACAATCGATAAGGCAAATACGTTCTCTTTTATGTTTAAGGCTTTTCCTGCTGTTGAGGTGAAGCGGGCATACTCCCATTAGTATTGCGATCGAGGAGTAGTATAATTTCATGTCAGCTATGGGGATCGCAGTGTGAAGAGAAGAAGAGGCTCCAGGCAAAACATAAAGTAAGTTCATTTCCCCAGGTTGTTTCCACAATAACAGCTTGCCTTTTGCTCCCCGAGCTGTCGGAAAAACAAGGCATGACGGTGTGGATACCTAATCGGGAGCGCGGAGACGCAGAGTAAAGCCGCACTTAGGGTCACTCCAAGCCCCCTTGACTAAGAAAGGAAGGCAACATCGAAATGAGTGATTATCAATCGCATTTTAGTCTCCGCTTCTTGAAAATGTTGAACGTCCGGGTGAAGAGGCGCTCGGCACGGGGCGACGGGACACGGTTGTGTCAGATGGGCCGTTCCACTGCCAATGAGAAATCATAATAGGAGATGCGGGCACAGGAAAATCGTCTTTCGAGGCGACGATGATGCGCGTCATCTTCTCCAAGTTCGCGACTTTGGAATCCTGATACGAGTGCGAGCTGGCACGAGAAAACTGCTCGCGCCTAAAATAGCACTGATTTTCTGAAACTTTCCGACAGGCATTCGACCCAACAAGAGTTTTAATCGCGTGCGAGCAGGAGACAGGTGCCGGTGGGTGATGTGGACTCCCGGCGAGTGCGGGACACAGACGATGATAGACCGGGGAACGGGAGGAAGAGAGGGGAATGCAGGTCAGCGGAAGATGTAACCTTATTTGATTAATGCGGTGAGCAATCGAAACTGAGACAAGGGTGTGGTGCGATATAGGGCTGGATAACCCTTTTTTAGCCGGCTTGCGTCCTTGTGCTCTGGTACTTGGAATATTTTTGCATGGTAAGGCAGATCATGTGATGCAGCAAAGAATGAGGGATTTGAATGTCGTGGAACCTGCCGGTGACGCTGCAGGCACGACTGGGATCCCATCCAGCTTTGGCAGCCTGCATCGCAGGCGCAATATCTGAGGCTTCGGGGCATTCGGCGAGTCCGACGACGACTTCTTCATCTCCCGAGAGCGTGACAGACCAGGCAAGGAAGGCAGCACTCTTTTGGATAATAGACGTTGAACATGTCGGTAGTTTGGGGCTCGGGAAGGCGAAGTGTTTCGGGTAATATCAGGCCAGTTATGAAGTCGAGGAAACCTCCAAGCGAGGTGAATACGAGGGTCGATACAGCCCAAAACCTAGTACCGACATCATCTGCACTCAGTGCTCTGAAATCGTTCAGGCGTGGCTGCCAAATGAACCCGATGCCGCACCGGCTCTGAGCATTGCGCTGTGATCATGGACAAAAGAGGAAAACCATCACTTGCAGCCCAATTTTTGCTTTTGAAGCCATCGGAGGTGAGGCGGCATGGGGAAGAAGGCCGAAACTTTCCACGCTGCCTCACAAAGTTGTGCGACTTTACGAGGCGGCCGAACCGCCGTGCTGGTTACAAGACCGCATGGAGGCGGTAGATGTGAGGCGGCGTGATGAGGGGACGAGTTGGGCAGCGTGCAGAGTCAAAATTGAGGTGGCTGGTCGAGATGGCTGGCAATCGGATGCGATCAACTTGAGACACCAGATAGAGCTATGAGTGAATGCTCGTATGGATGTGTTGAGGTCGGGCGGTGATTCAAGATCTGCAACCAAGGCCGCGCCTCACCCTTCTCGCCCACTGGTTTGACGCCATTCTGCGCATGAGGATCTGAAGCTTGGACGCTGTGGCTCGACCTTTGGACTCTGGCATGTCTGGATTGTGAGCGATGCATGACGAGCAGGTCGCTGACGTCGTATCCTCCTCTGAGACGGGGGCGAGACACGAGCTGGACCAATCGATGGCGGCGAGGCCGCGTCGCTCGTCGATAGGCTGTGCGCGAAATCACAACATCACAACAGAAAGGCGCGCGAAAGCAGCGCGACAGCTCGCCGAGGCCAGCAAGCCGACGGCCGGGCAGCATGGCGACCGTTTAGGCGCCGTGTGCCGCCATAGGAATACGGGAGATTAGCTACAGGTGCGGGCGGGGGATGGGACTGTGACAAAGGGTGCGATGGGAGTCGGCCCCTAGCGCTTCGATGCAGCAGCAGCAGAAGTTTGCGGGGGGAGCGATATGTCTTCACGGGCATCTGAAAGAGCGTTTCGGAACGGACCAAGAGACGATGGGGATGATGGACCGTGGGAGTCAGCGGGATGTTGGGGCGCTTGGGAGAGCCGTGCAGGGTCGGCGTTGCAAGTCAGGGGCGCAGCAAATTTCAGCAGATTGGCCAATTGCAGCGGCAAAAGGGGCGCCATGGGGGGAAGGGACAGAAATTTCGTCCATCACGTTGGCTACGCGCCCGAAAATGAGACGGGCGTGCGACTGTGATTTGCCTACCCCAAAAGATTATTATTCTGTGCGTGGCAGCGCGATCTTAACATCGCGGGTCGCTGGTCGGGGGGGGGGGGAGGGTTCAGCAGCTGGGCTTCCCCGTAAGCGAGCGAACGAACGACACGTCGAGCCCCCGACACACCGCTTTGCAGGCACTCCCCAGGACGTCATCAGGCTTCTCCGGGCCTCTGCACACGCGCTGTCTCCCTCCTCGACGCTTCTGAACGGCGCGCTCCGGGGGCCCTCAGTGCGAGACATGAGCTTAGCTGTTGTGCGAGTCTAGAGACGCGAATGCCGGTCGTGGGCAGCAAAAGCAGAGAGTGGGCGACAACGATCCATGGCGGGCTAGGCTGGCAAAATAGTAGCGGAGGCAAGTTGTTATTTGTTCACGGATCCTTGAAATAATCGCTCGGACCACGGTGCTCAGCCAGTGGAGACCCAGCGAGGAGACCGCGCCTGCCCGAGCCGTCGAATAGAAAATGCTTTGCCCTCGCTCCCAAAACCAATCCAGTCTCTTCATCTTTTCCCTCCAAGCGTCCAATCACCCTGCACCACCACGCCTACCTATCACATCCGCCATCGCGAGTCCTGCACCACGACAGAGGCTCGTGGACCGGACGTCAAACGGCTCCAGTTGTGTGCACCCAACAAGCGCATCAGCACGCATTGCTTGCCTGCCCTTGCAAACTAATCCGCACGCGCCGGTAAGACAGCTGCCTACCCCCAAGCCTGCGCAGCAAACCAGCGCAGCGCAGCGCAGCGCCGCACCGAACCTCACCACCACCGAAATCTCGTGACTGCTATACGCTGCGGTGCGGACTGCACACTGCGCTTCGGTACGTCCTTTGTCAACCATCTTCTATCGCTGTTCTTCTGTCCCTGTCTGTTTGTCGCTGTCCTTCTTTCCACGGCCAACGCCGCGCTCTCAATAATTGGAGCTGCTGGGCCTGTCCCCGCGGCGCGCGACGCTTGTCGACCAACTGCTCACCTCAAATGCTGCCATGTCGTCGCCGTTCTGACAGTGCCGCATTAGGAAAGGGAACACACGGCTCGTAAACACGCTGTCTTGTATCGCGCTCCACTGCCAGCGACAGAGCTGCTACCCGCGAGAGTCAGCTGCGCGCTGCGACAATTTATATCACCATCCGCGCCCGTCGCTCAAGCTTTGCAGCCGCGGATAGAGTGCCATCGCCAGACAGCAAGCGTCACCCCCGCGACGGCGCAGCAACCCCAGTGAGCGCAATTGACGTGGATACGCTGCGTGCTGATTAAAGTCGGTAAGTCTGCTCGCCGCCATGCATGAACCCGCATTGCCAACGCATCACCTCCAATCGCCCACCCGCCAGCACATGACCACCCTCGACTTCCTCCAATTGCTCGACTCTTTGCACTACAGGCTAACTGACGACTGCTCTGATCAGTGTAAACAATTCTCTTTTTCTGTCTGGACTGGCGAACTGCTGCAACGGCCCTGACCCCACACGGCGCGGCCCTTTTGATCCCGCATCTCGACCATCTCTCGACTCCAAGCACGCTCTGCGCCAGCGCACCGCCTCACCATCCCGGTGCATCCAATCCCCCAAGTTGCGCCTCAAGTGAGAGCTGAGGCTACGGCCGTGCGCTCCCCCAGCGATTCCGCCTCATAAGCGTGGCCATTGACAACGCATCAAGCATCTGGCTCTGTGACGTGACCCTCCCTCCCCCCCCCAAGCCCGCCGCTGCGTGCCTAGATAGACCGGTCGTCCCGACATCGAGCCCCCGATCAGCAAACAAGAGCACTTTATCCACAAAGTCTTTAATCCAAGGACGGACCGACACGGCCTGCGACCCATCGTATCAGCTCAGCGCGACTCTTCACCTTCTGGTAAACTCCCCGTTTACATTGGCCCTACATATCCTCCAAGAGCACCCACCTATTGGCCGGCCGCTAATTTCGCCGCTGCTCCAGGCTTCAGCCCTCCGCCAGTCGTTGCGGCTCTTCAACTCCCCTCGCGTCCTTGCGCGCTCACAATCAACCGGTCGCGACTTCCGCCACAACAAGCGTCCCAATCATCTCCCTCGTGCGCGACTTCCACGCTGTGGCCCACTGAGTGTGATACACCAAAGGCCTCGCCCAAGTATCGATCCAGAAGTGAGGGTCTGTGCCCTATAGTGGCGTATCTGGGGTAATACTGGAGGCAACGCCGCCTGGATATCGCGTACTTTAACCTCATCTCTGTACTCCCCAAGGTATCCTGTACCTCAGGGACCAACAGACATGACTGATTACGCACAGTATCAGCAACCTCACCACGGGCATGCCCCGGCACATATGCAGAACTACGGAGCGGCGCCGAACCCGGCGGCGGGGAATACATCCATAACCTCCCCCACGCAACAACAGATGCATTCGTATCAACAACAGTCGCCAATACTTCCATCACAAGGCAACCCATACTCGCAACCTGGCGCGCCAAATCCTCAGCACTACCAACAGATCAATTATGCCCAGCAGAGCCACATCCCTCCGGGCATGCATGGACAGTATGGCATGTCCCCAACACAAGCAGCGGCCATGGCAACTGCTGCAGCTGCTGGGCCGGCGGGTTATTACGACCAGAACGCACTCCAAAGCCAACTTGCACAGGACCCTCGGGCGTCTCCACGCCTATCCGGCAATCAAATTAAGACTGATGGCCGCGTTGCTCCAAGATCTCCAACGTCGGTATCGAATTCCATGAGTGCCGGCGGCCTCCCGTCTCAGGTTCAGATGACTCCGAACCAGCAGATGCAACGACGGATGAGTACCCAGATCAGCAGCCCTGCTATGCAGCAGCCTCAACCCGTGATGAGCCATCCGGCTGCCCGGCCATCAGTTCCACCTCAAATGCCCCAGCAACCCCCGCCTGTTCAGCAGCATCAACAATCTCCCGAGCTTGTTGGCGGGGCACCGGCAGAGGAGGCGCCACTTTATGTCAACGCCAAACAGTTTCATCGAATTTTGAAGAGGCGACTGGCGAGACAGAAACTCGAGGATGCGCTGCGTCTCACATCCAAGGGGAGGAAACCTTACCTTCACGAATCAAGGCATAATCACGCGATGAGGAGGCCACGTGGGCCTGGTGGACGATTCCTGACAGCAGATGAAGTTGCGGCAATGGAGGCCAATAAGGGCGGCCCGGGCGAAGAGGATGGGAATAAGGAAAATGCCAACACTCCCGCCAAAGCGACGCAAGCTCAGCCTAGCTCCGGGTCAAAGCGGAAGGCTGCCTCGGCCCAACTTAAAGGGACTCCCTCCAACAAAAAAACTAAAACCGGGGCTCCAGTACAACGACCGAGCACTAGTGAGGATGACGATGAAGAGGACGATGACGATGCCGATGACGATGGTTGAAAGACTTGATTTCCATCTGGCATCTTGTTACACTTAACTTCTCAAATATCTCTCGACTTTTTGGACCTTTCATCTTAACCCCTTTATTTTTATTTTCATGAAATTACGAAGCGAGTGCTTTTTTGGTTCCACCGTGTGTGTTCTGCATGTTACCCCTTCCCTGTCTGTCAGTCAGCATTCAATCACTTGAAACCAAATTGATACTACACCATGTTGTCTTTAGCGATGGGAACAGGACGGATGGGATATGGGTCATACACTGGGTCGGTCGGTCGGATGGACGGTTGTGTTCATGGTGGGCAAGGGTTGCTTTCACCAAGGATGGAGTTTTATATATGTCGTCGGTGGATGGATTTGTGGACGGATGAGCGAGGAGAGATTTGTGTTGTGGCGAGCATTCATTCCTCCTCAGCCATGTTCGTCTCCGGATTGTTTTCTACTGACCCTCTGTTTACTCGCTCTCTCTCTTCTTCCTACTTGCAAGCTTTTCTCACAAATACCCTCACATTCGCTACCGTGCAATGGCTAGCATAAACACATTACGTTTCCCGCCCTCGCTCAACTGGCTAGGGGAAATAGCTGGTTGGGGTTGAGAGGGCAGGATATATTAGAAATGGCTATCCTTCATCGGATGAAAAATGGAAATTCACAACTTGGAAACTTCTTTTTTGGCAATTAAGGATTCCTTTCGAACTGAGGATTCCGTTCACTGATCTTATACCCTCCGAAGATATCTTTCCTTGTTGTGTTGCTTAACCGGTTTCCTTGGTCTCTTCTTCTGCATAGCGGATGGTGGTAATGCTGGAGGGAAGTTCTTGTTAGATTTTTCCAGCTTTACAGAATCTAAAGTGAAATTAAGGCCTTATTATGATCTAATAAGGCTATAACTATGCTAATGTTTAAGAAGGTTGCGTAACTGAACATGACTAAGGACACTCTCGGTCTACTTATTTACCTATCCCAGACTGGCAACCTATGGTCGCTGAGATCCACGCCTGTACATGCTAAATAGTGGATTTCTTTCTATAAAACTTTAGAGATTATTGCGCAGCTGCACTGTAATCCGTATGTTACTATTTATAAATGCCGATGGATGGTAGAGCTGCTGCGTATTACGACGGTTAAAGTGTTCAAGCCTTGAGGGAACTGCGTTTCCTGACATTAGGCCATGTCGACGACTCGTGGATAGAGTGTTTGCAAACATCTTAGAGTACCTCTTAGCTGTGGACGTTAAGACCGATTTGCTGACTAGAATCCTAGTTCTAACAATTACTACGCGGTGAAAGTCTATTGGTGCGATTTTGTCTAGGTCCGTTATGAGGAGGTCTACTGCCAAGCGTGAAGTCATGATCTATCAAGTCCAAGTAATGGAAAAGGACAAAGAATTACGGTAAAGGGTTTCAGGTGGAGGAATAAAGTTATTCTTGGTGCTCCTTTGGAAGGTGTTGAAATGGTGTTAGCAGAAAGAGAGATAACTGGGTAGTTATTGGGGAATCTCTGGCAAAACACTAAGGTAAGAACGCGAAGTAAGATCGGAGTTCCGAAGCTTCCAAGACGGCTCCTTCAGAATAGTATGAAAGACTTTGGTATTAAGCTCGAGTTTCTCGTTCGAGATCACTGCAAGTGCCAATGTCCAGGCCGCGGGCCACACTTGAAAGAAGCTGTCATTGATATCCAATCTCTATGCCATAAATTCCAGCAGGCTTGAAAAGGGATCCGAGCCCACAGAGTAGAAACTGTACTTGCCAGAGTAGAGCGTCAGAGGAGTTATCAGAAATCCGCCACCGATGACATGGTGATTACGAAGGGCCGAGATCGCGCACCTCGGCAACTATTGGGAATCGGTGCGGATCCTCATAGGTTAGGCTAACCTTATGCAATGCAGAACTAATAGATAGGACGTTCTACTCTTTGCGCTTTCTTCCCCACCGCTATGCTACACTTCCTTCAATTGCACGATGCCAAAGAGTCCGCCTGCGAGTGGGCCCGAGGAGGAGTTTGGAGATGTCCAGACCCTTCAGCCCCCCGGAGAAGGAGGTGAAGACAAGGGGAAGCTTGAGCGCCGAATTCGACTTAAAGTGGACTTAAGATTATGCAGCATTGCCGGTATCCTCTGTAGCCTGGATTTACTGGACTCTGGAGTCATCTCGAGCGCCTCTGTTACATCCATGCTGAGAGATCTCCATCTGGACCAGGGAAACAGATATTCAGTCTCCATTTTCATTTTCACGATTGCATCGATTGCTTTTCAGCTTCCGTCAACAATAGCGGTTAGGGCCTTTGGGCCTCGGATCTGGTTTTCCTTCATCACTTTCTGCTTTGGTCTAATCACATTATGCACGGCTTTTGTTCAGACCTGGAGACAAATGATCGGTTTGAGAATCCTCCTCGGTATCGCTATGTCGGGCGTCTACCCGGGATTGACGTACTTAATCAGCACGTGGTACACCCGAAAGGAACAACAACTACGCTTTGCGCTCATGCAGAGTGGCGAGGTCATTGTTCTCGCTACCGGCGGTATTGTCAACTTTGGCCTCAACCAACTCGAGGGCCACTCTGGAATCAAAGGCTGGCAATGGATGTTCATCGTTCAAGGCGCCATCGCTGCATTCATGGGCATCATCACGTATTGGTGGATGGTTGATTTCCCGGAGAATGCGCATCAGAGCTTCATGTTTCTTAATGAGGAAGAGAGTAAGGTTGCGGCGAGTAGAATTGAAAAAGACAGGGGAGATGTGATGGTGGATTCGTTTTCGTGGAAGAAGGTGCTCGTGCATGCAAAAGACCCCAAGGTTTACGGATTCTGCACGATGTACTTTCTGCAGAATCTGGTGTCAACATCGCTGTCTTATTTCCTGCCGATTATCCTGCAAGGCGGTATGCGATTCGGCACAAACAAGGCCATCTTGTTGTCTGCGCCACCGTACTACTACGCCGTCATCCCGGCAATCCTATCATCACTTGTTGGGGACAAGTTCCAGCTACGAGGGCCTGTCATCACATTCAACTCAATATGCCTCATCATTGGATTTTGCATGCTGGGATTTACGGACCAGGTCACCGTTCGTTATGTGGGGACCTACCTTGCTACTGGCGCATACGTGGCCAACTGGGCGGCATTGGCGACTTACCAGGCTAATAATATCGTTGGACAGTGGAAACGGGCGTTCTTCGCCGCGGCGGTCACGGCATGCAATGGTGCTGGTGGTATTGCGGGGAGCTTTATTGTGAGACAGTCCGAGGCGCCGCGGTATATGACAGCTATTTGGGTCTCGATTGGGTAAGTGTTTGTTCAGTATTTCTAGACATGGCCAGTTGACCTCCTGTTTAGCTCGCATATCTTGATCATCGGCTGCGTTGCTTCTTTTTCGGTGTACTTTTATATGGCGAATCAGCGGCAGGGGAAGGGGAAGAAGGTTATTGAGGGCACGGAGGGGTTTCGATTCACGTACTAAAGGATCAAAGGCAATCACCTTACTTCCGCTTACTGCCCATGTATTGAAGAGTCTTGTTCGTTAGCTCAGCACGAAACATGCAAAATGGATTTGATATGTCGGCACATTGACTGAATATTCAGAGAGCATTCAAAGGACATAAGGCTGTAAATTGAACCAGAACCTGGTATGTTTTGCAGGCCGATTAATGTTATATTTCTGAACTGTGGAGCTTTGTATACGAGACTCAATAGGAGGTAATTGGATTACCGCATTAGGCAGCATGAAGTAGCCCGCCAATCCCGAACCAGAACCTCGAGCTTGCATTCCCGCGAGGCATTAGAAAAGGCCAAAGGTGCTTCACAGCAACACAAAGAGCATAGAAAGATGGCAACCTGATGCAAACGCCTTCTCGAGCTCGAGCTAAGGGAGTACAAGCTGCAGGGACGATGCATCGTTGACGTCGTTGGCCGGGGCGGACCTGGCAAACGGTGCTATACCCGAACCGACGTGGCTCGTGCTTAGCTTTCGCAGCGAACAGCATCTGTCTCAGCTTTGGCTACCACCTCGACGGCCTCACACTCCACTTATCGCCTTTAATTCACTCCTCAGAGAGCTTCTTTCTCTGTTTCTTGTTGATACTTAACCTTCTCGCCCTAACAAACCCTCCCCCACGGCCCAAGCGCCACCGCGCCTCCCCTGCCAGCCCCCCTCGAACGTGCAACCTCATCCCCGTTGCCCTCCGCCCAGCTTATGCACTTTCATTCCGCTTCGTCGTCATCCGCAACACTAACCCTCCCCCCCCACAACATCCCGCTTCAGCTTCGAGGTGCGCCGCACCGCCGGCCGACACGATGGTTTTCCTAGGCATATTCCGCGCCATTTACGACTACGCTCCCCAGAGCGAGAATGAGCTCGCCTTGTCCGAAGGCGACATTTTGATGGTCCTGGAGAAGTCGACCGACGACGATTGGTGGAAGGCGAAGAAGAAGGTCTCTAGCGAGGACGAGGATGAGCCCGAGGGATTGATCCCCAATAATTATGTAGAAGAGGTAAGCTGCAGGTTACGCCCATGCATGCTGCCCAGCCTCGAGCCTCTCTGGTGATCGAGCCGTAACATACTCTGATGCACATGATACATACTTGGCTGCGTTCGTTGGCCGCATCACCTCGTCTGGTTGCTAACCGCATCTCCTGCTAGGCTGCCCCTCTCCAGAAAGCAAAGGCCCTCTACGACTACACCCGCCAGACCGACGAAGAGCTCTCCTTCAAGGAAGACGCCCTTCTCGATGTCTACGATACTTCAGACCCGGATTGGACACTGGTTGGGGTGGATGGAGATTATGGCTTTGCTCCGTCAAACTACATTGACGTGAAGGACAATGTCGCAGAGGTAACGTCCCCCGCATTGCCGGCCCGTCCACCTGCCCCAGCTGCGCCTGCCCCAGATTCGGACGATGAACAGCAGCCCCCAACCCCCGACAGCCCTGTCCATCAGAGCCCTGCTGCTGCTCTCGCAGGCATTATTCAGAAGAAGTCTGAACAAACCGCGGCTCCGCGGGGAGCTATCTCACCCCCCCCTAATATTCGTCTTCCTCCTCGTAAAACCGTGCAATTCACTCCAGAAGAATCGGACGAGGATTCCGCCCCGCCGCCTCGACTTCCGAGAAGACCGGAATCGCAGCAAATCTCGCCTCCCATTACACAATATGCTTCCCCGCGATCTCCCGAATCACCACCTGCAACAGTGGTCTCCCCTCCCGCTCGAAGCGTTACGTTCGACCAGATCGACACCGAAGACCGCCAGCCTCGAACACCCCTCTCCGCTTCCGGATACCATCTCTACAACATCCACGAGTATTTGTCGCAGCCGGGCAAGAACAAGAAAATGCCCATGGTACTAGGCATCAATGTCCCTAAGGGCGTGATTATGATTGCGCCTCCGAACTCTCGTGATGGACCGCAACAAGAATGGTCGGCGGACAAGCTCGAGTTATACTCCCAAGAGGGGAAGCACGTCTTCTTGGAGCTGAAAAGACCTAGTAAGAGTGTGGACTTCCATTGCGGAGCAAAGGATACCGCGTCAGAGATTATGGAAGCGCTCAGTGAACTGTCTGGTCTTGCAAAGGCTTCGGGGCTCCGAGAAGTCCTTGCTGCAGGCTCTGGGCACTCGAACGTGCAAAAGAAGGGACATATGCTGTTCGACTTTATGGCTCAGGGGGACGACGAGGTCACGGTCGGCCTTGGAGATGAGGTGTTGATTCTCGATGATTCGGCAAGTGATGAGTGGTGGAAGGTTCGGCGGTTGAAGAACGGCAAAGAAGGAGTCGTGCCATCTAACTACGTCGAAATTACAGAAACCGTCCCCATCGCCTCCTCCTCGAGTCGTTCCGGAATCAACGCTGGACGGTCGGTGACAGAGCAGAATAGATTGGAGGAGGAAGACCTTACGCGCCAAGTCTCTAAATCGAACAGACGGCATGATAGCGATGTTAGGGCTGATCAGGTAGGACCTGGCCTGCACTTACCTGCGCGTCATTCTAGTCTTATGCAAGCGAATGTTGACCATCGTCGCACATCACAGAGAAGCAAACGCGAAAGCACCGCAAAGGACTCAAAGTCCTCGTCCAAACCGAGTGAGTAATTATCTAGATTTTCCTCCCACTTCACACTATAACATTTCGCTGGATCAGACCCTGGCATGGTCGTAGCACATGATAATTCTTGTCGTTTCGGGCACAAACACCACCACCATTATTCAATTTGCTAACTTGTTAACTAGATCCTAACAGAGTACGGACTTGGACCGATCGATCCGGATCTTTCAAAGTCGAGGCGGAGTTTTTGACTATAAAAGATGGCAAAATTCATCTCCACAAGGTGAATGGTGTCAAGATTGCTGTGCCTGTCCCGAAGATGGCCATAGAAGATTTGGAATATGTTGAGCGTGTAACGGGCATCTCTCTAGACGACGATAAGCCCCTATCTGATATCAAACGCAAGAATACCCAGCGCGCCAAGGAGCAAGCGGCTCGCTCGACCTCAGGAATCACCGTCGAAAAGAAGCCGGAGTATGACTGGTTCGATTTCTTCCTGCAGTGTGGTGTCAACCTGCAGATCTGCGAACGATACGCCATGGCGTTCCACAAAGATCAGATGGGCGAGGAGAATCTTCCAGATATCTCAGACAAGCTTTTGCGGACCTTGGGCTTGAAGGAAGGGGATATTCTGCGAGTCATGAAATATCTCGACAACAAGTTTGGACGCACCGCAGAACGAGAGAAACGAAGTGTTAGCTTTGGAGGCGCGTCTGTAATCGAAGATGGCGATGAAGCGAATGGCAGTGCTGGCGGACTCTTCTCCGGGCCTGGTGGTGTGCTGAGAAACAATACTCGTAAGGGACGTCCTGCTCCTCCGGTGCAGACCAACGACGTCGTGGATCCGAAGGCTTTTGAGCAGAAGACTGATGATACGGTTAAGAAGCCAGTTGATTCAACAGCGACTCCTCTTGCTTCCGCGCCGGTCCCTGAAAAGAAGGTGGAAGGATTTGACGACAATGCTTGGGATGTTAAGCCTTCAAGACAGCCATCTACATCTGCACCCGCACCTGCACCAGCTGCATCAACACCTCCGGCCGCAACACAACCTCCCGCTCCTGCACCGGCGCCCACTGCGCCTGCGCCTGCACCTGCACCTGCACCTGCACCTGCACCTGCACCTGCTCCTGCTCCTGCTCCACAAGTACCTGCTCTCACAGGATCTTTAGGCGAGCTTTCAATTCTCATGCCCGCGATCAAACCGGAAGTTACAGCCGCACCTTCAGCCGCCCCCCCAGCAGTGTCCCAACCACCTCCTCAGCCGGTGCAGCCTACTGGAGCCGCCCCATCACTCTTCGATCAAGTGGCCGCCGTGCAGCCACTTCCACCCCAACAGCTCGCTCCTCCGCGGATGAGGCCCCAGGCGCCTCCCCAGCAGAACCAGGGAGGTCTCATCGCTCCTCCACCCCAGCGAGCTTCATCTGCTCCCCAAAATCCACAACAGAGTGCCTTTGGACCTCCGCCGCCATTGCAGCCCCAACTTACGGGATATGGGGGCGCTCCAAACATGCACACCCAGGTCGCTCCACCGGGTGCTAGCCTGCAAGATCTTAACATGCAACGTCTACAGCAGCAGAGCCTCCAACAACAGATGACTGGCTTCCCGCAACAAAACCAAGGTTTCCAGTTCCAGCAAAATGGCATCATGCCTCAACCGACTGGGTACAACACGATGTCCCCTCCACCAATGCAGTCTCAACCGACGGGATTCGCGCCCTTCCAGCAATCACAGCCGACCAGCTTCCAGCAAGGATTTCAACCGGGCATGCAACAGGGCTTTCAGCAGAACGCCAGCCCTTTTGCAGACCCACCACGACCGCCATTCCAACCAATGCAATCCCAACCCACAGGGTTCCAGTCTTTCTCTCCTCAACCACTTAACCCGCAAGCTACTGGAATCAACCGATTCCTACCTCCCGCAATCCAGCCCACACCAACTGGATTTGGACAGACGCAGAGCCCTCCACCGATGCCACCGATGCCGCCTATGCCTCCGATGCCTCCGATGCCACAAGCGCAACCTCTTGTTGCACAGAAGACGGGACCGGCGCCGTCGATTAGGTTTGGAGTACAGCCTGCGAAAAAATTAACGCCTCAGCCGACGGGGAGAGCGAATTTGGCCAAAGCTAGTAAGTCTCCAATTAATCTGGTTGTTGTTGATTTTGTTGTTGGATGCGAGCGGCTAACAAGTAAATCAGCACCTCAGAACCCGTTCGGTTTCTAATTTTTCGAGTAGATTATGATGGATTTTTTGCTCTACCCTACCCGTTTATCCTTATTCGAATTTCGTATGCTCGGTGAATTAGCTCCAGGATATGCTCGTTCTCACACATATAGGTACTGTACATAACCGGCCGGACTCAGATATTGGGTCCAACCATGTCTGATGAAGGGGGTGCATGGGGATTCTCGCATTTATGCCAGCATTCTTCTGTCGCTTATAACTTTCTGCATGGCGCGTTGCTTCTGGATGGATGGATTCGTTCGCTTTTACTGGTACTGGTACTGGTACTGGTTGTGTGATGCATGCATATAGTTAGGTGGATTGGTGCCAATGGCTTTTACTTTTGGAGGTTAGGGCGAGGGGAAGTGGAGGGGTGGATGAAAGGATATATACCGAGTCGGTGGAGGGGATGAGCGGCACATCCGAAGGGTACCTTGGACACTATTCTCGGAGGAGGATTGAAAATATTGGAGGCTCTAAGATTAGGATATGATGAGTGAGGAGTGGATGTATGTTTTGGTGGAGGATTTTGTGATGCGAAGAGATGGCGTGGCAATGCGATGTGATGTTATGAGATAGGGGTTGGGGTAGATATTTTAATGCATGATAGAGTATGAATTTTTTAAGAACTGCTGTTCGAACACTTCGCCTTCTTTTCTCAGTCATTCTGCTAGATATCCATAGACATGCTTGTCAGTCCATGTATGTACTGGAGAGGTTAAGGACGTGGGTTGTTTTGTTGCAGTGGTGAAACGCCTGTGATGCGAAGCTTTGCCAAGGAAGCTTAGCAGCGCCCCGAAGATTTCAAGACGGGGCTGGCAGGTGTCGCAGATGGCGTTCGATCCAGCCATGACGAAGCTCTCTCTCTCTTTGCACCAGCCTCAATTGCCGTGTCAAATCATGGGAAGGTACTGACAGAGGTTTCGCCACAGGACTACCGTTTGAGGAATAGGTACAAGGATAATGGCGCAGTGCTTCCATGTAATTTAGGGGACTCGTAATCCCGGGCTTCTTACCTGGATCGTTATTTGCGGACGCGGACGCCGGGATCGCAAGGGCTGGGCAGAGACAGATGGTGGCGCGCCCTCCCCGCCTTCGAGGTGACATAAGAGGTGCAGGTGCTCCCTTCATCTGTCAGTCTTCTGATCAAATCCGCAACATCTCCTACCTCACGCTTCACAACAATCTCCTTTAAGGATAACTCCTCCCTACAAACCCAATTCAAACGCTTCTTCCTTGCTCCCGCGATTGACCCCAGGACGACACCCCCGTGAGCTCAGAACTAGCGAGCTCGGTCTCCCAGATTCCGGCCGATCACCGCGCACCCACCGCGTAAGGCTTCGACTGAACCTAACAAAACTTTGTCGCAAGCCTTTTCTCCTCACTCATCCTCTGAGCTTTGTGAATCCTGTCATCCCCCCATACCTACATACTTTGCGAGACAAATATAGATAGCGAGATAAAAGATCACAATGTCTGCGAGCCAATACTATCAGTCCAACGACCCGCAGTATCCACCGCAGAGGTCGGTGTTTTCTTTTTGTCCACCAACAACCCTCCACGCTGGGGAAATAAGCAAAACCCCACCCCCGTGGTCTTGCGTTGACAGCACATCCTCGCGGACAATGCGACAGAACGCTAACATATTCCGTCCAGCTACGGCCCACCCCAAGGCCAATACGGTGGACAGCCACAATACTATCCGCCGCAGGGACATATGCAATATCAACCGGGTCCGCCGCCGCCACAGAAGCAGAAGAAGAATCGAGGATGCTTAGGCGCTTGGTGAGTACACAAATCATAGGGTCGATTTGGATCGAGTAGGAGCTGACGGGGTTTAAGTCTTGCGGCCTTGTGCTGCTGCTTTGTTTGTGAAGAGGGATGTGAGTGCTGCGCGGAGTGTTGCGAGTGTGCGGAGGATTGCTGTTAAACTGTCCCGACCGACCGCCATCCGAGAACGGCGGTGCGATAATTGGCGAATGGGAGACTGAGGCGAATATGCATTTCGATCGATAAACGCTGGCTGGCTGGTACACGATGACTTGCAAAAACCCTGTGGTTTTAATGTACTGTTTGCGGGACTGACCTTGGTCTGGGGAAGAGGATACCTGGAGAAGAGGATACCTGGAGGGGACGGCTTTCCTGGGAAGCACACAAACATCACCCGTGGTTTCTCCTTTCTCGTCTTTTTTGGTCCTCTTTTAATGCCTTTCTTTAGGCCTTCCATTATCTCGGTTCGTAATGATATATTTCATTCCCTATAAGTTCTGCCTGTCTTGGAGGTTTGGACATTTTCATGGTGATATCAGCATATCAGTTGAGACCACTGCCTCGCGGCTGGTGGATAGTCACCTATGAGTAGGTACGTGTTTTCTGCCTTCGCTTGCTATTATGAGATGCTCTGCGATTCTAGCACCCTAGGTAGTTCATCGTTTACGATATCATCACCTCCCCGGTAAGTGCTACTCAACTCTCCAAGCTCAATTGTAAGTCGTCAGTTCCCTCTGTGCAGCTGTGAAGACTCTAGTGGCTACAGTCCCAAAATAGTTCAAAGGGACCTCCAGTTCCCCATTCGAGTTTTCTAGGAAAACGGCAATTCTGGTCGAATGTTCTCTCGTGACCCGAAACGAAAACGGAGAAAGCCTATCAATCCATAATGTCGTATGCGACTGGCCAGAAGCCTATCTAAGCCGGGATAATGAGAAGGAAATGCTTCAACTAGCGGGGTATTAGCGCTACCTTCGCTGTCTCACGTTAAGGCGACTAGGACTTTTGGCCACCAGCTCCACGAATCTTACCTCACGTATTTTGGGCACTTGGCGATTCGACACATGGGACGGTAAGCATGGGAATAGTACTTGCTGCGGCGCATTCACGGCGATGATCACTCGACACAGCCATCAAGATTTTCACCAATATCATGACGTTTATCGATACCGGGCAGGATTCCGACTCTCGGCAAAGCATATAACAAGCGTCAAACTTGCAACTATCTATGAACTTGCTGGATAGACAGGAAAAGTTAGACAACTTCTTCAATATACGATATCGAAGATGACGACAGACTCTACCTACCGCACCATGTACGTTGATTGCTAGAGCATACCTCGCTTGGATCTGCAGCCAGGAAGCTGCCTGAGGACGCTGATAAACAGCGTCTCAACTTCTGCCGGGAAGGTAAAAACAGCTTGGTGGCCGACCACCCGGCTATGTCATTGGTTTAACTGAGTCTAGTTTCGATGTATTCCCACGAGGGATATTACGAAGAGACCATTATTTTCCTATAACAGGGTTCGCGAAACCTATGAAAGTACGTTAGGCGTCTACCGCCTCCGGATATTTAGTATTTGTGCTGAATTTTGGTCACTTCCTGATGCGTGGGATGCAGGAGATAAGTCCGAGGCCTGGGCATTACCCTCTCTAGCATGGTGCTTGAAGAAAGCATAAGAATAAAGTAGAACCATGGAGGTATTCACAAAACAGATTGATTTGAAATCCCGTGAATGAAGTCTAATATGAAATAGCTTGTTATCTAGCTTATTGTACAGCTGATAAATTGGAATGAAGCTGGCAAAAGATATCTAATTAACGCCGCAGAAATGCTACAGAATGGCCGCTCGCTATGCATACATGCAATACCTAGATGAATGAAATGGAAAGGAATATCCCAAGCCTTTAATCCAGACTCATGAAAACATCCTTCAATCCTGTGTAATCCGGAGTCCCAAGACCCGACACGGGATCCCAGCCCTCAACAGCCTCAAATCCATCCGTGTCGCATCCCGGGTTGCTTCCAGACGTGATATCGCGGGCGTATTTATCGGCATACTTGTACAACACGGGATTCAGGAATCCAACGCTGCTCTTACCCGCCTTTATCCGCTCCTCGTTGATGAGGGAAATCATGGATGCGAAGAGGGGAGCAGAAGCGGAAGTGCCGTCGACGGCACCGACTTCGCCGCCAGTATAAACAGCATAGTTGTGGCCGTTGGCAGAGATATCGGGGAAAGCGCGGACTTTGCCTGAATTGTTGAATTTTTCCTTGCCAAAGGGAAGGTCGGCGTTCTTGAGGAAGTTGGATACGACGTCTTTTTGCCAGTCGGGGACACTAAAGACCTCGCTGAAACCTCCACCGGACTTGACGACTGAGTTGATAGCGACTTCAGGCTGGCCGTTAGACTCGAGTGTTCCGGCGAGGTCGTTGTTCGATTCATCGAGCTGCGTGGCGCCGACTGCGGTGACGTATGGGCATGTGGCTGGGAAGTCGGGAGCGAAGCGGTCGTCCATGCACTCGCCGCTACCGCCAGCAACACCGTCGTCGCCAGAAGAGTAGATGACAGAGACACCTTGGAGGCCGAGTTTCATGTATTCGTTGCAAACAGTCTCCATGTAAGCTGGCGTGAGTTCGTTCTCATTCTGGCCCCATGACACCGAGACAACCTTCGTCTTCATGAAGTTGACATTGCCCGCATCATCCGTAGAATCGTTGCCGACCTCGTACAAAGTGATGTTTTGAGGGTAGGTCATGGCCATAGCGTACTGGATGTCCAGATTAGACTCACCATGAGTGTTGAAGTCGCTAGGGTTGGATGTATCAAGCTTCCCTCCGAGGATTGAGACGAATTCGGGCCGAGCGCCAACAGCCTTCGGGGTGTAGTTTTTAAAGAATCTATCGAGATCTTCCGCGATATAGGTATCTGAGTTATATTCCACGATGCCGAAGCTGTTCTCTTCGCACGGCTCCTCGGAGGGCTCAGGAATGTTGTAGAGTGCTTTAAGGCATGATGGAGTGATCATATTGAAGCAGTCTTGAAGCGTGGTGGTGTTGTCGTCCTTGGAGAAAGGTTTGTGCGTGTCTCCGAATGGCTCGTGGTAAGGAGCGCGGGAGATGTCTCGCTTAGACTTGACGTCGAAGTGAAGAGTGGGAGTGATGATGTTAATGTGCTTGCTGACGTGTTCTGGAACGCTGTATTCTTCGCAAGCAACGTGGTTGCGACCAGATTCATCGTGCTCGTAGACAAAGTACTCCGTCTTGAGGAGCTCTTCAGCATCCTCGATTGACAGATCAAACTCGAGAGTGTGAAGAGCTCCCCCAACCTTCACAGAGGAGGAAGGAATGCCATGGTGAGTCAGCCACTGCAGGACTGTGTCTCGGCTCTCCTCACTGGGAGCGAAAGTCTGAGTGACCTCTTCGATCGACCAATGTTTGCCGTAATTCTTGGACAACGGGTTGGAGACGGAGTCAAGGAACTCAGGTCCTCGGTGCCAGTTGTTTTGCTTCAAACCAACGCGAAAAGGAAGACGAGTCGAAGGGTTCATCCTTGACCTTTTTGCCCATTTGGCAGGCACTGAATTTCGCTTTTCATGAACAACATGACTGTTGGTGGAAGTAGTAGGAAGACTAGACGAAACAGCAACGAGAGCTGCAATCGTTGGTAGAAGGAAATGCATGGTGAAGAGAGACGCAAGCAAAACGGAAAACTTAAGAGATGCTTTGAAGTGAATGAGTTGATGATGACTATGAAGGGAGGACTTCGAACAAACCTATATACCTATCATCCAGGCGTCCCAAGACTGTCACTTGGGCTGTACTCTGGAGGACATCCTCACAAAGACGTAGAGGGGACCTCTACGCCCGGCCAAGCCACAGAATCCCTCATAGAGGTTCTAAAATGATCCTATAGATCTGAAACTGGGCTTCAGAGCAAGCATCTCTCGGCCCCTCGCTTGTTCCCGCTGCGCCGCATGCCATGTCAAGGCCATTGCTGATTCGTTGTAAACTGAACCGGCAGGAATGAAGGAGGGTAAACGACGATTGAATGATGACGGGGGATTTTGAGAACCTGGCCAGGATCGCCTGAAACGTGATGCATGAGATATAATCCAGAGGTGCACCGCCTGTCTAAGCGATTGGGGGAGTGTTGGCCTGACGCTTGTTCACAGGGCTTAGCTAAGCTTTGATGGAGGTTGTATTGATCCTAAGAAAACAGAATCTCAAAAGGAACAAGGAAATCTGCCCAACTAATCGAACAAAATATAGCAACTTTGAGGGACGAGTTCTCATAGAAGTATTAAGAGAGGACGCTTTTCTTCCCAAGGCGAGTCCGAAGAGCCTCTCCTCGAGTATGACAGTGAAAAGAAGGGGGATGATGCGACAGGTACGTTCATTCGTTCGCTAATAATGAATCCGAGACGATTACTCAGAAAAAGTATGACGCAAGGTCCCCTGAATGAAGGCCAGGGAATCGCAGCTGCTCTGCGTGGCTCAGGCTTCAAGGTTGAAGTTGCATATGCAGATAATGCATGGGGCGAGAAAGTGGCTGTGGCCTCCGCCAAGGCCACGTTGGAGCAGTTTGTGGGTCTTTGCACGTGCTCAGCCTGAGCTTGTTCATGCGGATGCCTATTTTTGGCCGACAATCAAGAATCACGACAAAATGCACTCCGGTGGAGTTTTTCAAAGCCTTGCGATTCTTGAGGGTTCGTTGCGTGTAGATGATTTCACGTGCTCGTTCTAAGCCCTTGGTTAACTACACTCCTAAGAAACATTATCTCGTCCCACCGTCGAAACTCTTCATGAACACAGCCCGGGAAAAGGTTGCTCGGTAAAGCTCTGACTCTGCACGACCCAGTCAGCGTTGAGATTTTGATGCTCTGTGGGTCAGCCTGAGCCTCTATATTGAAGTCAAATAATACAGACCCCAAAATCCTAAAACAGAGCAGGAAGGCTCGAGAACAGCTCCCCTCGGAACCCGTTCGGTAATTGGTGAAGATGGTTGACTTGAAAGGAAGGGGAATATCTAGTTGTACGGCCATGTCACTGAGTGCAAAGCCTGGGATGACCGTTTTTCGAGAACGAGTAGATATGGCGCTTGGGAGAAACAACACCCGGAGCAGCAACAGGTGATTCTTGAGCTGTTTGTGTCATTGGCCTAGGAGCCGCAACATTCAGCAAATCGGAGCTATTCAACGGTGATATCCGATCTTGAGGATCATGTTCTCCACCACGAGACAACAGTGCCAATGATGCGTAGCACGGCTTAGCGAAGCCGCTCATTTGTTAAAGGATAATATCGCCCGACGCAGCCACAAAGCCGTTCAGTCGACCGGTGAGTGCCAGCCCACAAAATCATGCAAGTCTGAACGTCGATTTTACAGAGGATCATTCGTATTCCTTGCCACATTTTACCACAATGCTAGGGACTGGAATGAATTGACTGCGCATTGTTGTCCTGATGTATGAATCGAATTATTCATAACACCACAAAAGAACTTGAGTTGTGCAACGGAGGACAATTGAAGCTAAACACATTCCTGGACCAATGGATGGATCGCATGTTGTGAAAACGTGCACGGCGTGAGTAGAACCTGGATAGCGGGAGGAACTCCCTGGCCAGCGGATGGGTCGAAGCGCTCGAGGTTGTACTAGAGGGAGCTTGAAGATATGAGCCAGAGCAGACCGCTTTCGTTCGAGACTCAATAGCTGAGAAATTCTACAGAAGACTATGTGAAGGATACTAGCAACATGCGGTAGCAATTTGAATAGATTTGCGGCTTAATACCCCAAGAATAGTCGAGGGCTGGGCATCATTTGACACCTTAATCGAGAATATCTCTGCAATAATTACCATTCTGCTCAGGCTTGATCATGTATTCCAGTCGGGGATTCCATCAAACGAACAGAATTGCGCGTCGGGCTTGGTTACCGTGCACTCTAGAGTTGGGCTTGAGGTGTAATGTCCGTCTGGACTGCAGATGGAGAGGTGTTGGGCAGAAGCAGAGAGCAAGACCGGGAGATTCAGAACAAACCCAAGAGGAAACAGGAGTTCATGCCTTCGGGCCTATCCTTGCACATGACGAAACCCGTTGCTCCTTCTCCGGCGCCACCGTGTAAATTTCGCGAGACTACCCCTCAATTCTGGGGGCCACATTGGCAGCACGGAGAAATCCCACCGCACGGTTAGAGGCTCAACCTGCGGTGAATAACATTGCCATCCATGGTGCCCAATGCAAATCAACCCGCCGATGTCCGGTGAAGTTGAGCCGCTCAGAAAGTGATGTTGTGCGTTGTGCGGGCATTCATCTGCTCGTCGGGTTGGTGGCGTCGGAGAAAGCAGAAGGTCTTGGGGAGCAATTTCCCCAAGCCAAATGTTGAAAACCTGATTGCTTTTTTGCCTTGCCGATTTCTGTCTATAATAATCGTTCGATTCCCCAAGCTCGTGAACCACAGGTTGCGCTTGTCGAGTATATCCCGTATTTGAGGAGGCATCTCCTTCATGTCGTGGCAAGTTATGGCAGTGCACCACATGCCGGCACATCTTTGCTCCATCTCCTCAATGACATGATGGCTTCCCACACAGCCCGCCATCCCGCCAGGTGCCTTCTAGAAGGTCGTGTTTTTTCCCCAGTGGGCGAGTGATGCAGAATCTGTTGCCTTCTGCAAGATGGGGTTAGTAGTCAGGGTATCCTATTGGCCTCAGGGGAATCAACAGCTGGTTCGCTGTCTGTTGGCGAGTTCACCGGCCTATCCTTGGGAGCTCGTCCGCAGATAGTTTCTAAAGCTGACTCGGTTCTCGTAGCGTTCTTCGTGCCACGGCATTGGCTTGTATGTTTCACAACGCTACTACGTCTGCGTTAGCTTAGCCCTTTTGCGCCCTCGGTCCATCGTCCCTCGACTTAAGCTCCTCATTTCGACCAACAATCAGCCACGTCGCGCCAACCGGGGAGAATGATCAGCCTGGAGTTGACAACTCATCAGTAGGCAATGGGCAGTCTTGATGAGATCTGGGAGTGTTATTCGTGGACAAGTTCTGTTGGTTGCCGTCTGTGATGGGCCCCCAGGCATAGCCAGCAGAAGAATGCGTTGTCGCCGGTCCTGATTTGGAGGACGGTGCCCGTGGTCCTGAATTGGAATAATGTCGCATACCCTGATATACCCCGGCTGGAAACCCCCTTCTTCAAGAATGACCGTTTCGCTCCCATCTCTTATCGGCGGCAACAGCAAGATTTATACCTTTCTCTTTTCGAGTAGCATCCTGAAAGGGGAATAATATCATTGTGGCTCTTTGATACCGATCTTGTTTGCTGGTATACAGTAGAGGAGGGAAGGGCAGGGAAGAGAAATTCGGCCTTGACCGTATCAAACAACCGTACGTGAGCAGACAAGTGGGTACTTTTCAGGGGTCATCCAGGGATACCCAGATCCAGCTTCCCTCCTGCAAGTACATCCTTCCATGAGTGGTAGTTGGGATACTAAGAGCGGCCGACCTGGAAGCAGCAGCACCGAGATATCCAACGGTAGCTACAGTGCCTCGATTCAGCCACAACGGCAGCGATCTCCGAAACGTTAAGCTAAAAAGTCCTTTCAAACCGAGGTGTTGCTATGTCGCAGCCGAACCCTAGTCACACCATCCCCGTAGGTACGAATCGTAGGCCATCGAAAAACAAGGCCCAAACGCCGTCCCTGTACCCAAGGAGTCAAATGCCTCCGTCGTTGCAAGCGGCTATAGAGCCGACTATTTTCTCATCAAATGGCGCTCCAAGATCCATCCCAGCTGCGGGAAATTCCAGCGCTTCCACTTGCTATGGGTCCTCGAGGCTCCACCCTACCAACCCAGTCAATGGGGCCGCTTCCTTTTCAAGTGGTATCCAGGATCCTGGTAGCTTCACTGTGAGCCCCACAGACATGACATATTTCTCGTACGTCCCAAGTCTCCAGGCCCAAGGAAATGGGAACTCAGCTTCCCCAGCCTCCACACCGGCTTCCCCCCCCATGGAGTGTGGATGGATGACGAGTAGCTCTTCATATCAGTCCGCCAATGTGACTGCGGCATGCACCACTCAAGGAATGTCTGGGATTTATATGCCGCCAGTCTCAATGCCGCCTACTGGCGGCTTTCATTACGCGTCTGCCGATGACCTTCATGACCAAGTATATCGTCAAACGACTCCGGGTACGAGGCACTCAGGATATGCCCAATCCAATGCGCCAATGTGAGTTAGACCGCCGACCTCTGTTTTCGGTAGATTGACACACAGAGCAGGGCTGTTACCGGGGAAAATTTTACAGCCACACAACCAGATCATTGGGGCGGGGAAGCCATGTCCTTTCATCAAGGAGATAATGATAGCCGCTCGGTGGCGACGAATGGCTTCGGTAATAATGGAGCAATCTCCGAAACGTACGTTTGCCATCTTCGTAATGCAGCTGTTGCTAATATGAACCAAGGCCCTCTGTCGCCAGTGTATCTTGCTCGAAGTGTACCCAAGTCTTTACCGGACAATGGGCCCAACGAAATTTGACTCGACACAGGGAAGGGAAGCACTCTTCTACCGTGGTGTTGCACTGCGGGGTTTGCCTCAAGGAATATCATAGGAAGGGTAAGTTGTATCAAGGAAATGTACCGATTGAGGTTGCATGGCGGCTAATGGACCTTCACAGACGCACTCCTTAAGCATGAGCGAGATCGCCACCCAGAGCTTAGGAGGGCTCCTCCAATCCCTCGAAAGAAATCCCATGATTCCGTGGATCATGACATGAATGATATCCAGTGAAGTAACTTCAAGTAAGCGTCCCCTGTTTGGACCTGCATGTTCGAGTAATGGGGAGGGGGGAAGGGGGTAAGGTCGAGTCTGAAGATGCACCTTGGTATGTAGCGGCCAATGTGTGCACTGGTAGTAATAGTACTTTCCTTTGTGGTATTAATACACTACTTTTGTTCGTTTCTTATGTCAACCTTTTCTTCCTCTTTGTCGGCGTTGGTGGATCCTAGGTTTAATCAGATAAGTTAGGTATGGCGGCCTATTCTCTCTCTGTGCTTGCTTTCCTTCATCTAGTGAAGTCAAAACAAGGTTGCCGCTACGCAGCCACCAACCAGGAGAACGCGTCAATCGCGTGCGAAATGTGAGACTAGAACGTGTGGCCAAAGCTTGATTTGATATTGATCTTTCCAGGGATGTCGTTAACTTCGGTCTTGAGAGTTTGAAAGGTTACGACCCGTTCCTCGCGACTCCCACTTCACTGAAGTAGGCGCTCGCTCCTTCCGATGCCGCACAGCATCATTCTGCACATGCTCTAGTGACCTGTTTCGTTCGAAGCCGGCAGAATACTATGGCCGAGGTTGGAAGCAGGCATCATCATGGAACATTGTTGGCCAGAGTACTTGTCCACTCAGCTCCGGCCACGACTGTAATCCCGTTCAGTCGGGCCGAAACCCGCAAACGCAAGGCCCTATGCATGCGCATGCGCATGAATTTGCTATTCAAGTCGGGCGAATTCGATGGAGGGTGCAATGCAGGCTAATCCACCATCCCCCGTGGTTACCATGCTCATAGTCTTCACTTAAAGGCTATCGTGTTCTGGATATTGAAGTCCCTGTACTGAGCGGGCATCAGGTCAATTATTGCATGTCACATAATTGGTTGATGGCAAAGGGCGGTATGTGACGCTCCACTTGAGACCCCGCTATTAGGGCGTTGAGCGAGACTACTTAAACATCATGATCGTGAAGGAGGATGATTGCGGTGTGCTAATGTCTATGAAGAATCATAATCTATACCTAACAGTGTTGTAGCTATCATATTTGGGACCGAAGGATAACATTGCTTTCGGAAAAAAAATTATCCAGGGCCGATTGAATGGTGGGATTTGTGCTGCCCTCGGCTAGGCCTTGGCTGAATGTCGTACTGGAACTGCTTTGTGACTATTGGAAGAGGCTCGCCTTTTGCTGGAGACCGGGGGTGTTAATATGAGACCTGGCTTCTGGGTTCGATACTGCTTTACCTCCAGTTCATGGGCTGTAGGATCAGGCATTTCTTGAAGATGACAATTTTGGTAATCCGAAGATTCAGCCCTGAATACTGCGCTCTCTACACAGCCGGGCAAATTTGATGTATGCTTCACCTACAGAGAAAGTGGCTTTGGTATGCGGTTATGTTCCCAAGTGCCCTTTTAGCAGCCCAAGTTTGCCTTGCGGGAAGGTGGACGTTGTGCGTACCACCATGCGGGGGGACCGGAAGGGCAATAAAGCAAAGAGGACGCCGGGAAAATTCTTGATCGGTAAGGCGCATCCCGAGGGAGCCGCACGTGTATGCATAAGAAGAGGCTCAGGGAAGCATATCTCAACCTCATCTCTGTCTATACGATGAAAAAGGACGGTTGCGTCAATTATGATTGGTCGCATCATGCTGCGATGCTTTGACATTCCTCAGACCGGTGAGCCCACAGATAGGCCTTGGTACATAAAGAGACGTGCGGTGATGTGGCTGTCTTCGCTGTAGAAGTTAAAGTTGGTCGCATGACTCACGAAGAGCTGGGTTGCGGTGAGGCGGTTGAAAGCCCACGCTGGTAGTTGTACTAGATAAGGTGGCTGAGCATTCGAGGTGCGCTCTCATGGATACTAGGATGACGCTTTGGCACACAATGAAAGGTATGGGCCTGTTTCGGATCTTGATAGAAGCGCGTCACGGCTGAATTTCTCATCCGGATATTCGTTAATGTTGATTAGATGAGCTCCGAGATGTTCCCGGGCTCTTGATAGGAACCTGTCGTCTGAAAAGAGGGAGGCTTTAGGGTTATCGGCCTAGGCAACAAGGCAACGGCAACGAGGCAACAAGGCAATCGCAAGAGCCCATTAAAGCTCGGGAATTAACTCCCTCTTCTGTAATGTGAGTTCGAAGCTAGGGAGGGGATTGGTCAATGTTCTTTCCAATATCAGCTTGCACACCATTCTTTGCCCGCCTTCATGCAGTCGTTGAAATTACAATGCAGGTTGGGATGCTGATGACGATGTGCAAGGAATGAGGCTGAAAAGATCGAGTGTGAACTCGTCCACTTTGCACCTCATAACAACCGTGGGCATGAAGGAAAAAGGATGCTAAACATGCCTGAGGAAGGGACGTTAAAAACTGACGCGTTCAGGACGTATACTGAATACCAACATGGGAGTATCCGGCGAAGTTGTGTCGCACAACGGAAAATATGAGCAAGAAGGGCAAATGCACCGCCCAGATAAAGATTGCCCCTTTCATGCATGGTTCTGAGTGAGGAGTGTCATATGGACGCACACCGATTATCTCTGCATCTCCGCTGGCGGATTCGTCCTAATGCGCAAGAATGGAGTGGATGAGAGCTACGCCGCAATAAGCGCCTGGCCCTGCGGCCCGTTGACACATGAAACACTGCGTGTGAATTGGCAGTCTTACCACGGTCGATGAGAACGGAACAGCTCGATATCTTGGACAAATAGAGATCATTTATGGGCCTCTCGCTTCTCGTTGGTGAGGTGGCTAAGCCGCGCTCGGATAACGGCCTGCAGGTGGATGTGCTAAATGGCGGGCTGACGGTGTTGGCGAGTCTGCTATTGGATTAGCAGGTTTGGAACGGGAAGCGGGAACGGCCGTCGCCCATGGACACTAATGATTCCCTTAGCTCGATACTCGGATGTGTCGCTCGCTATTAGATCTCTCAAACCTATTTGAGAGAATTTTCTTTTTGCACATTCCTCGGGTTTCAGAGCAACATGTAGTAGGGCGCTTACTCTCGAGCCAAAGATCTCTTCTAATAAGCGCGGCTCTTCAATGTCATAGAGACAAGTGGAGTCGGAGCAAAAATCAGACCAACGCCAAGAAGGTACACGGCAGGAGCAGGTGTATAGTGATCTTAACGGTATACGAGGGCTTGGAGACCACATTGGCCTCTTCGTTGTCCTACACTGAGACGTCTTAGAGTGCCAGAGGGTGGGGAATAGACGAGGTGTTAGATCCATTAACGGCGCGCGGTGAAGAGGCGTGTGATTGCGGACAGGGCTGAGAATGTACTTGTCTGGGTATTTCTAGATGTTTTGCAAGGCCCTGTAGATGCCTGGAGACCTGACATTCTTGCTTGGAAGGCGGAGTCGTGAGGGTATGTTCAAGCCAGGGCACCGGAGACACGTTGTTCTTCGGGCCTTTCTAGGATTGGTGGCGCTAATAATGTGCAAATGGGTGATCGGGGTTCCAGATTGAAGCCTCGCTCAACGTCGTGCGTTGCAGTGCAACCATTATTCCTCGAGGCGTGGAGGTTCTCGTTTTTGGTCATGCTTTCTCAGACAATGGGCTTGTCAAAACGCGACCCGTACTGCTTACAGAAACTCCAGGGCGGCGAGGCAGATGTATTGGACAACGCGGTATATGACTGGGCAATTTTCTGCTTGGCATAACTTCGTCCTTCATCTGCACGGACGGTGGATGAAGTCTTGACAGCCCCGAGGGAGACAAGGCGAAAGGGCGATTCAACCTAACAGAGCGCCCTCCAGACGACGATGTTTTTGGATGGCGTTCGGGAGAGGATTTCCAACTTAGGGTGGGATTTATTCTTGGGAAGGTTTCTACTCCATCGACGCTTCACACTTCTCCCTAGTCTTCCTCCCCGCAGCTTAACGCATATTCATATAAAAAGCTAGTGCTCCTTTGGCTTCGGGATATAACTTTCTCTGGAAAGCATCCTCGCTGTTCTTTAATCCTTCTCAGGATCTACCAGTAGAGTTCGCTCGAGTTGTAGGTAGGCAAGCTGAGGCCGGACCACTTAGATGGCGCGCTGATATTTATAGGTGCCGAAGCGATCTTGATTTAACACCCACCACCCTGAAGACTCGCACCCATCCCCGCCTGCCAACAACAGGCTTGCTCGTCAACAGCAGTTCCTCTCGATACCAGAAAACCGAACGGGACTCAGGGCTCACAGTCCGCTGTCCTCACCAGGCGGGGTTCGCAAATCTCAGCAATAGATTTGGTCTCGAGAATTCCGGTACAAGGTTCAGCACCCAGCGTCTGGTATCAAGCAAGCCAGTAGGGGTATCCGGTAGTACATCTAACCCAGAAAGAAGGTGCCACGGTTTTTGTAGAGGTACGCTAGGCTGACGCAGATGTAGGTAATCAAACCGAAGCGGACAACGGAGAATGGATCGTGACAGTCTCGAGCCGAGGGATCCATATCATATGCACGGAAACCAGGAGGATATTGACAGTGTTGAGTCAATGGATCCATACCATGCCTATGGCAATCAGGAGGATATGCCGGACGAAGTCACTAGTTCGATGCCTTCACAAGGCAATCCCACGCCGAACGGGCCGAGGAACAATGACCCCAACACCGACTTTGGGGTATATCTTTCGTCCAGTCATGACAATTTGCATACCAACCAGGGTGGATCTTCTAGCATCTCTCCAACAATGCGGGGACAAGAACCTTGGTTGTATGTGGAAAGCCAGCTCCCAGAAATCCAACTCCGAGGAGGGCGCGAGACTCCAGTGCAGGATTCGATGTCAGATCCTCGGCCAGCTCCTCTACCATATATAGGAACGGATAGGTTGCCCCAATCAAGATCATTCAATCAAAGGGAGTACTACAGAGATAGCCAACGGGGAACAGTGTATCAACTGTCATGGGACAACATTGTGCAGGAAGGCATTAGCTCTGATGCGGGACATACACAAAGTTTTAGTGAATACGATGATGGAGGCGGGTAAGGACTTCAGGTGGCTCTAGTTTGGCGTGGGTTATGGATGGCTAACCCGTCCTTAGGTATAAGCAGCAGCTCCCTGAACAGGAGCATAACATGTCCAACCAATACCATACATCCGGGTTTGAAGTAGCCCCCAGCATCGAGGTGCCCGAAAATGAGCCCCAGTACTTTGTTGAACAGGGGTGAGTAGAGCCGTATCTGAATTTTTAGCGAAGACACTCATGGATAGGGCAGATTCGAGGACCAGCAGGAGCTGCCAGCTGATAGTATAGGCGCAACACAGTCCCCAAGTGCTTTAGTGTGCACAGAGAGATATAGCCGAGCAGGCTCTACCGTCTCAAGAAACCAAGACCACTCGGTGAGATGTGAGTTTTGTGGAAAACTGCTGTACGGTCCCCACGCCGATGGGAACCTTAAGCGACACCAGAAATCCTTGGAGTGTAACTCTTCTGAGAAAAGAAGGGAATGGCCTTGCGATCAATGCCATAAGGTGTACCAGAGATCCGATGGGTTGCTTGTTCATAAGCGTAAGCGTCATGGACATCCACCAGCGGAGCGGAGGGTAAAAGAAACAACCGGGTACTCCTAATGGCGACGTCCGGGTGAACAAGTCGAGGAGAGGGCCACTCAAATAACACAACGAACGTTCAAAAGTCGATGACCCGGACGGAATCCTCATATGGAAGCCCTCCTTTGTGTGTCCTCCTCCGTCCTGGTCCTGGATCCAGGTGTGCTGTTCTTCGAATATAAATCTCGTATATTGTTGTCTTTAACGTAGCCATTCTCGAGGTGCAGGGGCGACAAGATGAGGTATAATTCGGACCCAAGCTGGGTGCTGGAACCAGAGTATGGAGACGTTCGATGAGGAGACCGCCGCGGATTCGCCTTTTGCTAGACTCTCCATTTCATTGCCTAGAATCATCTCAGGGAGAACAAGGACGCATAGGAGACTCATAATAGAGTGCTATTGAGTGACGACAGGAGCACCATATTGCGGAGGTATGTCGGGAAAGAGAGGACGTGGTGAGAGGAGTTGTCGAAGGAGGTCGAGAGAAGGTTTCAAGGCACGATGCTAGCTGCACTTCAGGCAGGGCCGCTCAGGCTAGTCCGCCTCGCCTAGAGAAACTAACTACTAAGGTACCTTGAGAGCTCCAACCGCTACTGGCTCTTTCCGCATTATCGTTGCCTCTTCTTCACCGAAGTGCCTTCCAATCAACAGCATACGATAGTGATGAGACCCTGATCATCTGCAACCTGACGGCGAAGTGCCTGCTTCAGTTTGCTGGGCGAAAGCGATCTGATTCGTTCATGCCCAGATTCCCGTGGGTCAGGCATGCGGCGCACGTCAAATCATCCATCCACGGCCATGTCGATAGGTACTCGTGCGGGACGTCAGGTCTCCTGTGGCTGTGAGCGTGGGGGAGGGATGATCAACATGCTGCTGGTAAGATGGAGGAACGGAGAGAGGAATGAAGAGAGAGGAACACGACCTATTTGGCTCAAGAAAAAGGCATCGATCTCGAGACAGACTTCTTCAAAATGACCATTAGACTGGAGGCAAATCAGTCAACACGCCATCTCCATCCAAAACCTTTGCGTGGCGAATGCCATGGGCGCTAAGGCAAACCGATCCATCCACTTAGTGCTGTCTCAGCACCTCCTAAACGTGACTCGGACAACCTCATGAAGCCCATCAAGCCACACACGATGCAGAGGAGCAAATATCTCACGCCCAACTTGCTCAGAGTTGTCAACAGTCCATGCGGCTTTGCAACCGCTCTATGAGTAATGAACGAACGATGCCCTATTCCTGGTCGCTAGCGGCTTGGGTATGGCTCGCACAGATGAACGAATGAGGCGTCCACAGTTTAATAACTTCCAGAACACTTGTCATCAACTCTCATTTTCTCAAGCCCGGGTGGCCACCCGGCCAAGCAGCCAAGAATGGAAGTTGGGCATTTTTGGCCCGAACCAGCGAGCTTTAATCGGCATAAAAGCACAGCGGCATGGGAGCACTCGTATCCACAAGTATTAGACAAATTTCGAGCTTGTACGAAGCATGATACGAACTTCTCCATGAAGACACTGAAGGTAGCCTTTCCTAGATGGCCCCGTCCTCTCCACTCACCACCGGAGTGGTGTCTAGAATGTATGATCTCCTTTCCAACGATTTGCGTAATAGCATTCACTTTTCTCTTTACAATATCCCATCCAACTTAAATCTAAACTAAACCGCACCAATCCCAAGCCACCAACATCTTGACATCCTTGTTTCAACGTTATCAGTCGTTTTGGGCATTGCATTTGCTCGCCAATGAGCTGCCTCCTCGGCAGCCTCATGCATACACTCCCACGAATTCTCCGAGCCAGCCGCGGTGCCTTGTCGCCCACCTTCACGCTTCAAACCCACAGACCCGCATACACGACAAAAAGTGGCCGGGCATATTCAAACACAACCGTTCTAGATAGACATTAAGAGTCATTACATATTTACAAGAAAAAGTGCAGATATGCTAGTGCCCGATGCAGCCAATCTGAATAGATGACAAAACCCAACCCAACCTGTATGCCCAAAATTCTGAGAAAAAGATGCCCATATGCAAGGGTATGTGAAGAAAGGCTCCCTCCCCCAAAGCATTCGCCAAAAGGAAAATGCTCAAAACCCAAGGGTTAGCCAGCCCGCAGTAAGCCCCGTGAATAATATGGTAGATGCACCCAACTCCTCTTTCGCGTTCATATTTTCCTCGCAAACGAAAACCAAATACGTGTCAGACGTGATTGGGAGGTATGTGTCGCGTTGTCATTAGTTCAGCCCTCGAAAAACATTAAAGACTCGTTACTCTTACTCCGCGTGCAGCGTTCATCCTCTGCGGCCGGAGATTTATTACAGATTCCAACTCCTTCAGCATACTGTTGTTCGCATCTCTCTGTTCGCGTAAGGAGACCTGGCGGACCCGGTCTTCTTGGATCTTTTGCATTCGTTCTTCTCTCGACAGTGTGGGGCGTGTTCGGGGTATTGCTATCGCCTCAAACACTTCATCGTCAGAGTTGCTGCCTTCTACGCTTGATGGTGCGGATTGTCGTGGGCTGAGCAGGCCACCATTCAGGGCTCGGAGGGCGTCAGAAGGACTGCCTTCTTCAACGGCAGTCAACCCACCAAGACTGGGGACTGGTGATCGTAAACCACTAGAGGCCTGGGATATCCGTCGTTCGTGCCTGTCGATATTGAGGGCAAGGGAAGTTTTTCCGGATTCCCAGGCTTGCATCAGACTCTTCAGATCAGCACCGATAGACTCGTACTGCGCCATGAGATGGGAACCCAAATCGGTTATATCCTCCGACTCCTCAAGAGTCTTGTTAGATTCCTCGCGTAAAATTTGCATCTTAGCCTGGAGACCACGGATCCCCTGAGACAAGGAGCTGAGCTTCCTAACAGAGTTTCGCAAACGTTCCCGACTAGGGGTTGGCTGGATCTTTTGTGGAGACGGCAGGACAAATTGCTCATCTTCGCTAAGTATGCGGTTCAGTTTTTCACTCCAATCTCCTGTAGGGGCAGCCAAGCTTAACATAGAGTCCACGGCTACAGTCCACCGAGCGAAATCAGGCTTTCCACCATCCGCCTCAAGGGCAAGAAGCGAGCAAAGATAGACGCGGCGTAAAGTGGAGAGACGGTATTGCAAGATACGAAGAGCCTTCAAGGTTTCGGCATCCTCAAACTCTGATTCCGAGTATCCCTGTGCCGCCTCTTGCAGATCAGGGTTGCTGATGTCGTAGACATCCAGATATTTCTCCAAATCATCCTCCTCGACGAGCTGCTTCAGGCTCCCACAATGCTCGGCAAAAATTGGGATGGCACTAGCAAACGCGGCGCGTAGACTTCGACGCAGGCGGTGACAGCGGCGTGCCTGTCCCTTTTCTTCGATTCTTGAGATGGGAGGAAGAGGGCTGCTACTGCATGGAATTCAACGGATATTCTTGCTTTAGCCAGGAAGGGAAGAATGATTACTTACAGGCGATATCCTCGTGAAACGAGCTCTACCTCCTGAATCAATGCAAGAGCCGATGACGTCGACGCTTCAAACGCCTGCAAGTTTGTGACCAGGGCTGAAGCCCCCTCCACGGCTTGCTGCCTGAGGTACTGTAGCCACTGGCGCCGGACGTACGCGTAGCAAGTGGTTGTGACTGCGGCAAATACCAGCAGCACCACGAAAAACCTGCCCTTGCTGAACCCATTTGCTCGGCCTCGGGACCAGTGTACAAGCCAGACGAGTATGAACGCGGTCGCTCCTGTCAAGGCAGCACCTGTCAGATTGGTGGTGGCGACTCTGAATTCTCGCTGTTGGGCTCGTTCGTCGGACGCGAAGTTGGGGATGGCTGCAGCCCGAAGACCCCCTTGCTCACTTAAAAGCTGAGAGGCGACAACGAGGTACCTAAAGTGTTCTAGAAAGCGCTGGTTGTCCGCTCGTCCTAGCCTCGAGTTCACCGCCCTCTGTGGATTATGCATAAGCAAATGCAGTAGTAGTGCTGGAGTAACATACAGAGCATGCGCCGTGGATCCTAGCAACCGAACTAGTACTGCCGACTTGTATTCGCAGCGGGCGTGGGAGCCGATCCCGTATTCTGGACTGGAGCGTCGACGGGCCTCGGGGGGCGAAGCTGTGCCTCTCCGGTGGTGGTGAGGACGATGTGGTGGGCGAAGGCGGGCTTGTCCCTCTTCCTTCACCTGGTGTAGCTGTTAGCTCGGGGTGATTCATAATTAGGGCTCCAGGCGGTCGACCTTCTAGAAATTCCGCCAAGGGTGAGTCCTCGTAGATAACGTTCTCCATCGACTCTCATGATTCGGCGTCTCGTGACTGCCGCAGCTGGATCGGGGAAGCACGCGCTCTTAAGGCGACATGCTCTCACAGCAGGCACAGTCAGTTGAGATTCTGGTTCGGCTTCCAGTCAGAGATGTGTCGTCTGCCGTCGAGCTCGTTGGAGCAGAGCAATTGTCCTGGGGGAAAGCGCGCGCCCCGTGAAGCGTGCGAGGTGAGAGTAGGGAGACGTATGGTTTGGCGCGGCCTCGTCGGCGGCTGGACAGAATTCGGGGAGGGTCAGGGACCGTCGAACTGGGGCTGGGGTCGAAACGGCGGCGGGCGGAGATGAGCCGTGGTGTGGTTGGTTACCGAGCCACTTGGCCTCTGTAGGCGGTGAATGTCGTCGTGGTCCGACCTTATGTCATCCACCACTCAGGCTTCTTCGTCCATCCTCAACCACACCTCTTCATCAGCCCTCTGACAAATTCATACGAGGCGCACTGCCAGCGTGCAATTGATCATGTCGCCGTGACTCGTGGGGATCTGCACCTGCCCTTAATACTCTTCTATGTATTATTTGCCTTGGAATCGGACGTACCTGGCCCTCCTGATTACTACTTCTTAGCAACCGAGGAATCTTGTCTATCGCAATGTCAGCCCTACGCTATCTGCACGTCGACGTAGCTTGGAGATTTTTAGGAATCCATAAGGCGTTCGGCATTTGCCTGAGGCCAATATGTGATCCAGCGGCCGGTGGGTTGATCAAGGAGTGCATCTCGTGCGGCACCGCAGGATAGTGTCTAGAGGCTTGTCGAAGGGTCGGTCGGCATTGTCGTGGACTCGTCTTTGAACTTCTGACGGGGGAACTCGGGCTCGAGGGTCCGGAATGCCAATTAAAGTGCTGACAAACGTGACATAGACACCCAGCCAAGTAAACCCACACCAGTCCATCGCCATCTTCTGGCAATCATATCCATGCGGCACTCTTTAGCATCTTCGCACGACTCAATAAAAGTGCTATCGGGCTTTTCGTCTGACCCTAGCGGCTGCTCGAGTCCTCTCGACCCTGCAGGCATAGTCGATTGAAGGTGTCTTGTCGCAGCTCACTCACACGGCCGGTTTTCTCATTGTTTCTGTTGACTCTCTGCTGAGTGGTGCCTGTTTGGGGCAATTCCAATGAGGAATTCGAAACGGCTCGCCACACGAGACTGTGTTGGATGGCTGCAGTAATTCATCTTAGGCTGGGGCCATGTAGCATCCCAGGCACATCTGATTCCTGGTCATCCGGCGCGTTCACTCTGTGGCAACATTGTATCTCAGAACAGTTAGCCCGCGTGTCTAGATATAGCCTCTCTCGCGAACATCAAGACTTATACACTGCATGTAATGCCCGGGGGTGCGCCTCTTGCATGCTCTCGTCACCAAACACTTCCCTTTCTTGCCGGACCCCAATAGCGTTCATTTCTCTTCAGCTATCGTCTGCACAGCCGGGCCATCATTCCTTTGTCCTATCATATTTCCTACGCGAAGGCTCTGTTATCACCCCTTCAGCCACTTTCTCGTCACAAGCAGGATCTTTCGACCCTTTCCTTCGTATATCAGTGCCGAAATTCCATGCTATCGCATCAAGTCAGCACGGTCTACAGCTTCGCAGTATTCGCCTTTGGTTCTGTCATCCATCTTTTGGCTTTTTGGTCCTTCTGTAATCCATTCACCACCCCATCAGTTTAGTCTAGCAGGCCTGGTACCAATGGATGAACACATGGTCAGCGCTCTTGTGTCTACTGTAGAGTTGATATCCTCAACTCTTGACGCCGCCCCAGATAGTTGGCGTGACCAGCTGCAGACAATCAGGAATACTACCGCCTCCCTGGAGCTCATTGACTCGACTCCGAACGAAACACGAAGGCGATGGCAGATACCTCTCATCAGTGTCTTTCAGCGGGTAGCTTTTGCCGATGCGGATAATGGCGGTGTTCCTGACGTAGCAAACTGGTGCTTGAGACAAGCGTTGACGCAGCTTCAACTATATCCCGAGGATGTTGACCTCCTCACTCGTAGGATGTCTTACCACTACACTAAATTCGGCCTAACTAGTGAACAGTGATCGGGCAGAACTGGCTTCTTCGAGCACAGAAGTCTTTGGCAAAGATACACCACAACGAGCGAGGCTCATCCAGCAGCGGAGCCAGCTACGGCCACCCATTGTCTCGAAGTGAAGAGGAAAGACTAGCGGCCAGGTCTGCTATTGAAGCAGAAGATCGACTCCACGCAGCGGACTATGTTGAAGCCCGCGGCATTCTCCTCCCAGCCACTGAATACCTGAAGCGTGCAGTTGATGCTGCCCGAGCTCAGGGGAGGTTGAATGGAGTGCTTCTTGCGGCGGTGAGAAAGCCACCGCTTTTTTTTTGTTCTTCTGCTAACACGATAATGAAGGCCGCAGAATCATTCATGAGCTTAGGCAACGTATCGTCGACACGCATCAGTGGGCCATACTTTCACGAGGCGCTTGATTATCTCCGCGAAGCGAGTGGGCTACAAGGTTACATGCTCCCAGCACATTTGCAGCAGTGAGTTCAACCGCAACCTTATCGCCCCGAGAACCTTTCTAATGATACTCTAGATATCTTGAGGAATACGGCCCGTTGGATACCATCACCTAGGGCTTGTCTGAATACTACTCTGTCGTCGGGGACAGGGGCCGCAATCAACATTCACACTTAGTGCATAGTACGATACCCAGGCCTGGTGCCGTCATCAAATTTTGTAGCAATTAAAGGCACAATTCTCTCCATCTTCCAATCTGCAATATCAAATCGCTGAATGCTTGTGGCTGAATGTATGACATGGTGATCTGCGCGGCTGAGAAGACCTAGAGAAAGCAGCGATCCCGTACCCTAGCCTTCTATTCGACCGAGAGCAGAGATTAGTCGCACGGTGTCGAGAATGCAAGGCACTGTTGATCACATAAGCATACTGCCTTGCGGTCGGGAGTTGGGAGTTCGGGGTGGGCGCTTGGGCCGTGGGTCGGCGCCCTCGGAGTTTGACGGCGCGAACGCCGACCAGCCAAGTTGCTGGTCCGTAAACACCAGTTCTCACCGTCCCTTCCGGTCCGACCACTGCTATTGTGTGACAATCTGAAAACAAGAGCACCAAAGGTTTCATTGTCTTCCGCCCTGCAATTCCGAGCGTTCCGAACGACGCCTCAGGAATCACATCGACTGTTCCTCACCGCTACGAAAAAGACTCACCGGCCTCGTAACCCTCCATTGCCCCCGACATCTCCAGCTTTGCGATTCGGCCGACACGGAGCTATCGTCCGAACAAACAGGATATTTCGCGTGTCTACCCTAAACGGCTGCTAGAGCCCTTCGGCTAGTCGTGGAAGCCATGAATGAAGAGCGTGAGCTAGCGATCAATCCCATCGTGCAGACCAGCGTGCAGCATAACACCCAGGTCAGTACTAAGACGCCGACGCAAAGTAGTGCCTGTACATTCCAAGAAAGCAGATTTAGGCAGATGGATTGCTGACTCTTGCCACCTAGGTCGTCTCGAACATTCGAAATCTCACGGCGTCTTTGTTCGGTGTCGCCGCCGGGACTCTAGGCCTGGAGTCATATCCAGGCTTCATCTTCTATCTCGTCGGGACGCTGATTGTTTCCAGCCTAGTGTTTGCCCTCCGGGCAGACGGAAAGCCAGCAGAATATTTCCACCGACCGTTAGGGGATCTTTGGGGAGGCGACGTCTTCAGCGGGCTGAGCAGCTTCGTGCTGACGTGGACCCTGTTCTACGGTCTTGTAAGGGCATGAGGATTGAGAACGTCCGCATAGATGAGGGCAGAGCAGATTGACTCCAAGGCGATTGGAGATGGACGGCTGTGGCGAGCTGCAGGCCAGTATATGAGCCAAGGCGACGCACTCCAACGGGGTATCCTTCACGACTCGTCGTTCATTCCGCTTTCCTCCTCACCGCACCTCTGTCGAACCGTCGACCCATCGTCGCACCATCAATCTGGATGAGTGATCTGGTTGGAAGTTTAGAAGCATGGCCGTTTCCCGAGATTCGCAATGAGATGCAGGAGGACTGTCTGGCCTATTCGGGGGTGCACCTGCCCGACAAAGTAAGGGCCTCGGGCTTGGAGTAGGTAGATCTTTGATCACCGTAGCAACAAGTCTACTACAAACTCTCTCCCAAATGTATACCTCCGTTCGTTTCGAGCAGACATCTCGGCTTGGCACTGTGATTTTGATATGGCCCGTGCTCATTCCAGGGTTAATGGATTTTATTAGTCATCAGCGCGTGAAAACGCGTTTGTGCGTGCTCGCGTTTGTCACAGTGCCCAGGGATCTTCTGCCTCTCACAACCAACGCTTCCTTCTAACCGTTCCCTCACGAATACTATTCTCGTCAATCTCATCAATCTCTTCGCTCTCCACTACATCCGATCTATACACGCCATATTAAAAAAGTAGGTGTCGTTGTCTGCGTGCCCACAGATGCCCCCATGCTAATCAAGTGAAGTGCTTGAGGCACGCTTAGAACAGGCCAGTCTTCTGAAGAAGGTCAAACATCCCCTCCAACTTCTCGTGAGAGACCCTAACTCTGCAGTAGGTGGTCGATGCAATCAAAGATCTGGTCCAAGATTGCAATTTCGATTGCAATGACTCCGGTATTGCGCTCCAGGCAATGGACAATTCCCACGTTGCCCTCGTCTCCATGATGCTTAAATCGGACGCCTTCCAACCCTTCCGATGCGACCGAAACATCGCGCTTGGTATCAATCTCGGCTCGCTCACCAAGGTTCTCCGCGCCGCACAGAACGATGACACGCTCACCCTGAAGGCTGAGGACGCGCCCGATGTTGTTAATTTAGTCTTCGAGGCGACCGACTCAGACAGGATCAGTGAGTATGATATCAAGCTTATGGATATCGATCAGGAACATTTGGGCATCCCCGAGACGGAATACGCGGCCACCATCTCTCTGCCCTCAGCCGAATTCCAGCGCATCTGCAGGGACTTGAGCGCCCTGTCGGAGTCTGGTACGCACACACATATCTATTTATTTATACAAGTTAGCTAACGAGAACTCACAGTGTCGATCGAGTGCTCAAAGGAGGGTGTCAAGTTCAACTGCCAGGGCGACATTGGCTCGGGCTCCATCCACCTCCGAACTCACACCAACGTCGAGAAGCCCGAAAACAACGTTGAGATTGACATGACCGAGCCTGTCTCTCTCACTTTCTCCCTCAAATATCTTGTCAACTTCTGCAAGGCTAGCGGCTTGTCTACCCAGGTCAAGCTTTGTCTTTCCAACGAGGTTCCGCTCCTTGTCGAGTACGGGCTCGTCAACAACAGCTACCTAAGATTCTATCTCGCTCCCAAGGTGGGCATTCGGGCAATCCAACTGCGTAATGAAGTCACTAATGGAATCAGATTGGTGATGAGGAGTGAGCGCATCACGACTCACTGCGGTATGACCCGCACCTCTTTAGGATACACTTGTGGATTTATCACGGCGGAGCAAGCAATGTCCTTCATATGCACTCCAGGCGTCTATCGGGTATTCAAGGGTGTTAGATTGGCACTGGGGTGGGATGCGGGATTAAGTTCCAGGATCTCGGTGAAACTGGGGGACTGCCCCGCGGACGTCAGAGAGGGGCAATCAGATAACTCTCAAAAAAAATCAACAACATACACTGACCCTCGTTGTTGGATTTGCAACGTCGCTCCTTACATTTTCCTCGCATTCTTGTTTTTGGGTTATAGCTGTGGCAATGGCTTCTAACACGCTGATCCCCGAAACCCACGTCCTAGCGATTGCTAGCCATGTAAGAGCCACAGGACAATCCGCACCGCGGTCTTCGGCTGATTCATTGTTAATAGGTAGTATATGGGTGAGTTCCTTGAGGACGATAGCGCGAGGCCAAGAGACTGATGGACACTCGAGATATGTGGGGAACAAGATGGCATCATTTGTCATGCAATCTTTGGGATGCGATGTGTCTGCGATTAACACTGTGCACTATAGTCAGTCAACATTCCTCAGCCACCCCAAAATCCCTTTCCCCGAACTAGATAGAGAGAAGATTGATGCCGGAAGCAGGTAACCACACGGCATACAAACAAGTCAAAGGTACCAAGACGACAGCGCAGCAGATACAGGAGCTATATGAGGGATTGAAGCAGAGCAGTCTGAATAACTTCGATCTCCTATTGACTGGATATGTGCCTAGCGCCGAGGCTGTACAGGCCGTGGGCAAGATTGGCAGAGATTTGAAGTTTAATGCTGCGACGAAACCGGGATCCTTTTTTTGGGGTAAGCTCTCGAGACCGGTTGGGTGAGGGTAGTGGGGTGGGTGTGGCTGCAGATACTGATTGAGCGCAAAGTCCTGGACCCTGTTATGGGAGATAATGGACAACTATACATACCCGAAGACGAGGTTCCACAGTACAAGGCCCTACTCCGGGAAGCAGATCTTATTCTGCCAAACCAGTTCGAGGCGGAGTATGTAAACTCTTCCATCCAGTCCAATACTAAACTATCGCCGGTCCTTTGACAGAAGTCTGCGACTAATATGTATATGAACTTGTTAGGACGCTCTCAGACATCGCCATCACCGACCTCAATTCCCTCGCCGCCGCAATCCAGGTCCTGCATAAGACATACCAAGTTCCACATGTCATCATAACATCACTGCGTCTGACACCAGACAACCAGACGATACCCTCGCGAACGCCGTCTCGCACGGCGTCCTCCAAGCCCTCGCCAAACATATCGTTTACCAGCGTCACGCCTTTAGGGCCACTGGAACAGAATGCAGATGCAGATATTTCACCCCCTTCTACACCAACCCCTTCCTCTAAATCCCAATTCAATCCGCCCCCCTCCTCCCAAAACCTCACCATAATAGGCTCAACCGCAACCTCCACCCATACCCCTCGCCTCTTCCGCATCGACACGCCTCAACTCCCGCTCTTCTTCTCCGGTACCGGGGACATGTTCGCCGCACTCACGATCCCACGCCTCATCGAAGCCGTGCACGCATCTCCAACACCCAATCTCCATTCTCTTCCCTCCTGGCGCTCCCCTGATGATGTGCCAGCAGAGGAATTGCCGCTCGCGAAGGCGTGCCAGAAGGTGCTTGCGAGCATGCAATCCATCCTTACTAAAACGACGGAGAAGTGCGAACGGGAGATGAAGCGGTATGATGAGCAGGTGGAGAAAGAAGGATGTGGAGTTGGGCAAGAGGCGGAGAAGGAAAGAGAGATGAGGAGGCATTTGGCCCTGATGAAGGCGAGTGAAGTGGTCGTAGTGCGGCATATTCGGGAATTGGTGGAGCCGCCTGAGTTGGAGAGGTTCAGGCCGAGGAGGGTGGAGGAGGGGAGGATGGTGGATAAGGATACTGGTGCGGGGGCACCGGATGAGTTGGGAGCGGTGAAGTTAGGGATTGGGAGGGTGAGGGAGGGGGCTGTACAGGTTGTTGGGGGGAAAGGGGTGTGAGGGGTGGGTGATGGGAATGGTAAGAGGGCGGGTTGGTTGGGTGGGGAATCACAAAATGTGCACTTGCATGCATCGTTGAGATGCCTCAGCGAGGATTTTCATAGAAATCTAAATCTATGGCTGAAGGGCTCGACCCCACCCTGCCTGCATCCATGAACCCAAGGCAGAACCTTTGACTCCTTTGAACCAAATCAGTTGTGAACCACGAATAGAGTTATCACCGTATCCATCCACCTTGCTCTCTAGATATACAGAGAGGCGATTAGACGCCATTGGCAACTGCACCACCGAAGCCCCCAGTGCTGCCGAAGCCACCAGCGCCTCGTACGCTCTCCTCCAACTTCTCCACCACTACGACTTGGGGCATGATGATCTACAAAAATCAATTAGCCTCGGCTCAACTCATTCAGACTTTCCCATCTCCTCTGTAATCTAATTCTCTACATGTTCGTACAGATATGAAAAGAAAAGGAAACATACCTTCTCGACAATCAACTGCGCAATGCGATCCCCAACCTTAATCTCGAAATCCGTCTCGGACAAATTTGCCAATATAACACCGACCTGGCCTCGATAATCAGCATCGATGACTCCAGCCATAGTGTCGATCCCGTGTTTAGCAGCGAGGCCGGAGCGGGGCGCCACGCGGCCATCTAAATTCCCCCAATACGTTAGTAATGTGTTCTTGTTCGAGGAATGGGAATGTTGAGGGAAAGATGCAGCCTCACATGTCCCAACCGGCACCGCAATGCTAATATCGGTATCCACTCTTGCCCTGCCCCGCGCAGGAATCACAACATCCCGCGCGCTGTATAGATCGTGGCCTGCTGCGAATGCGCTCCCTTTTGTTGGCGCCGTCGCCTTGTCGCTCAGGAACTGCACCTGCAATTGCGTTTCCGCCGCTGCTGCTGCCGCAATGCTTGGCGGTTGGAGGGTGGATGCGGGCTGCCCGATGGCGTGTGTCGGATGGTGGTGCTCGGCGGAGGTCATGGCGAGGGGTGTTGGAGTTGCGGAACCGGAGTCTGTGCCTCGGGGGAGCGTGGAGTGGTGTGTGAGGGGGGTGGGATCGATGACTCTGGTGCGTTTGGGGAGAGGGGATGATGGTAGCGAGGGAGGCTCGTGGGTGATTGGAGCGGGGGTTGAGGCGTCATCTGCCATTGTGGGTACGAGAGGTGCGGTGAGGGTTGGTTGTTGGTGAAGACCGCGGACGCGTAAATTGGTGGAGGAAAGGGCGGTGGAGAAGACGCGTGAATTCAGCGCGTCTGATTGGTTGGGGATGCAACTTCCTTCATTTACAATATTTTCGGTCTCGGATGTCATGTGCTCTTCTCCTGGTCTTCTGTTTATACATAGTGCCTTCCCCTACGTCCCGTCTCTATCACTGTAGTCCTCATCTTGTTTTTGTCTTCTTCTTCTTCTTCTTCTTCTTCTTCTTCTTCTTCTTTTCCTTCTTCTCTACCCTTCGACCTAGCTAGGTTCGTGAAAAAGAGTGAGTGTCGTCGAGCTGAACATGAACCCATCAACCCCATGGCAAAAAAAGGCCTTCAAATTCCAGATCTTGAACCCTGGAGGCACTCCCCTCTATTCAAAATACAAATAAATCCCACAAAACAAAATACGAGAAAGCAAGGACATTGCTGGTCAACCTAGCTTCTTCATCACCATCACTCTGAAGACCATCTAGACTTGGCTTCTGTGCGCGAGGAATAAAGGATAAGTTTCTTTCGATGGCCCTGGTTTTGGCAAACACCTTCGGCCCCTTTTAGCACATACAAGTGTTTGAAGAATATTAACTCCCGGCCCTTAGCTGATGCGGGTCTGACGGATTCTGACCGAGGCCGAGGCGGATCAATTTGAAATACGTCAACACTAACTGAGAATAGGCTTGCCTCATATCCTTTTACCAACCGCCTCATCCATTTGAGCTCTCAAATGAGTACATAATCTTGTGACCTTGCAGACTGCCGCACTCCTCATTTTGAGCCTCCACCCACAAGAAAGGCCCACATATCGCTTATCCATGAGCCCCTCCACCAAAAAGCCTCGACGGCCGCTATCCGCTTTGGGACTTGATGGGCGAGTGAAACCTTCCGAGAATTTCTCCAACATCAGTCACACCAATAGCGTGCGGCAACACTAGCCTGTAAACTTCCGTGGGCGAGAACGTGCTCACCAAATATTAAGCTGTGCCATGCGAGGCTTCATTTGAAATGTCATCCAACGAAGTTGACCCTGCCGCATCAACTTTCTAAGTATTAGATAGGTCGAGGACGAGGAAATGTGGACCCAATGCAGCTGTCCCGCTCACCCCCTCCCTGCGGTGCAAAATGCAAGTAACAATCTAAGTGCGAATAGGCCGCTCTCGAAGTCAAATTTGAGCAGCCATGATTATTCCAGAATCCTTCGATAGGCTTTCCCGAAACAGTTGGGACTACATGCATTCGTAGGGGCCTATTTCTGCACGATCGGGGGTTTTATCATATGTGCACATAATGCCTTTACAGCACTTCGTTCGCAACGCTGAAGACAATCCTAATCACGCCTGAGAACGACTAATTTCAAGTAGTTGCAGCTCTAACGCGAAAATCGCCGGCGATCGTGAGGAGAGTCGAGTAGTGAGAAGTTGTAGATTTGTTCTACACCTAGCCGACAGGTAATGAAGTCAGAGTTGTTCACTTGTGAGCTAGATCCCCACAATCGACACATGCATGTCAACGCTAAGCATTCGACAGGACATTAGTCTCCGAAAAGCACGCCTTAATACCGCCACCGATCGTGCCGGCTTTCCTAAAGTCCATGCAGTATGCTGTGCAGCTATTCAAAATCTTGTCACATGTTGACACTCCCATACTGCGATATCTCAATTTCTATTTGCGAAGAAGTATCAATGCCATGGAATTCCCTACGCTGAACCATGAGAAGCGTATTTTGATGTTTCTACAGGCTTGAGCCGATTTGACACACCTTTTCCGAAGCTTAGAACTGCATGCCTGGCGCACATGGATAACCCCTCTTCATAGGCCCCAGTCCCAACACTAGCTCTGCTCAATTCCTATCCCTTCCCCGTTTGTCCTCCCTGCCGCTCCCACAACCCCACCGCTGAGCCGGCGCAATTAGACTGTGCGTCCAGCCTCCGGACCATATCACGGACTCGGGACACGGGGTTGCCCTCCTAGATATCAACTGTACTTAAAGCCTACCCCGCTCCTCCCCATTCAGTCTTGTCTTAATTCGCAGCTCACTCTTCAGTGACACCCCTTCATCAACTCTTTGTTACTGAATCGAACCTCAACCACCCAACATGGGTATGAAGCTCAAGAAGCCTGAGGGTGCCGCCGGTTCGGCCGTGCCCGCCATCATGATCGGCTTGTTCGTCGCTTTTGGTGGCGTTTTGTTTGGGTAGGCTACCTTTTTGCTATTCTTGTGGTTCCAATTTATTCTTACTTCTTATAGATATGACACTGGGACTATCGGCGGTATCCTAGGCATGCACTATTGGAGGAAAGAGTTCTCGACGGGTTTTACTAATAAGAAGGATGGTCTCCCCGACATCACTGCCAGCCAGTCTTCAGAAATAGTGTCTATCCTCTCTGCTGGTACATTTTTCGGAGCTCTCACTGCTGCCCGTATGTTTTCGCTCAAATCACCCTCGACATGACCTGCTGAAGCGTCTCCAGCCACTGCTGATATGATTGGACGACGCCTTGGCTTGATTGCTTCGACTGCTGTCTTTACTTTTGGCGTCATTCTCCAAACCGCCGCTACTGCTATCCCTATGTTTGTCGCTGGCCGATTCTTCGCAGGATACGGTGTGGGCATGATTAGCGCGATGAGTGAGTGGTCTCGTCTCCGGTCAGAAAGAACTCTATACTGACAATATTTAAGTTCCACTTTATCAATCTGAGACAAGCCCGAAGTGGATCCGTGGCACCGTCGTCGGAGCCTACCAGTTGGCAATCACTATCGGCCTTCTCCTTGCGGCCATCGTTGATAACTCGACAAAAAATCGAAATGACACGGGCTCCTATCGAATTCCTATCGCAGTGCAATTCGCATGGGCGATCATTTTGTTCGTTGGGTGCGCCTTCCTCCCCGAAACGCCTCGCTATCACATCAAGAAAGGCAGGCCTGAGAAGGCGGCGAAATCCCTCTCCAAGCTGAGGAGACTTGACGTTGACCACCCAGCTCTCCTAGAAGAACTTGGCGAGATCACCGCTAACCACGAGTACGAGCTATCGTTGGGCAGGGCAACTTATATCGATTGCTTCAAGGGAACTCTTGGATTTCGCCTTCTCACTGGGTGTCTCCTCCAATCCCTTCAGCAGCTCACTGGTGTCAATTTCATCTTCTACTATGGCACTTCGTTCTTTCAGAATTCGGGAATCAAGAACCCCTTTATTGTGACTATGATTACATCCGCGATCAACGTTGCTTCAACCTTCCCTGGTCTATACCTCGTTGAAACCTGGGGTCGCCGTAACCTTCTCCTCTTCGGCGCTGTCGGTATGGCTGTGTGCCAATTCATCGTCGCTATCACTGGTACTGTCGCCGGAGTCGAAAACATGTCAGCTCAGCGAGCGTTGATTGCATTTGTCTGCATCTACATTTTTTTCTTTGCATGCTCCTGGGGACCTGTGGCATGGGTAGTAACTGGAGAGCTCTTCCCTCTTAAAGTTCGAGCCAAGTCTCTATCTATGACCACCGCCTCTAATTGGCTTCTAAACTGGGCTATCGGATAGTACGTCTACCTAACTCAAAGCACGCATTCTCACAAAAACTTGCTAACATGGAAACCAGCGCAACGCCCTATCTCGTCAATAACGAACCTGGTGATGCCAATCTCGGTTCCAAAGTCTTTTTTATCTGGGGCGGCTGCTGCTTCATCTGCATCTTCTTCGTCTGGGGCATGATCTATGAGACTAAAGGCCTCTCTCTCGAGCAAGTCGACGAGCTATATGCTAAAGTCAATCGGGCCTGGAAGTCGCCTGGTTTCGTGCCAACAGTCTCTTTCCAAGACGTCCAGGATGCACATGCCGATACTCGGCGTATGAGCTTGGTTGAAGTGGAGAATGAGGCTATTCGCAAGAAGAGCGTTGTGTACAATGAGGGTCAGGGTCCTTTGGGTGAGAAGGAGTACTAGTCTGTCGGCTCGTGGTGGCATTTGATGCTGCTTCAATCGCTCCTGGCATAGGAGATGATTGGGAAAGGATTGTTCTGCTCCTTTCTCCGAAGAGGGGGAGCTGTAACTACGTCTGCGGGTTTGGAATATCCGGACTCAGTTGTAGACCAAGACATCACTTTGTAAATATATCAACCGTATGAGATTTTGGGGTTTAACACGCTAGTTAGCAGATGTTCTCATGTGCTCAACTCTATGGTATCTTACTAAGCTTGTTCACAGCAAAACACTTTCTCACTTGGGCTACATTGGGCTAAAAGCCATGGCTTTAATTGATGTGGGTAAATTTTATCGGCCTACGGCGGTGTTGAGGTTCTCAATCTCCGCATCATCTTACTTGGACCTAATTTTGTGAATGCTTGGTTCTTGTTTGTCTTGCAGACTCTAATCGTCATTCTTCCTTCAAGCGCGGAGTGATGAAGAAGTACGACCTTTTGTAACATCTTTCTGCTGATGGATAATCGAGGGCGGTTTTCTTCTATGTTTGGCAACCCTGGAGGGTGAAGGCTCTGGAACAATGACCTCGACCCTCCCCGCCCTGCAGAACCATAGATCTACACGCTTGCACGCCTATATAAACCCCACCCGCTTCCCTTTCTGACGTCTCTTCAGGCAGATCTCGCTTAGAGACAGTGACAGGTTTAAAAGAAGCACTGACACAAAAACATGGCGCTGCTGCTTTGCCGGAATAAGACTCTTCGCGGCTGATTATTATGGGAATAAAATCATTGGCGCCCTCGCTACAAGTTCATCATGTTTGTTCCCATAAAGCCAGCGCATATGGTTACTGAAGCGTACAATGGTTCCCTCAGGCTATAAAACCAGCACAGAAGCCGCTGATTTCCTCGAATTAGGTTGCGTCCAGGGAGACGAGAAAATGTTAGCAGCGTTCACGAGGTTCACAGCTCTACTTTAGAATCAACAAATAAATCGCAGGCTAAGCTGATATGTTCTTCTAGACTCTATGAAAGGTTGTCTAGAACCAGTACCGGGGTCTTGCTGTGCCCGGAAGCTGTAAAAAGCACTCGCTCACGCTCTGTGGCTGCCTCTTTCTAAACACGGCCTCATGCGCAGCATGCTTGTGCGTATGTGAATAAAATATTCTCAGCCTTGTTCAATGTTTCTTCCCGCGGGTCTAAAACTTCCGCGACTGGCGATCATGACTGCCATCCACTGGTTGCTCTCAGCAACCAAAGTCAATGGAGGTAGTCTCGTAAAGCATCTAGGGAGAGTTTAAAAGTATTCTCATGTGGGACATGTTACCTTGAGATACAGTATGTACGAAACTGCGTAATGGGGGTTTAAGCCTTCTCGAAAATTACGCAAACCTGCTAGGGTCTCTCTCTCTCTGGGCTGCTCTAAAATAGACCCAGCAAGAATAACTATCAGTCCCAAGAAGCATTTAAAGATAAGGCGGACAATAAATATTGATTTGCTGGTGGCTGTTCTAAAAATGATACTGATGTAGTCGCATGGTTTGGCTAAAGAAAACCCGAGTCTCTATAAATATGTACGGTAGTGGGCCCAATAAGAAGATTGTACAGTGTACAGCGCATAAACGGACCTCCCCTAGGGATGCGGATGTGTTGCGAATTTCAAGGGTAGGTAGTGGAGGTACACGAAGAGTTGTTTGGATGGGATTGTGGTGATAATGACCATCCTCATGCAACGACAATAGCACTCCCCACCAACAACAAAGAGACGCCAATCGCGCAACTCACAGCAGTCTGCAGTCGTTCATGTTCCCGGGAAACAAATCAATTTGTAACTCTCGACTTCCCCTAAATGACTAAGCAAGAACAAACTAGTCCCCCCGTCCAGCGAAAGGAATTCCACAAAAGAGAAACACGCCGCTTCTCGCATTCAACAGTAAGAACAGCGCAGAGGAACTAGTCTGCAGAGTAGTGAGCTCCATTTGCTGACCGATTCTCCCACAATATTCCTGCCCACTCTCGCACTCCCACCTGCAGCCAACGCCCACCCCCCAATTCGCCCCCGCGAGCCATCCATGATCGTCTGCATTGTGTACGTCCTTGTACTTAGCCGTACCAATGCCCCCATGTCGAATCTAGGAGCAAGTACCACTGACGAGGAAAGAGTTAAGTTGCTTGCCCGCACCCATCTCGAAACACCTATGCGGAACCTGGTCCCTCGGAATATTAATCGTTTGCGGTGAAGTACATCCCGAATCAAGAAAGAAAGTCACTATTGCAAAAGTCAGCACCAGCCAGCATCTTCCTCCTCTCATTGCATCCCCTCTCACGCTTCACATTCAAGGTGGGGACTTGAGTGCACTTACTACTACATCCGGCCGGAATATCAATCTCAATACGCCCCGAATTGATACCAGATGGGAGTGTTTGGCAAGTCTTAACGTCCGCAAGATTAACTGTGCCGATGCGGTCGCCGCTCTGACACCCACTTTTGCTGAAGGTGGCAAGCTCGGTGAATGTTGTTTGGCGAGGAGACAGGGAGGAGGGGAGGGCGCTGGCAGCGGCAGCGAGGATGGTGGCAAGGATGGTGGTAGTGAACTGCATTTTGGAAGTTGGTATTTGAAGGTGGTTTGGTAGGCTGGAGATAAGATACGAGGTGGGGGAGTATAGTTGTTAAAAGTTTTGGGTTGAAAGTTGGAGATTGAGTGGACTGTTGGACTGGCTGTTGTTGTTGTTGTGATGAGGAGAGGAAATGGAGAGGAAGTTCCCATTTATATAGATGGTCTCGATGGTATAACATGCCAACGACTATAGCCAACAGTCCAAAAGAGGCTCTAGAAAGAGGAGTCTCCGAAACGAAGGATTCAATAGCTCTCGGACGTACCAACATGGTGGAGATCCAACACAGCCTTCTCATTGCCATCGTTCCGGGGATAATCATGAGATCTGGCTCATGATCGTGGTTTCTGCTCTTCTAAGCCGTGCCATCCCTGGTGAAGCTTACATTGAAAGGAGTGAAGTAAGGTCCATGGTTATGCCTTCACGGTTTTGGCTCGGGGTTTCGAGCCGAGCAGGAATGAGCTGAAGATTCTACGGAGAAGCCGGATGTCATGATCTAAGACATACACGTGGATGCTTCATTGGTGTTGTACCACTTGCTGGTCCGCGTGCAGAGACCTGTTCGCCCTCACAGAGCCTTGAACATGCCAGTGTGGAGGAACAAGGCGGGCTGTCATGGGAAAGCCTCCTTACATAGCCTCTGGGGTGATGTGGGGTCTTGTATGAGAACTCTGATAGGTGGCTACGAATTCGTCGTGTTATGCTCCCTCTCATGGGAATTGCCATGCGTTTTGGAATTTAGGAGAGTAAGCAGAAGCAGTCTCACACCGCATGAAGGGCCACATCGTAAACATAAACATGTGGCGGGAGAGCCAAATTTGGTGGCCATCCGTAGCCACGGACCTGGTTTGCACTGTTGTAGGACGGGAACATCCGCTTTTTGCAAAGCCCCCCTCCCCTCCCAGTTTGTTAACCTAGGAGGCGGTATCCATTTATCGCTTCGCATATCTAGGTTTGAAATTGATGTGGGCGTTTGACGTAGCAATAGAGAGAACTCACTAAGTGTTAGTAGTCAAGAACGACATGCGTTTTTGTAACACTTGTCCCTAAGATCAGAAGACGCCAGAAGAGGCTCCATGATGTATTCTTGCCCCCAAGATTTGCAGAAGATGAGCATGTCTCAGCTTGGGACAGTTTGACTCAGTGAAAAGAACCATGGGATAATCATAACCAACAAATCGGACACCACGTGGTCGTACTATGTGCCCTCGTGTATGTACGCCCTCGGGCTTGGCGACCGGGTTCTTGACCACGACCGAGCATCGCGTACACGGGAAGTCATTCGAGCACCAGAAACCCTATGCAGGAGGAGTTGTATTCGTGTTCAGGGCGAGGACGAGCAGCTATTCCTATAGCGATTTGCTCGTGAACGCCGTCCTTGTGAGTATTGAACCCTCGGCAATAGATTGGCGATAGTGTAGCGCATGGTGGCGTTCGTGATCTAAATCCCATTGAACAGTGAACTTCTCGTCTTAACATCAGTGCGTAAACTACGGAGGCGGCTGTGCCTTTAGGGGTACATGCTGGCTAAACCTTGACTCGATCTACCAACAAAGGCAGACAGACAACCCCAACTACATATCGAATTACGTTTGGAGGATCGTGGGGCGTACAGAGTAAGACGCAAAAACGTTAAGGACGGTGTGGCTTGAGATTGTCATGCGTAAGCGAGTTTGCGACCTACCATGTTCGTTTCAGATCTGCGCCAAACCTTCTGGTCATTGGATAAGTTCCTGGAAACAGTCCTGTTGATTTTGTGGGGTACTGAGATCTTGAAACACATAATTCTTGAAAGAGGGTAATGACCCAGAGAAACAAATATAGGTTATATCTTCCTGTTTTCGACGAATCGAAGGAACTGCAGCCGGCTCGCTTCCAGAAAGAACACACGGGGACTTGGGAGGAGGTAGGAATGTGGCAAAGCACTCCCATCCGAACGGCCATATGAGATGGTGTTTGTAGTGTTATGGCTTAGTGGGTGTTTTACCCAGCGAACCATCTGGTGTCGTACCAATAAAGCTATGGCCAGTTAGAACAGAAGAAAAGAAGGGGACGATTGGACGACGTGAGGTGATGAAGCCCGGGCCTGCTTCGTGATGGATCCTACGTGAGTGTAAAGACGCTAGGTGCGTACGTCAGATTATCGATGCTTATAATACTTGTACTAATGGTCATTTTGAGCGCGAAAGTTAATGTTGAGGAGGGACCAGGGCTCGTGACCGGCCAGCCGGAGGCGGGGTGGACGTTGGTGGCGAGCCATTCCTCGCAAACGCCTTTTTTGGTCCTTAATGTGGCCTTCAGTTAGCGATGGATATCTGCGGGAGCTAAGCGGATGCGAAATGGTGGGACCATCGAATTGTAGGACATAACGAGACCGAAAACTCTTCCAATGTATCAGGAGATATTCGTGAGCAATAATAGGCTACAACCCAACAAGGGTTTGGAACCATCTTGTTCTTTCTTTTCGATTTATTGTCATACCTGAGCAAAATGGTAAGAAATTGATAGAACCATGGACTCTGCAATTGACATAGAACAGAAATAATGGTGGGGAGCAAGAGAGACTCCAGAATGCGATCCTGGTGTCAAAGCTCGACTAAGGATTTCGGAGTGAGTCATTTCGCGACACGTTCTGATGTGTGATGTTGTAATGGGCCCTGCAGAGATCTACTCGACTCTTCGTATCCCGGGGATGCTTGTCTTTAGCGGTCCTTCTGGAAGCTGTGCAGAACTGGATCCTTTCCATACGAATGATATGATGAGCATGGCTTGATGAGGAGGATGTGAACAGTGCCCCTAATGCAGGATGCGGCGAGAGACATTAGCTATTGTAGTGCTCAAATGTCAATTTAAAGAAGACACTGGGAAAAGGTTGTGTGATTGAAAAGGAAACCCAAGGACGATAGGAGGTTCCTATCGAGGTAGAAAAGAAGCTAGTCCAATGCGTCACGTGCACTAGCTCCCGCTAATTAGCGCGCCTGTCGATCATTCATCCCAGGCAACTGCAAGCGTTCCATCTTCCACAACCAAACTGTCGAAATTACATTCGCATTGTGAATCAAATTGCCTCTAGGTATCGTTGGCATCATTCATACAAAGTCGGATCTAGCTCCTTATACCAAGTTCACGAAATGGGCCTCCGATAAAGTGTGAACAAAGAGAAGAGAAGAGTCAAAACAGTTGACCAGCCCAAAGCATCAATCCCAACCCTCCATAGGAGTGTGATGAGAGATTGCCTCGCTTCCAAACGCCAGACATAGATCATGAAAAGAGGGGAATATGACATTCGTCCCACATGCCTCCAACGGGTGGTCACCCTGACAAACAAAGAAAAATTAGAAACCAAATCGACTGGAAGTCGTGCCAGTATATGGATGTAGAAACTGAATCCAAGTGGCCCGAAGGATCCCTGAACCGTCATCCAAGAGGAGCACCCATCAACCCTGGAATATACACTACGCTAGAGATTGGTCAAGAGGTAGGCTCACCGACCGAACAGGCCGTTCCCACTGCCAACACTAACAGTGCCGAGACTACTTCGCTGTGTCAATGGGACACGTCCCGCTTCTGGTCGCCCCGGAATAGACGGGCCGGAAGAAACTGCTGATGGACCCGCATGTAGCGGCCGCATCCCGTTTCCACTCCAACGGTGGGGTTGTTCCTCTGACTGATGTTCTACATGCTGCGCCGCTGGACTGGACATCATATGCGAGTTGCTCCCGTAAGATTCTCTCGCCAGAGACGTGAAGTTTCGTGGGTGTGCAGCCGGAGTATCAACGTGCGTGTGGTGGTCGCTTGGGTGTCGTTTTAATTGTAGCACAGGAGATTCTGACTCGCTAACACGCCCATTTGAGTGTCCGGGACCAGCAGCCGATGAGGGCGGATTCGATATCATTTCGACCGTGGAAGCAGACCCATTAGGAGCATGGACATCGACAATCCGTCTCTGGGTGGCAGGGGTATGGTAAGCCTGACCCGGCGCCAGTGATGGCCCTGGGGGACCTCCTTGATAGTGTGACTGCTGATGGACAGGATGCTGCGGATTGGCCCAAGGGGTTCTTTCGATAAACTGCTCTTCCGCTGCTGCCTCGTCCGCTGTCGAAGTTCGATTGTACGGACGCACATAGGGGACCGGTGCAGGTCGTGGAGTGATCTAGGGTTGCTACATTAGCCCTTGTTCAGCAACAAACTAAGCCAGAAACTCACTTTCATGGCTCGAAGGTCATCGTCAATGTCTGTGGGGCGAGCAGGCATAATGTCAGGCGCCGCAGGAAAGCCAACGTATTTCGCAACGCCGGATAGAATCGACACCTCGAGGTTATAAGCTGCTTGCTGACGGATTTGGTCGGACCGCTTCTTGGGCAGGTTGAGTGAGTACTCGACCTCATCAACGCCGAGCTGTCTGCGCCCCCGCTGCAGCTCATATATACGCTGGTTGCACTCGGTGGTAAGGTCCTCCCTTACGTCCCGCACTGTCTGGAAATATTGGCTATGCAGCTGGTGTCGTTCAGCTACAATTCTGATCTCCAAGCACTTTTGTTTGTATTCCAGCAGTTGCTTTTCGTACGCGATCTTCTCGGCCCGCCTCTCGTCTATGCATTGTATCATTGCAAGGTATTCGGGGTGGGCGCAGTTCGGCTGCTTGAGCATCTCGAGCTCCTGTTCTAGCTGGGCGATCTGCTCATCACATAGTCTGTTTTCGATTAGTCGTCGCCCTCAGTCGTGTGGAAACGGGTCGCTTACTTCTCACGGAAGAGCTTGAATTTTCTCTCGATCTTCGCTAACTGATCGATCGCATTTTTCTTCTTCGATACTGCAACCTCATTGTCAGCAAGGCCCATGGTTCTGCGCATTCGAAGGCCTCTTACTCTCTTCATCGAGGGCTCCATTGTCTTCTTCCTCGTGGTCGCCCTCGCCATCTCCGTCGTGAAGATCAACGCCTGCGACCGCCTCATGGTTGATGTCACCTGTGTCCTCTGTCTTCCGCTTTCCTTTTCTGCCGCCTTTCCTAGGTTTTGTAAGCTTCGCGACTGTCGCCAGTTCGCTCACAACCTCCTCGGCGACATCGGCCTGCTTTTCCTCGAGTTCCATCTCCCCCTGTGCAAGCTGCGAGATGCGGTCTTCGGCCACATCTGGCCCTTCTTCTCCATCGACTTGTTCCGAGTTGTCGGCGACATCTTTTTGAGCACCATTGAGTGTCGTTCTCTTGGCGGTGCTGCTGCGCTTCCGCGCGGGCTCCTCGGTGGGTTCGTCGGCAGAGCTACTGTGGGCAGTTGATCGCTTCCTCTTCTTCCCAGCAAGCTCCGCAATTGCCGCAGCTTCTACCACTACGGAGAGGGGATTTAGGGCTGTGATGGGAGGGGCTGAGGAGACTTGGGTGGAGTCCTCATCAACGACGGATGGTGTGGGGGGGGCAGAGTCTTCCTGATTTAATGTCTTTGAATGTGTCAACTTGCTTGGTGTTCTCTCGTATATGAGTTCTGACGCCATTGACGTATTCGTTGCTGTGCGACTCAGCTTTCGAGGCGTTGTGTCCAAGCGCTCTGTCTCCGCCTCTGAATCGTTATCGATCAAATCTGCGGTGGTCGGCGCTCGCGGAGTAAGCTCAGAATGCTCATCCGACGCATCTCCAAGTTCGCTCAAGCTACTAGATCGATTGTCGGGATGGTCTTCGAACCCGTCTTTAGGTCTATCCAAGGGGGCTGCCATTTGTGAGGGTGAAGTTAAGAGACTTGACCCGGACAGAGTTGCTAGCATTGTCGCGTCGCGCTGTAGAGCGAGTTTGGGGTTGGAGGGAATTACGTTGGTTGGCGCTACTAGGGATGTGAGTACGGATGTAGACGAAGCAGGTAGAACGGTAATTGTGCCTACAAGGCAAGCGCGTTTCTATTAGCTATATTACCAATGGGCAGAGGGGCGTGGAGAGGTCAAGCTGTTTGATGTGGTGCCGTGACTCCGCCGACTCCTCGGTTGACGCAACCGCTGCAGACCCAAGCCACGAGAGCAGCTGTGGAAGCTTCGAGGCGGGACGACGGGAGCTTTGGGCCACAAGACAAACCAGGGTCGCCTGTTCTAGGGAAACTCACTTTCGGACTGTGCGATGCCGGATGCAGTCTCAGGAGCCGTCTTCGACCTGCTCCTCCTCGCTCGCTGGAGCGCGCTCATCGTGCGCCCAAGCGAAAGCGTGTGTCAAACCTCGTCCAATTTGTGGTACAATTGTGCAGGAGTTGAGATACGAGGCCTCCGATGCCGACGCCTCGCTGTGGAGGGTTGTGGGCACTTCGCGCAGGGTGCGGGCAAAAAGGCTTCTGCGGGCGGTAGGGGCGCGGGTGCCGAGGGGTGATCTGGGGACAATTCTGCGGTTCGGCAGGCGGTGGGGGCTGCTAGTGATATGGAGCGAGAAGGATGCGAGAAGGGGCAGCTGTGCTGCATTTACGGAGGCGGTGGACGAGCGGAGAGAGCTGCTGGCGGAGTCGTGGTGAAAGTCGCTGGAGGGCGGGTTGAATGGCACCGGGTCACGCCCACCGATTGCAGGGATCGGCGCGCTAGGCCGACGTGTTTTTCCGACCGCCGACCGGCTCGCCGAAACTTTTGTCACACTCGCTTGCTGCACGCCAGCACAACGATTGCCAATTGTCACCATGGCCAAAGCAAAGCCCAATCGGGCAGAGACAAAGATGGCTCAGAAGAAGCTAGGGACGTCATTCAGCGTCCCTGACAAGGTGGCGTTTGATCCAACTCTGGCCTCCCTGTTTGCGAGTAGTGTGCGTATACACCAGGCCGCGAGAACTTCTACAAGGCTCAATGTTGAGACGGGGGAACTAAGATAATGCACAGTTGGGCCCTGTGAAGCTCCCTCCGAAATCGCGCTATCAAGACGTCTTGGAAAAACCGTCTCGTGACGACTTGAGCGATGAATCAGAGCTGGATTCCGTTGGCGAGGAAGGAACGAGCGAAGATGAGCCTGAGGATAAGGATCAGGCAGGGGTTGATGAAGACTCCGGTGTCTCTTCCGACGACGAAACGTCGCCTTCTAAGTTTGGAGGCGACGATAATGATATCCTAGCGAAGCTGCAGGAGTCCGTTAAGAACGGGGACCGGTCGACCAAGAAGCGGAAACGGCCCGACAAAGATGACGAATTGGAAGATGCATATATGCGGAAGCTGGTACGTGAAGAGGTCAAGGAGGAAGAAAAGAGGAAGAAGAAAAAGAAGCAGAGGGCAGAAAGCAGTGACGATTTTGAAGCGGAAGTCGATGGCGCTAAAGCCTTTGAAGATTTAGACGATGAACCATACACAATACCTAAGCACGAGACGCAGGTGGAATCAAAAAGTACCGTCGAGGAGGAAGAGAAGGCCTCTCGAACCGTCTTTCTCGGAAACGTGTCAAGTCAGGCTATTACCTCGAAACCAGCCCACAAGACGTTGATGCGCCACCTGGCTTCTTTCATCTCTGATTTAGCAGACCATAACCCTCCTCACAAAGTTGAATCTCTTCGATTTCGATCTACCGCCTTCGCCAGTGCGTTGCCAAAGAAAGCCGCCTTCGCTAAGAAGGAGATCATGGACGCCACTACGAAGAGCACCAACGCATACGCCGTGTATTCCACCCAAATTGCGGCAAGAGAATCTGTAAGGCGACTCAATGGCACCATTGTCCTTGACCGCCATCTCCGCGTCGACTCGATAGCTCACCCAGCGAAACAAGACCATCGCCGCTGCGTCTTCGTTGGGAACCTCGGCTTCGTGGATGACGAGAGCACTCTTAACGCCAGCGAGGACGGCAAGGAGAAGAAGAACAAGCCTCCAGGAGACGTAGAAGAAGGGCTCTGGGTCCATTTCGGCAAAGCCGGCAAAGTCGAAAGTGTTCGCGTGATCCGCGATTCGAAAACCAGAGTCGGCAAAGGCTTCGCATATGTCCAATTCGAAGACGAGAATGCCGTCGAAGCCGCCTTACAATACAACGACCAGAAGTTCCCACCTCTACTCCCTCGTAAATTGCGAGTCGTGCGAGCCAAAGGCATGAAGCGCCGTCTCGACAAGAACCCTGCTGCGTCTCTAACAGCAAAGCCCCAACATCCAAAGGCCAAGAGCGTATATAACGCTAAAGTCACTGGTGAGCAGAAATCACGGCTTGGTCGTGCTCGCGCTATGCTTGGAAAAGCAGGTGCATTCAAATCGGCCGAGTCTTTCGTATTCGAGGGTCATCGGGCAAGTAGCAAGCAAGGTACGAGTGGGTTGAAACTGGGTGGTAAGAAGAAGGGAGGGAAGCCCAAAACGAGAAGTAGCAAGAGAGGGGCAGCATGGAAAGCAGCTGGTGGGAAAAAGCAAGGGAAGTAAATGCCGCTGATAGGAAAATGCGGGGGAAAATAGATTCACTTGATCCTATTTCTTCGAAATCGTCCTTGCCGTTCATTCTGAGTTCCACGTAGACTCCTGGGGGCTGGCTATCCCTGAAGTTAACCTACGCCTTGCTCTCCTCAGGTTGGTGCACATATATAATGCAGTGAGACCTTCAGCGACAGTCGCGAAGCACGCATAAATATTCATGTGCCCCTATGCGGTCAGCTTAAATTTGGCCCTTTTGTATCGAAAATTTCGTGGTGGCGAAGTTAGATCAGCATCCCTAGTTCTGCGTCATTCTTCTCCACGGCAGTTAACGCTCATTTATTTTTAGCCTCTGCTTATTAGAGTCTCTATTCGTAACGAGAAATCTACGACAGCTCTCTTCTTAGGCAGCTTTCTTATCACATATTGCCGTTACTGTCGCGTATACTGAGAGCCTTAGCTAGGGCTCGGAGCCTAGGACGCAGCTCGGGATCTAGAGATATTATGTTCCGAAGCTCGGTGTATACAAGGAGAGCCTTCAGCTCTCTTAGATAGCAGAGTCACTTCATCCGATCTTCTGAACAGCTACTGCCAGGCTATTTTATCCTCCACAGTTACATTATAGTTTCTTCTTAAAAAGGTCAGTGAAATGCTTTCTACTCGGTCGTAGAGGTTGGACGTATTAAAATTCCTTAAGACGAACGGGATAAAGGCGGACTGCCGTTACTAATTATCGTCCATATTATTATCAAAGATCGTTTTGTAGTTCTCCTACACTACCTCCCTTTCACAGCCCTTGCATTATGCAAGGTAGTCGAACCTGTTTCCTGTCACTAACCAACCCCAACACCGATTCTCCCGTCGCCTTTCTCGGTTTGCTGTCAATTCGACGCAAGTCTGTAAATTTACAGGAGAAAACTTGCTTTCCTTGACTACAACAGAGTTTCTGTTTCGGCATTTTGCCGATGTGGGAATGCGATGGAGGCACAACGCGGCCTCCTAAATATGCTACCTAGCGCTTTTGGAAATGTCCAGATCAGGCTCCTTCTCTAAACGGCTTAACTTAAGGAAATAACTTGTGCTGGTCATCATTGCCCTTACTTCCTCGCTAAGGCTGCTTGAAACTCAAATTATTCACGTGCTCTTGATCGGAGACGAGAGAGATGGACGGTAGGGTGGCCGGCAATTCCATGTGAATTGACTCTCCATGGCCTGTTTGAGCTCGATCAGGTAGTCCGTGCTAAATGTTTTGGTGTATCCGCAGTTGTAACGCTATCTAGGATAGAGAGGATTTGTTCAGCTTTTAGGATAGTGAACGCGATAGAGGGTATAACAAAGCTTAACTATGGGGTAAATTCATGCATCCATGTTGATGCTCTTAGACACCGAGATAGAGAAATAGCATTTTGAAGAGAGGAAGCTGTCAACTCATTACTACTCGTGCTCATTCTGGACGATGAATTGAACTAACTATAGTAGTGACGGCTTCTGCATAAGGGAGACCAATTTCGAACCTTGCTACCAATCTTCCAGTAGCATGGAGGTCCTGTTGTAGTACTTACAGTCTCTCGTGTACATGCTAGGTACTTTTATAAATAATGTGGCAACTACGACGCGATGTAGCAGTACCTACGAGACCCTCTCGTCCATGCCTCATCTCCCAAATTCCTTTGACTGCATCCCTACGACCATTATTTCAGCAACGACTACACTCTAAGCAGCACCTCTGAGACACCCAGGCTCACTATCAGGTTCTCGAAACCTCTTTGGATGTCTTTTTTCGCTAGTTCCCTACCTTCGACTTAGACGTCTCTACCGCTAGCTATGCCGTATGCCTACTTATGAGAGCACGAAGGTTGGCAGCGTGGCCAGGTCGCATCAACCAATTCTTGGCGTTGGTATCAAGATGCATATCCTAGCAAACTGCGGATGTGGTGTGCTTCAGAGAACGATTTGACTGCGTGGCATGCCATCCATCGTGCTATTGGTATTAAGCCCTTCCACGGACATGCGAACTATGCGAAGTACGATCCGTGGTACAACCGTTGGTGGAGACCTGCTAGCTCAGACTACAAGCTGCGCGAAACACACACGTTGATATTATTGACCCAGTTGAATTGGGACGGGAATGTGAAAATACTGAAGCAAGAGTTCAGACTCCTCGGAATGCGGCAGAGCTGCGAGCCTACAATAAGAGTACGGGGAAGATATTTCGCAATACATTTGATCAAGAAAAAGGCGATATTGTCCTCAGACATCATCTATTACAGAAAATCTCTCAAGAAGAATTCTAGAATAGGGAAAAGGAATAGTGATAGAAGATCACTACAGCACCAAAAACTTGTCATTGAACTTTCTATGCTAAAGATGGCATAGTATGATTAAAGTATATTAACTGATATTTCCTTTCCGCACGTAGGGTATTTTACATTCCCCAGGAGAGATTAGCGCGCCGATGGCTAGACGGCTAGACCATACTGGTGGAATCATGTTGATAGAACTGAACTGGTAGTTTCAATATTACGGAGTAATACAGTCACTGACAACGAACCCTCGTAGATTTTATTTGATAAGATGAGCTGCCCGTGAGGGCCAATCGGTATTAAAAAAAGACAATGAAACCATTCTAAAGCATTTTCATGCGGAATTTGGCAGATCGCTGGCGGAGACGGGGGTGATGTACTAGTCTTAGAGGGATTTGAGTGGAGATGAGTCATGATACTCAAGACCTCGAAATCCGACTTGCGTTGAACGCCATGTGAAAACTACCTCACTGCGCTAATTGATACTGAAATTGAAATGACCAAGTTAATGAAGCAAAAATGGAAATGAGCAAAACCCAAATGAGCGCATATGGCTTTGCTTTCTCTCTTTTCCTCCACTTACCTCTTAGAACCCCATCGTCATTGATATTCCGCATCCTCTTAGAGGCAACCCTTTCCTGCTGTGTCCGAGCACGTGCTAGTAGATCTTCTCCCTCCCCTTCAACCCCGTCAACTTGTGGTCCCGCAGCAATACTCATACCAGCCATCCTCTTCCCGCTCCTTCTCTCCTCCTTCCTACTCTTAATCTTCTCTTCTCTAGCCTACCCAGCCTTCCTCAAGATATTTAACACACTCTGCCCAAGCAAGCTCCACGAATTCCTGGGCACTCTTTTCCCCAGTTCTTCCGCGATAGCTGGATCATGTCGTGCACGTGCCGCAGTACATCTACATTCCTTGCATATATCTAAGACGCTGTTGTAATGGTTGTCATGTGGTGCATCGTTGGCGGCCTCGAGCCCTCAAATTGTTCTTAGAGGACTCCAATTTCGAGAACTAGGTCGCGGAAGGTGGGGATACGGATGGCATCTCGAGGGGAGGTGAGGAGGGTGATAGAAATGTGGCGCTTTTCCATGTCTGCGGTAGATTTAATGGGAAAGGAGGGGAGCTGGAGTCATATCCCTGGGAATCTCTTCCTGATTTATCACTAGAATGGCCTCTTGGTGTCTTAGACCGTTTGCCGTAGGCCGATGGCGTGATTGTATCCCAGGCGTTTTTGTTCGACTTGTTGTAATACCAGGGTCTTTCTGGAGGAGCACCACATGGTGGTCGTTTGGTTCAAGTAAGTGACTTTGTTTTCTTAATATTCGCATTTTTCCTATTTGCAGAAGAATTACGGTCCACAAAGTATCCCGTTCTGTAGTCAATAGTAAGCTGCTCGCCCTATTTTATTCTTCTTGTTGTCATCACAACGAGAACGTTCGTTTTCCTAATACATCCCATTTAGATTTCCACGTTGCTATGGTAGTGACGATGAATGAATCTATTCGCAGGTAGCCTAGATGGAGGTGATGGATAGGGGGGCATATAGAGGTGCAAGCAGTCGATTAGGTGGTGACGGCCAAAATAGGTCGATTGGGCTAAGTTGTAAGGACTCTACGGCTCGAGAGAGCTTAGATGCGAATATATAGTGGATGAAAGAGTGCTAGTTCTAATAAGGTAGGCGGTATCCTGGATAGGAAGCGGGTGTGAGTCAAGACTCAAGATCCCACATTCACCCTGACACGGGGTCACGTGAACAGTAGCAAGGGGGTCCATGCAGTTAGCAGCTTCAAATATCCACGCATTTTTATAGTCCACAACCTTTACCCAGAGAAGGTCGGCCTCTCTCTTTGCCAACGTAGGTGATATGTTTTAACATTAAGTGAGAACGATCAAGCTAGTGTCATTATGCTCTGCGGTTCTCCAATTCCGTCCTATCTGTATGTGTGGACCGTCCACTGAATGCATGCTTTTAAGAGGACAATTAAGCCACGAATGTAGATTGTCATTTAGATACATTTTTTGATTCGCACTCCCATTATTCGAACGCTGGCACGTAGTTTGGCAATCACGATGTTCACGCTGAATCAGTGTCTCGGCCAAGCAACTCAGCCTTTCAGCCTGGTAAAAAGCAAGAAAGAATGCCCCACTATTGAAAAGCCAACATACTGCACTTGACAGCTTGACCAGATTACTTACTTTCAGTAGGTAACCCAACGCAGATTCGCAACTGCTACATTACAGTCACAGTTTAGCGCTTGCGAGCACTTCGAGAGGCACATAGCGGACGGCGGCATTGATGGAAACATGTTAGCATAGGCTTCACACTTTTTAAAGGGCTTCAGCTTACACCGAAAAGGGCTCATAGCAAGCTAGCGACAGCGTTGAGCGAATTTCAGCAGGCTCTCTCACCGGACCAAACCGCTCAGCTCGCCTCGTTCTCGAGCCATGCGCCTACAGCAGATGACATTGTTCGGCTGACAGACCAAATCATACAGGCAAACGCAACTCGGAGAAGCCATCTCTTAGCTTCTCGACTCCAAGGACTCCTAGGCTCCATACAGCAGTATTGTGGGATCATCGACACTTGCGCAGGGCCCAACCAGATAGCAGCGTTGGTCTGGGGCAGTATCAAACTCGTTCTCTTGGTTTGTGCTCCATATTAATCCACTCGTATTCTAGCTTACATTTCCTTGTTTGCTAGATTTCATCAAATTTCGCTGAGTATTTTGACAAGTTGTCAAAATGGGTAGCTCAGCTCAGCAACTATTGTCCGCGACTCTCGGAATATGAGACGCTTTTCCCCACGTCAACAAGGCTACAGCAGGCGCTTTCCGATTTTTACGCTATTGTAGTGAAGTTTTGCTTAAAAGCACTTGGTGTAGTACAGGAGAAAGGTAAGGTTGTAACTTTAAATTATTAATTCTTATATAGTTTCTAATCTCTTTCCCTCTAATAGGTGTGAAACGATACTCCAAGTCAATCTGGAAGTCATTCAAGACCGATTTCAAAGAGATAGAAGAGAACATTAGTGAAGCAAAAAACGAAGTGACCGAGGAGCTGCAGTTGGCATCTGAACAAGAAGGACAAAGCTTTCGCCGCTTGGTACGAGCAGACATTGAAGAAAATAAAACACTACGGATAAAGCAAGTGGCTGAAATACAAGAAAATAAGGATTTCCGATCACAGCAGACGCTGGCGCTACAGAGTATCGAAGCTCGACAGATTCAGAAAATCCTAAAAGAAGAAGGTAATCTGATCAAATTAAGCAAAACAGGAAAATAAGAAGGAAACTAATCATCTGATCACTATAGAGCGTCAGAAGATCCGATTACTGAGACATATTCCGAGCTATGACTACACCAGTAGCCTTCACCGAGCACGAGCACTGCGTTGCGAAGGAACGTGTAGGTGGATTCTCAACCAATCAGAATTTCGGAACTGGGTAGATCAAAGAGGCTCAAAACACCTTTGGTGCTACGGAATTCGTACGTTATCCCTAACCGCACGGAGTAGTTGCTATTCTGCACACAGTGTTAACTTACTTAAAGCTGGTTGTGGAAAAACTGTTCTTCTGTAAGATGCCCTCTAATTATTAAGGAGGTCATAGTAATCTACATTCTAAACATATCTTTAGGGGATATATTATCGATCATCTGAACATGAACTTTTCAGCTCAAAACGAAACAGTCGTCATCTACTATTTCTTTGACTCCTCCGAGAAGAAGTCATTGAAAGCATCTACCTTCCTAAGATGCATTCTGCACCAAGCAATTAGGCTCGAGCACCTTCTCCCGAACTCTCAGAGGCGTTTAGAGTCGCTCTTCCTAGACCAAATAGACCAGTCAGAGCCCTTCACCAGCGAACTCAAACAGCTTTTTTTGCACTTCTACGGCAAATTTAAAAGCGCTTTCCTCCTTATTGACGGACTGGACGAAGCGAACGAGGTTGAACAGAGGAATGTCAAATCCTTCCTCAAAGATGTACAAAATATGAATGGTGCTCGAATTCTTGTCACTACACACGCAGCCATGGATATGTCAAAGGTTTTCACTCGTAGTTTGGCGCTCCAGATCAAGCCAAAGGACCTCGAAGATGACATTGAAAATTTTATCCAATCGCAGATTGATAAGTATTCGCAGGGGGAACTCTCTGGTTGTTCGCTTTCTGTACTCGAAATAATCAAGCGCAAATTAGTATCTGACGCGGAAGGAATGTCAGTTGCAAGTTCACAGCCCTTAAGTTGATATAATTACATGTTTGTGCTAATAATGTTCATGTTAGGTTCCTCTGGGCGGACCTGCAATTTAAGGCCATTATCGATGTTTGCGAGGAGGATGGAACCCCAAACAGAATTCCTGATCTTCTCATTTCTCTCCCACCAAAGATCACAGACCTATATAGCCAGATATTAGAAAGGCTAGCCAAAAGAACCGGCGACCAGGCTGAAAGAGCAAAGAAGGCGTTTCAGTGGGTTCTTTATAGTAGACGACCGCTAACTATCAGCGAACTAGAAGAAGCTGTATCTATTACCTCGAACCAGAAGTCATGGCAAACCCCCTCTCCCAAGCTTGATATATCGAAGCTTGGTAGACTGTGCGGAAACCTCGTCAATTACGATGAGGCTGACAAAACAGTGTCGCTAGCTCATCACACCGTTGAGTCTTTTCTGTTAAGCTGTTCTGACAGACGAGAAGTTGCCAGCTTTGCGATTGAGGAAACCAAGGCAGAGCAGTATCTGGCAGATACTTGCCTTAGGTATCTGTCTTTCACGGATTTTCGCAAAGCACTTACACGGACCTCTGACACAACACATCTCCATGCAATGGATCACCCTGTGGACTTGGTACCAAGCATGGCCCCGAGATTAATTCGACCATGGGCATTGAAGACTTTCAGAGGCCACCGATCTAGGAGGGCAGATCAACCTGTTGACCTAATCAACGTTTTGAGAACCGAACTAAGCGTTCATCAATCGAGGAGAGAGGACCCTATCTTCCAAATCTTAGAATACTGTAAGACCTACTGGCACGACCACATCCACTACATGGATTTACAGGATCCAAAATGTTTTACAGCTTTAGAAAACTTTGTACGCAGATCGTATCTACCAAAAGAATGGATGCCATGGGGCTCTATTAAAGACGAAGGATCCTTGCCCTTATGGAATATGTTCATCTGGGCTGTCGGAAATGGCCATATGGTTATCTTCCGCATTTGGCAAAGAATTACCACGATGCAAGAATCTAGCTACTGGGATTGCCTTTGGCGAAAGGAAGCGCAAAGAATGTTCGCTTCTGCGTGCGTAACAGCCAACCTTGATCAGCTTGAGATCATATTAGGTGCTAAAAGAAGAGACAGTCGTGTGGTGAGACCGTTTATAAGCGAAATCAGCCATGAATTAGTGAGGGTCTGTCACTTAGGGCATGGTGAAGTTGTAGAGCGACTACTTCAAGAGAAGACCGATATCAATGCAACAGTGGCAGAATATTCTAGAAGAACAGCACTACAGGCAGCAGCGG